ATCCAGTTGTCTAGTTTCTCATGTAACGTGTTTATCTGAACTCAGGAGAATCAATTATTCATTAGGATGCTGTGACTTGAGATGCTGGGATGTTTTTGAATTGTCAAGTACAGAAACGTGTTGGTGGTGACATCCAGGAGGATCATTCACAAAGATGGGCCTGAAGAGACATCTAGTGGTGGTGTTCACATAGAACTACTCAGCATCAGATAAATATATTCATAATATAAGATACAATACCATAACAAGGCGCTAGCGCAGAATGCAAATATGCTGGAATCAATGTAGTTGGATATATACAGTTAAAAAAAGAACGACATGTAATGTAATATGCATATATGTCGGTTTACAGTAAATTCAGTAAATACATACAGCAGGTTAAATATATATATTTGGTAGTAATGTATATTTGAGAACAACTGAATATATTTAAATAGTAAGATGAGTGGGTCGTTTTTAGGAATCGCTTGAAGGCCCACACAAACCTCTAACACCCGTTAGAGGAGTTCAACTATCATCTCCCCCAGTTATTGGTCTTAGCAGATGAAAATGAATCGGTCAGCCATGAGTAGGATGGCTGAAGAGATCATTGCACTGAGGACTGATAGAAAACAGCTCCAAACTGATCTGATCTCTGCAGCAGGATCCTCGGCCGAGACCTGCTGGATGACACAGACACTGACGTCATGACCAAGGCCGAGATCCCCGACTGTACAGATAAGCCACGGCATATCACTGTGGTTGAACTATTTAACCATCTGTTATCCCATCAACTGCATCCAAAACCGTGCAGATTTAATAATTGAAATTCTTTCACCAAAATGAGCGAAGTTTTCTATCCAGCCAGGATTTGAAGGATATGTCATTGGTGGAGAAAGTGACGGTGAAAGGTGGCTCACCATGTGTTTGCTAATCCTTGCAAAGTGTCTATTCCTCAGCAGACTGTGCCGTTTCGTGATAAGGAAGCTCATTCGGGCCACGGACCCTGATAAGCTCCGTGGGTCGCGTATCCCTTATCTGCCGAAGGACAGTCTGTGGCCCTCAGTGAAAGGATGTTCCTGAAGGTCCTGCTGCTGGCATCAAAGTAAAGAGATCCGTCCAACAGACACTCCGTTACATTTCAAAAACTGTACTGATGACTGTACTGTCATTATGTTTTAATCATCTGAGCCTCAGAACAGACGTAATAGAGTTTCATTCTCAGATCAAATGTTGTCCTGGCTTTAATGAACTTAAAGCCTCTTTGAAATTCAAGCTAGAGTCAGTCAGACCAGAAAGGCTGCCGCTCAGAGGAGGAGGATCCAGCAGCTCCAGAATGACTATAAAATAGATACTGTTTGCACCATTAACGTAGGAGTTACCGGCCACTTAAGTCTTTTGTGGTTAACTGGAAGCGTTGGATGTGCATTCATTACAGCTGGAGGAGGATTGTAAATTATGGGGGAGACAGAAACAAGAAGCGTTGACCAGACTGAGTGAGCACGGGCATCCGTTTGTGTAAGAATTACATCCACCTCAATTCTACATAATGTTCCTTTGGTCAGTTGACTGCAGTTAGAGATCCGTTACATACATACATACTGTGCTGTGTGTGATCATTTAACTTGATCTGCTTCTTCCTCAGGTCGGTATCAGAATCATAGTATGTAGTATGAATACCACATTTTCCAGAAGAGAGGTTTGTTTACTAATATGTTGTTGTTGTTGTTGTTGTTAAAATATGTAATAAATTTAGGAATCAGGAAAACTTTATTGCCAAAATATGTCAAACATACAAGGAATTTGTCTTGGCGGTTGGTGCGTGACAGTAGACAGTGTGACAATAGACAACAAAACAGCAGTGCACAAGTGATAAAATAGAGTAAAATGAAATGCTGATGCAATGGGTTAGTATAAAACAAGAGAATAAAGTTAAAAATGTAAAATATTTAAAAAGTTAAAAAATATTAAGCATAAAGTGCACTAGCGAACAAGTAACAAAGTGACATACTACGTTCATTGTTATATTCATCACCATTATATACTTTAATATTTTGCCATTATACACATGGAATAAAGCATCTGTACATTCCAAGTTTGTATTACATTGTACACACACGCTACACTTTAGTATTCATTTCTTCATGCATTTTTTTTCTTCTTTTTCCTAATGTTTTCTTGCTGTCCGTTTGTCTGGCTTCTCATGCACCACCGATGTTTTCTCTGACTCGGTGTTACTGAGGAGCCTGTAAAGGCTTCAGAGTCAGCATTATGGGCTTCTCTGGCAGGAGGATGAGCTCAAAGGTGCTCTGCACTTCCACGTGACGCTGTTTCTCCACTCTGAAGTTCTCGAGCATCTGCAGGCACAAAGGACGATGCACACAGTTAACATGCGGTGGAAACGAGTCACATATAACGAGTATAGCGGGTGCTTCATTCTCTATACATCTCACATGGATAAGGAATAGTTGCATCTCTGCCTCAGCTATTCTGCGGCCTAAACACTGACGGGGGCCGAAGCCGAAGCCCAGGCTCTTGAAGTACTGCGACTCGGTCCTCAGCCAGCGGGAGGGCTGATACTGCTCCGGACGAAAAAACACTTTGGGGTCTCTGCCCATTGCATAGAGTCCCAACTGGACCAGAGTCTACACACAAACACAAAGGAAGACAACGCAAAAGCAGAACAGGTATCCAAACACTTTTTTTTTTTAACCATGCTTCAATACTAAAAACATTTTATATTTCAAGCCTCTCACCCCAGCTGGGATGTGGTAGTTTTGAATGATGATATCTTGTGTTATGTATCTTTGCAAGCTCACTGCAACTGGATGTAACCTGAGGGATCAGAGGGGGAACATCTGGATCAAAAGACACTTGATGGCAGAATTTTCATAGCAACAATAAATTAGTGGAAACATCGGCGACATCATCACCTCCACAGTAGTAATGTCATTTACGGCCATTTCGTATACCTCAGGGTTTCCTTCAGAGCTCCTTTGACCAACGGAATCCGCTTCAGCATCTCCAGCATGTCTCCGTGGCTCTCGGCCCGGGCTGCAGCCACCTCCGCCCTCAGCTCCTCCTGGAGGGTGGGGTGCCGAGCCAGTTCATACAACGTCCACAGCAGCGTTATGGAAGTCTGAAAGACACAAACAAAATCATGCAAAGAGGCAAAAGAAGTCACGTTCTGTAAAAAAACAAAAAATTGTTTCTTTCTTACGGTATCCACTCCCCCAGCCATTAGCTCCGTGATACTGGCCTTGATGTCTTCGATGGACAGCTTGTCCAGCATGAGCAGGCTGGCCAGGACTCCTGGGTATTTCTTTGAAATGCCATCTTCCTTACGTAACTGCCGGTAGATGTTGTGAATGCACCGGTCCGCTGATGCACAAAAAGGAATACCATCAATGTAATAAGCTGCTCCACATACAGTGCAAAGGGTAAGAATCGATCTCCGACCCGTCGCACCTTGGTTGAAGATCCCATCCCAGGCCTGCACGTGGTCCCGCCACACCTTGGCTCCGATGCGCCTCAGCAGAGCAGGAGGTATGTACAGCATGGGTGAGGTGGTCTTGAACATGAGTGTGATGCAGTCAATGAAATGTTGCGCTTCGGGATCGATGTAGTCCAGCATCAGACCGAGCCGCTCCCCGTACAGCACTGAGCTCACGGCTGTGAAGAACAAAGTCAAAGAAGAGCAATAATATTGAGGAGAGAAAAAGAGCCCCGACCTCTACAGATCCTACAGATGGGAGGTGAAAGTCAGACTTACACTCGAGTGCATATTTGAAGAGCTCTTGAGAAAGGTCAGTGGTCCATTTGTTCTGGCCGGTTCGCTCTATCTTTTTGTGAACCCTCGCTACAAAGTCCTGCCCCACTTCGTCGAGCAAAGGGACAAAGTTCTCCAGCACCTTCGGAGAAATCACCTCCTTGTTGAGAATCACACGGTTTGATCTCCAGTCTTCTCCATTCCTGCGAGAGAAAAATGGTATGTCAACTTCAAGAAAACCACAGAGCACATTATCACATAGTACACCCCTGATAAATATTGGTAAATAGAGTTCAAACAGGTAGGTTGGGATAAACACATCACATACTTTAACAGAACCCCGTATTTGCGGTTCCTGTAGTCTCTGTATGACGTCCAGGCTTCGACTTTCAGCCTTTTAGGATGATGCCCCTCCGCTTTGAACAGGATGGCAGCGTCTTCGGGATTGATGATATTCACACTTTCATAGTAGCCCACCTTCTCTCTGCGTAGAGACAAAAAGGGGTAAATGCCAGATCAGATGTTTGTGACTGAAAATGATTTTCAGCCATTTCAATCACTTTACGTCGAGTGTCATGTAGAATTATTGAAGTATTTCGTTTAAGAATGATGCCAACCAGTTTTCCTTCCGTACCTGTAAATGGGTCCAAAGGTGTTGAAGTTCTGTAACATGATGCGGTGAAGGTTTTTGAAGCCATCCTGTTTCCAAAAGTTATACAAGTTAGCCACACCATTTTTCCACAGTCCAGGAATCTCCCTAAAAGGCCTGACGATGCTGCCGCTGTCTGAGTAAACCTGTCTGACCACCGGCATGCTGCTGCCGCAGCGCACGCCTGTCCCCAGCTCTCCTATCCAGGACAGAGACCCCGCCGCGGGGCTGCGCCACACGCTCCACCCAGCCATCCCAACACAAAGATTCTCCCTCTGTTCTACCCTCAGGCACTTCTCTGGCTCTCCCAGGGACATCTGGAGCAGAACAAGTAGGCTGGTCTAAATAGTCTGCCCCCCCCCCCCCCCTTTGCTGATCAAGGCTCTCCAGTTGAATAACACAGCCTGTTAGTATTTACCACCGTTCAGAATCCCAGTGTGCAGCATTACATCCTGAATAGTTAATCTTGTGTGATAGCACCCTGCAATTATCTGTGTGTCAAAATTGAGACGATGCCAACTAATATTAAGACCTTCAAACGGGTTGTTTTTGTCAACGAGGATCTGATGTGATTTGTGAAGAAAGACAAGGCCATAACAGAAACTCTGTTTATAACAACTGTATTCAACATACACAGTACCGTACCTCAAAAATTAAAACTTGAATAAATACACATACAAAGGCAATGAGCTAAATTTCTTTAAGCTATGGTTGGAAATCGTAGGGGAATATTTTCTAGTTTAATTGCATTTTAAATTCCCTTTTGTTTGATCATGCATAATCTGATGATGTTGTTACAATTTGTTAAAATTCTATTCACGTCTCACCAGTAATGTAATAAGCCACCCAATGCTAGCTGCCGTCGTTGCAACATTTGGCTGAGTTTTCTTCTGGAGCCTTTTGAAATGTAGTGAACTCTTTTCACTGGAAAGATTTCCAACCTAAACTTTAATTAGCTTTATGAGTTCTTCCAGCTTCATGGCAGTCTTAATATCTCCCTGGATTTTGAGTCTTCCACTGGTGTAGGCAGCAAATGGTTGGAGTCCGCCCTTGAACAAGGCCAGAAGGTCGATGTCACTTAAGCTAAGTGTCACATCTGGCTCTCTGCACAAGGATCCTGCACCAGCTGCACCGCTTCCTACAGAGCACACACAGAGCAATGGAGGAAATTGGTATTTATGTAACTGTACTTTTGTTTTCTATTTACCTCAAACAGTTGAGCTTTAATTGACAGATTTAGCACAACTTGCATTAAGCTGCTGGATTGATCTCAATGACAAAGCTTATCATCAAGGTACATTTACAGTAACCATCACCTTGGCTCAAATCCACATAGTAACTGTGATGTTGTCCATCTTCCGAACTTATGTTGAACTGAAAGCAGGACCCAACCTGGTGGACCAAAGTTTCTGACAGCACCAGCTTGACCTGGCCCACCAGCTCTTCAACGGAGCCCGGTGTGGCCACAACTCCTTGAGGGGCACTGCAGAGTTCATCTGTAAAAATGACGCTGTCGTCTGATGAGAAAAGAACAAGGTCTTTATACAACATCAGAATGGGTACATGTTGCATACACTGTTATGTTAGTTTGAGGCCATACCTTTTTGAGGGTTTGAAATACCACTTTGGCCCAGAAAGTGCATGGCCAACTGCTGAATGGGGCCAGCGAGGCCTTCAAGTCCCGGCACAGAAGGTGGCATGATCAGGGCTGCGGGGGGGCCTTCCCCGGGTGCTTTTAGCAGAGAGCCCAGGGTGAGCTCAACCCTGTCCACCTCAAGCCCCCACGGTTGAGTCATCTCATTTATGTCCACCTGTACGGAGCAATTAAGGATGTAAGTTGGACCTGAGGGAGTGAAAAGCCAGCAGAGAATAGGTGTGGGGTCTCACCCCGAGATATTCTCCAAGTTTGACTCTCTCAGTCTGGATCTCCCTGACCGTCTTCTTAGCCAGGCTGCAGGTCAAAGCGTTCAGTGCGGTCATCCTGGTTGAGGCATTCAGGTCTTGGACTGATAGTACCGACATGACGGGGCTCCAGATCCTGAACTGGATGTCGGCTCCCACTGCCAGCACACCACCATCCAGAGTAGTCACCTACGGGAGCGGAATTACATTTTATATGGGCTCCTACTAATGATCATCTGTCACAATAGAAAAAATACAGAAACAGCACCTCTTCGTTCTTAAAGCTGGTACTGACTAAGCAATATTTACTGAGTGAGGCTGACTGCTGTAAATATTAATGATGGCTACTCAGAAGGAGAGTACTGAGTTACAATTTTCAGCGAAGGCTGTGCCACTTTCCCAAAAATGCCTTAGGAAAGATTGATGAATACATGTTTTCTTTTATTGCTCATAACTGTCATGAATGTTTCCGAGGGGCAACGATAATGAGACTAAAAACCGAACATTTAGCCATCAAACAGCAACAGTGCACCAAGAGTGTCCCCTGTAGGACAACTTTGGTAACGAGTGATGCTCTCAGGATTGAGGCTCACCTGGCAGGGGGGGATGTTGAAAGCACGGGTGCGCAGGTCCACTCTCTGCCACTGGTCAACGAGGGGCAGCACCAGAACAATGCCGGGGCCCTTTGGGGGACCAACTCGACCCAGACGAAACACTACGATCCTCTGGTATGTAGGAACAGTCTGCGAACAAGAAGAATCACAGCTGGTGTTTTTTGTTCTCTTTGATGGACGCGATGTTGGAATAACTGATGAGAGATCTCCTCTTACTCTCAGCACAAACCATCCCGTTACAGGGAATGTTATGAATGTGAGGATGTAGACGAGGAAGATGACAATCAGGTTGCAGATCCAGGAGAGCCATCCTTGGGAGGTATCTTAAAGAAAAGACATTTTAAAAGACTTTGTCCTTTACGGAATGTCCAGCAAACGAATCAGCCAGTAATGATTAACTGGTTTATAGTGTCGTCTCATCTAATTTTTATGGGAAGTGTAGGATCCAGTTTATTAGAGCTTGAGGATGTCCACCCGTGTTAAGTTAACTTGCAATGCTACGTCGATGTGGTGGCCTGTGTTGTAGATACAAGTGTTAAGTTCATTTTAACTACATACCAGTGAAGTCGTTCGCTGAAACATTGGGGATGTTGTCAAAAGAAAATCCTTGTTTACAGCCTCGGCGTGTGAAGCTGCCATTGTCCACAAACAAGCCAGGAGTCCTCTGACAGTTGTTGTCCTTCTGAGGGAGCAGCTGATACGACTTGTTAAACATCTCTTGGTAAAAACAACTAATTTGTATTATCTAAAGATACTTCATGTCAACGTGCTGAAGCTATCAGCCGAAACCGTCCTGCAGAAGTAAATACAATAGTTACTAAAATGCAGAATGCTTTAGCGCACTATGCTAGCTACAGTAAAGCTCTTTCGTGTTTTGCTGCTGATTTTCTTCTTCTCTGTTTTAGTGTTTGTTCATCAGTGGATTTACTCATCACTGCCACTTCGCGTTACTGCAGCGCAACTGCAGGTCAAGAACTGTTTCAGGTTCTTAAGATATTTTTGGCAGTCAGGTTTTTTCTTTACCGGCTTCTGTCAAGTTGACAAATTGACAGATCTGGACTGGTATTGTTTTTTAATGTAAAAATTAAGATATGTAATGAGTAGGAAGTTAAAACCTCCTCTCACTCTCTCACGTCTACAAAAGGTAAAATTGAATTCTAGCTCTTTCGATGTCTAAATCATATTAATTATCGTATATTCTTTATAGTGTCGTTTCTTTGTATTTTTTTGTCATATGTCATGTGTGATGTGTTCTCTTCTGTTTCTGTAAAATGAGATTAAAAAAATGGAAAACATGACCAAAGATGAACAAATAAAATACAAACTGTCTTCATTTATTTTGGATGAAAACATTAGAAATACATAACTTCATTTTCCCAAACCACAGTAAAAATGAATTTGCTTTCAACTCAGCACCCTTCCCACACAAAGGGTCTCTTTTTCCATCAAACTAAATTGTAATATTTACTAAAGAATCACCTAATAATCACAGGTCAAAATCCGTACCCTATGCTTATTTAAAGTTACCATACAGAACTTGTAACTGGTCATGAAACTGTCTCAATTTAATTCTGATACTTCTCTATTACATTACAGGTCATTTAGCTGATGCTTTCATCCAAAGCGACTTACATTGCATTATTAACCCATGCTTTTTACATTTTTGCAGTTAGGGGTTGGGTGTCTTTCTCAGGGACACTTCAACATGGGACATGGAGCAGCCGGGGGCCGAACCCGCCAACCTTGGGGTTCACTCCCTCTCTACTTCATGGAGTATGACAACAAAGAACATCAGCAGCAGCTATTTCTATATTTACTCTTAAAGCCTGTCCTCTTTTCCTCCTTCAGCTCAGTCTCCAACGTGGCCTTCGGTTACAACCGGCCCACGCGAACCGACCCGGATTCGGCTTTGCTGCCACCATCTACCTTCAGTTGGACCCAGCGCTACACAGCAACACAGGAGTGTCTCCCTGCTGCCAGGACCAGAGCTTTGCCTCGTTTCCCTGCCTGTGATTGCTGTGAGCCAACACTTACATCACGCTGCCGAGGCCTTATTGCTCGATACTATTTGGTGATGTCCTCAGCAGTAGCAGTGGCATTAATACTCATGGTGTACAGATCTGATGTTTCTTCTGGACGGCCCTGCAGCCACAACGTCTAAAGCATCGTCCTTGAATCAGAACCTACAGTAAGTTGAGAGGTTCACTATTCAAACACTATCACAACTGTCCATATTGCAAAAATCAACACAAAAAGAGAAGTTCCTGTAGTAGCTTTAGTCAGATTGCCATAAACTGTAACGAGTATTTTTTTTTTCAACTGGCTTTTTGATTGGCGGTGGGAAAAGAATGCCGTTGAAAAAATGTTAATTTGTTGAATTTGAAAGAAGTCATAACCACAATATGTGAAACAACCAGACAACACATCGCTTGACGAATGGTTGATGGCCTGTTCGTAGCAGTTGTCATTTGCCTTGTCCTGTGTTCTTGTTTTAGTTGTTGTATTAGCTTTTGAACATGTCACACAGCAGCTTCTCCATGGGCGTGCTGCCAATGCTTGTGTGGAAGAACAGCCGCTCGATTTTCTCAGAGCTCACAAAGTGGAGGGATGGCAGCAGAAGCAAAAGTCTCCCAAACCTTGATGGACGAGAACAGAAGAGATTCAGGGTCCCGTTTCTGTTCAGGCTTTCACATGGCCAACCTGGGTGGTGTTTTTACGCTTGAAGGTCTTTGTAGGTACTTACCTTGCACTTTGCCCGGGGTATAGTGAATGGACGTGCTGACCTAACAGCACCTGTGACTGGTCCTGCAGGTTCTCCACCAGCTCGGGGTCTTTGAGGCTGCGTGTCTCTGCGAGTCAAAGAGCGCGACGTCATTACAATGTGATAAATTACGTAACACGCGCACATGGCTGAAGGATTAACTCCTCACCTGGCTTGAACAGTACAATGGCTTTCAGGCAGGCAAACTCTGTAGGGTCAACGGCCAAGACCTTGAAGCGATTAAAGACCTCTTCCAGGATGCGCAGGTCAGCTGTGGGGAGGCTGATCTTGGCCTGCTGCGTGGGAGAGAGTTCTGGTAGAGATAGAAGAGGACACCTCTCCATGGACAGGGACCACTGGATGGTACACAGGAGGAACATCTCGCTCCAAGCTTCCTCGAGGAGAATCACCTGAGGATGTCAGAGGAACGAACGTTCTCACGTGCACGTCTGTTTTTCGGTGAATATACCAGAAAGTGTCAAGTCAGTCTAACCTGGTCTCGAAACGGTAAGTGAGCGAAAACAGGCAGGTTTTTCGCCCACTTGACGGCCACAAAGAGGAGTCGTGCAGAAGTCTCATATGTACTCTCTGGACAGACGGAGGTGTACAGGGACAGACGGCAGTCAGGTGGAGTCCGATCCCGCTCCGAATCATCGGTTGTCACGTCAATATTTTCCTCCACTGTGCATTATGAAAAGAGTCCCACACATGTTGAGGCTAATGGAAGGACCACATTGTATTCTTTTGTTGTTCTTTACAGCTTACTTTTCATCATACCTTCTAGCTGTTTTTTTTAAATTTTTTTATTCTGTTTTTAGTTTGTTTTGCGGACAAAAGCAACTTATACAGTGTAGTTGTAATTGTTGTATCCACCTCACGTTAACATCTGTCATAAGATCTCACCATCCTCGGGCTCCAGCTTTGCGCAGGTCTCCGCCGTAAGCAGGCTGACCATGAAGCGGTGGTAGTTGTTGGGGTTGCTGCAGGGCCGGACGGCGGCGGCGGCGGCGGTGCAGGTGACTGATGAGTCGGCGGCGGAGGAGGCGATCTCCCGTGTGGTGGCCAGGTGCTCCTTTCTAGGGTCTGCGTCCACAGAGTTTACACTGACGTGTGCCGTGCTTCGAGGCTGTCGCTCATTCTGCACGGCTGTCAAAGGGGACAAGTGAATCATTTATCGGCTTCACATATTTGGTGCGATGACAGCACGGAGAATATACTCCACACCTACAACTTATTCGAGTTTTTTTTCTCACCGTCTTTCTTCATCCCAGCGAGGAGACACTTCTTCAGTCTGCAAGCTTGGCATTGGTTGCGATGGGCCTTGTCGACGGGGCACCTGCCAGTTCCAGACTGACATCTGTGATATTGACAATTCTTTAGAGTTAAGTATGAAAATGTGAAAATACAACGAATGTCTCGTTTCACTGGTATTCCTCCACTATACCTAATCGTGACTGCACGGCTGGACACAAATTGTGCTCACCTGTAGATGAGTCTTCGCCTCACACTGCGCTTGAAGAAGCCGCTGCAGCCGTTGCAAGCATAGATGCCATAGTGTTTACCGCTGCTCGAATCAGAACACACTTTACACAGGACTTTACCTGGGACTGGACTTGTTTCTGTGAAGGACAATAGCAGAAAGAAACACTCAACCCTTTTTTGCCATCCGTTCAAGGCTCAACAGACGTCTTTGTCTTTATGTAATTGTTCTTTTTTGTTTTGTTTAACACAACTAGTATTGAATGATTACAATCAATACGAGCACCCTTCATCTTACAACAAGTATTGACTCACCTGCTTGAGCTCCATCTGTGAAGTCAGAAGAAAACACGTTCATTTTGGTCACGTGGTCCTCCGTTTTGAGATTTCTTCTATTATTCAGACGTAAATAGAAGAGTAATTCCTCCTCCGTTTAAATTCTTTGGGTGTAGTTTACAGGCTAGATCAAGGCATCTTTTCTTTGAAGCTTTTGACACATGGCAAAAATCCTAACACCTAAAATTGTCGTTCTTTGCACTAAAGTTTGTAACTAAAGCGCAATTTCCTCAGAGGTCATCAGAGAGCTACTCCAGGAACGCTCAACGGTTTAGATCCAGTGCTGTTGTCTCAGGTCCTTTCTGATGTAGTTGGGGGGTCAACAGAGCCACTCCTTGTCTTCCTCTTTCTTCCTCTGTGGCAGAATGAGTGTGTGAGCAGTCTGGAGGCTTTCTGTAGGAGGACAAGGAGATTAGCACCAGGCGCTGTGTCAGCAGATGCTGATTTGTCATCCGCTTAATCTTTACCGTCTATGTGGGTAAATCAATCGGTCACTCCTCGTACAGGCACAACTGCATTCAACAAAGGAGATCACGTAAAAGAAGAAAAAGCTTTATTTGACTTCTCCCCCACACCACTTTGAAATGGCTTCATAAATTTGATTGCTGCATAATAAACTTTGCAGTCTCCAGAGAACAGCCGGTTGGATTACACCTTGATAGGTCTGGGCTTACAGTGCTTTTCACAAATCAGATAATTCATTCTTAACATATGTACATCATAGAACACGCTAACAAGCAAAGATGCTTCAATGGTTCCATCGTTAAATGTCTGCTGGCCAAAATCCCAAATGAGTAGCCGACAGTAATTGCTTAATGTTTTAGAAGTCGATTACTGCAAGTGAAATAATCAATTGGTACTAATCAACCAGACACAAAATCTTGCAATATGGGCTTTGTGTACAATTCATAGTACACATGTATGTATGTTTCTCAGCATCTCAACACATTCCGTCTGTGCCATTCAGGCCCGGCCAATGACCCTAATGGCTTCAGCAGAAAACAGCCGCCCCAAATCAGCAAAGTAGCTTAACCTTCCATGAAATGTGGTCTCCGTCCTGGAGGGGCATCGCGAAAGGGGGGTGATGAGAAGAAAAACAATTAGTGCAGAGATTGAGAGAGCAGCAACAAGTTGACCCTTAATTCCGTTCTTCTGCCATATGGTGACTGTTTTCAGGAGCCTCCGTCTGTCTAATTAGAGACCCGCGTGCAATTAACTGTTACTGCAAGAGCACACTCTGCATTTTAACATTACACAGTAGATCACCGACAATAAATAGCAGATACATCAACACCTGTGCTCCTTTTGTTTTGTTCGGGTCCATCAAGCTACAGAGTCGGACCAAGTCATTGTTCCATGTGGCTAATGGCGTCTAGCTTGGCTTGTTAATCAGATCAAATGGAGCAAAGACAGTAAAGATACTATTTGACTAGTTGCCTGGTGAGCAGAATGATTTCTGTAATCCTTTTAAGTCACTCTTGATTTTGGGAAAACAATGTAGCATGAAAAACAGAGCTCCTTCTGTTGGCCCAAATTGGCGTATAAAAGGATTACAGAAGGAGCCGTGTAAGAGGACTATGCACTCAGACCTTGTTGTTTGAATCAGTTGTGTATATATTATATGTATAAATGTATGTTGATGCTATGAAGGGGATTGGCTTTGCATTATGCGCCTCTATCATTCAGTGTGCCATCAGTGGAACTAGAGACCATCTCACCAGGGACCTGATGTGCTTCCAGTGTTTTGTTCTCATCTATGTAAATCACTTTAAATTATTTATATTAATTGTTTTGTGAAGCAGTGTTTTAGTTTTAAAGGATTACTCAAACTTAACTTTTTTTTTGTGTACAAAGAACAAAGATTTTGAAATAAATATAAATAAAAAACAAGACTATTGTGTCTAACAGTTCAAACTCGGCATTCGAATGTCTCAAATGCACCAACTACTTCTAATAACTTTCATCTTGCTCTGACATAAACACAATTTGGGAAGTTTATAGACTCTCTCTCGGCGGTCCATTCAAACCACCATTTACACTTATTCTGTTATCGTGTATCTGCCTAAAATACTTATTAATACACTAATATAATACATGGTAATATACAGTCTCTATATCAGCTTACATAGCACATGCTTATCTTCATACTAGTTGATGTGAAACTTTGTGAAATATCTTTATAATAACTAGTAATACCTTTATGCTGGTAAAATCACCTAAATGAGTTACACATAATCAAAGCATCCCATTGTTAAACATATTTTAGTATCTTCTATCTTTTCTTGACTCCCCAGTTCAATGCACCACCAACATGTTGGTGCCATGAGTGAAGCGCTGCTTCGAGGTTTTGCCCGGCACGTTTCGTCACCCCTCAGCCCTGCGATGCTCGTGCAGGTAAAGCCAATCTTTAGCAGCCGCGAGCCAGCTGGATTATTATGTATTTAGTGGAGACATTTATGATGACAGAGGACTGCAGGTGATTGAACACTGTTAAAAGCCCAGCAGTTGTTGTTTGGCAGATCAGACTGATCAGCTGTGGATTAGTGTAACAGCGGCGATAAATTCAAATTTCAAGTAGTATTCACTGTCGTTATCGCACATCGACGGAAACATGCACTGCAACAGGCACATATAAGGAAGACCTGATGTTTTATTGGCCTTCAGAGGATGCCCTTGAACGCTCTACACAAATCTTTGTATCAGTCTAAGCAGCTTTTTTGTATAATCTCAATGATTGACAGCTATTGTCAAAGAGTGAGATTAACTCTTCAGGTTGTTGGCGTCGTCCTCATGCGCATGGAGCAGGTGCCTCAAGTTGCAAAAGCACATGTCATTATTACAGTGGTTTTTCCCTCTGTGTGAAATTATTTTTTCTTTTGCCACCTAATTATGAGCTAAATTAATCTACTTAAAAGACTATGATAAATCGATTGAACATTTTCAGTATCAAAAAAATGCATAAACTTGCATAACTGTCCTATCTTCTGTCTACCTCCTTTCCAGTAGCTGCAGAGAATGGATACAATTGCATAGTTGAGCTTTGTACGTTCAATTCAGCAATTCCTGTACCTTCAAGTCAAAGTAGGCGGGAGGATTGAGGTGTCAGCACTATGGCAACCAGGGATTGCCCCGCCTTGCCATCTGCAGCCATGTACTAATGTAATCTGCAATGAGAAAATGAGTTGTTACCGATGTCATGGCGCCTCAATTCAACACGCAAATCCGCATCAGCGAGAGAAAATCTTGCTGAAAAAAGAATTGAACAGTTTATTTGGTTATGTCTTCAGATACTTTAATGGGAATTACCATTGACACGATTACACTGTTTTTAAGTTCAAAGGCCTGCTCTTCTTTAAGTAATCATTTTACATTTAGCTTAAGAATTTGTAAGTGCAGAAACATTTTACTGTGTAAAACAATGTATCGTGTCCAGAACTTTACTCTCACTTATAGAAGACAATTAAGTAAGAGATTGGTAGGAGAGCTAGAAAATGTAAGAGCACAGGTGATGCCTAAATTAAACAAAAAGAAAATTGTTATTGTGTAATGCAATTGCTCATTTATAGAAATAAGAGGAAACTGAAAGAGGTTTCTCTTAGCTTCTGGTGCTCTTTATGTTGCAAGGCACTAATTAAGATATGACAAGAACGTTGTGGGCATTTTGACTCTCAGTGGTCACAGCCTTCTCATTTGCGCGGTTTTGGTCCTGATCACTGAAAACCGGCCAACATCGGACCTTAGGACGTCAAGCTTTTGTCTCTAGAGGGAGACAAACACTGTTTGAATGTTTCATAAAAGTGTGATTTCAGGCAATGTACTGTAGCTCATCGGATCTGAGTAAAGCTGATGAGTCAGAGGTGCTACATGTGGTACCGGAACAGGTTTGGCCATAACATACCAACGGTCAAAGTAATAAACTTATCTTAGTTTGGTTTCCCCTAAATCTGCTGAAAATAGCGTCCGTGTCAGTAAAACATAGCACTTTTGATTTCATTTATGGGAATTAAATCAACATGAAAGTGATATTTCCTGATATGTGTGTATTTCCATCTATATACAATACAATATATGGATGTGTGTGTGTGTGTGTGGTTCTGTGTTTGAATTTATGCGAGCCGTCCTGTACTCCGATGGTCATGAAGGAATAGAGAGACACTCTGCAAGGTATTCTCTACATATTGCACAAACCGATTGGCGAACACACAGTGGAGGATTGGAGATAATATTTAGAGTTTCTCCTCCTTTAGCCTAATTTTCTGATGGCAGCGGGCCGTCAAGTAACATCGAGAAATGTGTTTAGTGACTGTTGGGATTAGCTTTTGTTGATTAGTTTAGGTCTGAAAATGTGTTTGTAGCAGCTGGTATACTCAATCTCTGTTCCACTGTTGTTCTTTTATAATCAGTGAGGTGGAAAAGAAGTGCCAGTTCTCTCCTTGTTCAAATGTTGGAATGTTATTGGCAATATTTGATTTATTCCTAATCATGTTATTTTCTTAAAGCATGTTTGGGCCTACGGCCTCATTCCTAATATGTTGAGTTTTTATTGTTCAGTCATTGTTATGGTCACTGTCTAGACACCTCTAAGCCTTGAAAGAACCGCTTTCTAGTATTCATCTTTTCAAGTAATAATGCGATTTCTTCGCAAAAAGGGTTTTGCAATCATTTTTTTTTATTTTTGGTGTGTCAAAATATCTCTTATTGTCACTGCGAAGATCGCTGCAAGCCTCGGAAAAAGACTCGCTTATATTTGTCTTTGCATGAAATAATCTTTTTTCTTTCCCATTAAAAATGAACTTTGGGGATTTCCCCCATTTATGTGGCTTCATAACAACCCATTTACAGTTACTTTTTAAATGGTGAAATGTGTCATATTCTCCCTGACAGCCTTAAGAAAAATCTGAACAAACACTCAAATCCTTCTGACAGAGTTTATTTCAGAGTTTATTTCTTGCCCATTAAAGAGCGGTGTCAACTTGAGTGGTATTTTAATCGTTTGATTGATTTCAGTCCCGAAGAAAGCATTTGAACCTTCAAATTCTGTATTTACGTCGACCCATCCGACGTCTTCACACGCCTTGGTACTCGTGTTTGCAGTGTCCGACGTACAGGGGCTCTGCTCTGATGCCCCGCCTTCAGGAGAAAGGGAAGCAGAAACACCAGTATGCAATGAGCAAACATGAGGGAAAATACCTGGCGTCTTATTAAGGTACGCCAGCACTTAGCTCTTTACACAAGCTGGATAAAAATGGCAATTTACCTCACAAGCTTGCAGCGCAGGTCCTGGAAACGAGGGAAGGCCTTGTCTGCACTGGATGTCTGCTTCTCATCACTCCAAAGTCTCTCTGCCGCAGCACTTGCCCTCGGCCTGTAAACAGATGAATTTCATAACATTTTTGCTGCACGTGCTGAATTAAGTTGATCAGTTTTTAGCAATTTAGAGATCTTTTAAATCTTTTACCAAAGACGTGGAGTGAGATTGGTGGCATCAACATACTCCCCCCACATGCAGACTTCCCCCCCTATCACCAGCTTCTTCTGCTCCTCGGTACCTGCGAGGGGACGGCGTAAAGCTTTGCTTTAATAATGTGAAGGCTGACAATGAATTTACAAGGAATCAGAATATTCACGGAAAAAATGGATCACACCACTTGGGAAAAAAAACACACACACACACTCAGCAAGTCAATGTTGAAATAGGCCTTGACATCACAGGCACATTACTGAGCCATGTTATATAATATGATATTACTTTAGCATGCAAACACACCAGGAAAGTCCAGTGGTTGGACGTTGTAGTATTGATGCCAGTCCTGGCCATAGGATATGTGGTTGATATACCATGGGGCAGCTAGCAGGACCTTCATGCCAGCTTTGGTCATCCTGCTGAGCTCTGCTTGATAACTAGCAGGGGTACCCTTCCAGATGTGCAGCACCGTGTCCTTAGGAATCTGAACAGGGTGATACAACATGCGGTCTTTCCCTTCTGTGCAATAGTGCAACGGATCTGATGTTTACATATAGTGTTATATGTATCAGATAATAGGCACATTTAAAATCTCCTGAATGAGCTTTTATCTGTTTACAGGTAAGGTTCTCGGAATTGGTGCGGTCCAATGAGGAAAAACATCAGAACTTTCATAATTGAAATAAATTAATAATTGTGCAATAAGTTTGTTACGGCAATGATATTCTACTTTCGGTATATGAGGAAAGAATGTGCATGTTATGCATCGGGCATCAGACGGCATTGAGAGCTTGTGCCACACCAACAACACCTCGCAGTCGCTATCCCAATTCCATGCTACGGAATAATTCTACGTACTGTTTGTAATGTGCTCACATTGGAAAGGTTATTAAAAAATTGATTTATATGTTATGTAAATATCCGTGATACTCATTCTGTATAGAATTAGTATGCCACATGAAATTTGGACACAGAATATGCTTTTGTAACATTAAAGAAGTCTTCACTGCCGGCTATCAACATGGCTACAAATATTGAAATGATGTGTTGCATGTGTTAAAAAGGTGCAGTTGTGGATGACCTATATTTAAGAGGAAATAAGACAAGAACCACAGCAGAAACCACAACTACAACTAGCCACAGCACGCAGAACCTTTTCGGACCCTTGAAGGCGAGGGGCCACACAGTATAGAAGCGGGCCCAGTTGTGTGTGGGCCCTGGCTGGTCCAGGTACCACGGAGAGGCCAGAATCACCCTGAGTCCCGCTTTAGCCACCCTGCGCACTTCACACAGGTAGCAACCACCTTTCCATACCTCCACCACTGATAGGGAGCTACGCTGCAACACAATTATATATGGATTATATGGATCAGATTTACGAAAACGGATCCTGTGATACAGAAGCTTTTCTTTATAATCAAAGCATTGTATACAATGTACTGTTAAACATGTTTGGTCAATAGCCAGTGGATGCCTGCAAAAGTAAAAATGTATTTAGTGACAGACTAAATGCTACATGTTTAACAATTGTATTTAAAATCTATCCTTCAGTGGATGCACAAACTTATATAAAAAAGGCCGAAATACGAACAATAATACAGGAAAAAAAGTAATCATACATTATAAACAATTTCTAAAATGTATGTGAGCCGCTGACACATAACACAAAATATATTTCTCAGTACTGTCTATTACATCACGCAGGTGTTATTAGTTGGGGTGTACTTACTAGCTCATGGTAATCAAACACGTCCTGCCAGACGATAGCTGTTTTGTTGAGCGCTGATGTGATGTTCACAATGCTAGAAATAATGACACATTAACTACATTTGTCACTTGAACATGTTGGATGGTGTCTATCTCTGAGGATGCTGCCCGTCAACACCTACTTCTCCATGTAGAATGCCTCTAGTTTGGTGAAGTCTACTCCAAATCCCATCTTTTTCATGAACGCTCGAATATCTGGGTTGGAACTCCTATGGAAACAAGCAGCCAAGATAATAAATGGTAGAGTATCCTTCCCGTACATAAAAACCTTCCACTTTGAAACCGATCAAAACAAACGTGCAGATGGGTGTACAAATTTAATAACAATATTAACAAACAATAGCGATTAAAACCAGAACGTTCAGCAGGAATGGAATCGATCCGTCACATTTCAACCCACCAGCAGGAGAAGTTCACCTCGTCACCTCCTAGGTGGATGTGGGAATCAGGAAATACCGATGACACTTCCTTAAAGAGTCTTGCCATGAACTGGTAGGTGGAGGGTAAAACTGGATTAACGGGTCCAAAAGTACCCGACAGGGAACTCCCTCTGTAGCAGGGTGTCAACAAGTCAGACTGCCCTAGGAAATAAATGGTAATCAATCCAATTTAGTTCAGCCATTGGCTAAAATACATGCATTGTATTGTTGAACGCAGACACTTATTGCTCCTGGTGTGGACATAAAACTCCCCCAAATAGGAATTGAGTCAAACACAAGATCCACAATGTGTCTTGTTGGCATTCATAGTCTCGGCTAGCAGGTTTGGCAGACTTTTGTCAACAGATTTCTATTGGACTGAATGCAGAGTACTTTACATGTTGAATACCAAGGAGATGGGATCATTTAGACAGGACAGTTGTTTAAGAGTAATTTATACCTTTCCCCCATGATGCAGTGTGGCCTGGTGAATCAAACTCAGGGAGGACTCTTATTCCCCACAGCCGGGCATGTGAGATAACCCTCCTCACATCAGATTGAGTGTAGATGTGAGTCATCGGATGGAAAGCCCCCTGAATCAGAGGCAGAAGATTTTGTTCAGGGTAAATGCAACTTTTCAAACAATGGATCCTCATGCAGTAGCCTAGTTAAAAATCTAGGATAATACAAAAACTACAAAGTTAATCATCATTAAAATGCAGATATACTTCAATGAATGTGCGAACGTGATGGTGCACATGAGTATAGACGGTTTGTTATTATCATGGGCAAGACCAACCTTACTGGAAAGGTCTGGGTAGGTCCGGCTCTGGTAAGGGAAGGAGGGGTCATCAACGATGTGCCAATGAAACACATTGAACTTACTGTAGGCCATTGCATCCTAACAAGAAAGATGTGCGTTAGTATCACTGAAGGAGAACGTAAGGTTGAAGTTCAGGTTCTGCAATATGATGATTACCAGAGTTTGTAAAATCGTCTTCACTGGTAAATAATGACGCGAAGTGTCCAACAGGATTCCCCTGAACTGAAACCGGGGGAAGTCGACAATCTCTGTCTTGTTCACAAAGTACTAAAAGGAAGAAAGAAAAAAAAAAGTTTGATTGATGTACTCACAGCATTATTCAAACTTCAATACGTGGTAAAAATGTGCACCTTTAAAGGACTCATGAGTTTTTGTAAAATTCAAACTTACTGAACCAAAATCATCTTGATACACCAGTTGACTGAAGGTTTCCAGACCTGTAAGCAGAAGATGTATAATATATAATAAGCAATCAATTAATGCTGCAGTTAACAGTGTGACACCAACTGTACAGCAGACTGTAGCTGGTTGATAGCATGTCTGTTTTATTTGTTTTTACTTTGGTACATGAATCTTTTTATTTTGTTCATACATGTTCTTCAAAAATGCATTGGATATAATCACCTCTTAATGCACCCCACACAGTCTCCGCATTGAGGGATGCTTGTCTTGCAGAGACACTCAGATTATCTGGAATGCAATAGAAGCGAGTTAGATAATGGATCAGACCCCACTGACTGGGAATGGTTGTTGTCACTGGGACTTTTGCCAGAGGTGCTCTGTCGCATGAGAAATGTGTTGATACGTACATCTCTCAGATGAGTCCTCGTTTGGGTAACTCTCACAATCGTCACGGTCAACAGTGATCACAAGACGGAATGGTTTATCCGCATAGAATCGCAGAACACCATTTCCTGTTGGTCATAACATTGAAAGAATCATCAGTAGCGTAATTGATGATATAATATCGTGCGTCACACAATATGAACATTGGTAGAAATTTCCTAGATGTGAATATGTGGCCTTATGTGGCCTTTGCACTTAAATTTTTACAATGTTACTGAAGTACCATTATTATATAGATATGGGATTTTCAACAACACAAACATTATGACGTGCTGTACTGGTCCGTTTTCAATGAGAGATTTCAGAGTAGGTAGGCCTACATGGCTGTCTGATGAACTGCTGGCTTTACAAAGCCCATTGATCTGCTTTGAAAGCCAACGTGAACACTAGAACATTCAAAAACAAACTAGTTGCTCTACATTCTTCGGGCATCCATTATGCCAGTTTCTTTGCCCATGAACCACCTGATCACCACACTCTTAATCTGAATACTAGAATAGAAAAATACAGGATATGCATACATAGTTTTTACATTGCATGTGGTATAATGACATAATAATGGCACAGTAAACTCTGGTCCTATGGCATTATGCTGTGGCAAAGAATCACTAATATTTGGATCAAAGAAACACTTTGTGATATTGTAAACTTCAACAACATTATTTTTAGCATGCAGCGCCCTTTAAATCTAGTAATAGTCTCTCTGCCACCTCACCAGTGTAGTCTGGAAAGATAAGAGGAAAATATCTCGTGAATGCAGCATCCAGAACGGAGCAGCCCTGCTGTGCGGCCGATTGACTTCCGTATTCAAAGTAGAAAGCCTCTGGGCTCAGAGGGGATCGCTCGATGGAAGAGGTGAAGGTCTGCGGTAACGGCCACACTCCCTCCACTGTGTGCGGGCCATTTCGGAGGAAAATAAGTAGCAGCAAATAGAAATGTGGACGAAGATATTGTCCAAAAGTAACACAACGCGCGGCTTCCATGCTACTCCGCTCGGGCAAACTGCACTGCCAAGCTGAACCAATCAGGTGGACGAGAGACTCGAGTCACGTGACTGGCGACACACGGTTAAAAAAAAAAAAAAAAATTGTTAAAACGGTTTGCAAACGTCCTGTATCCGACTATATCGCATATCCCGTTAGACATATATGTTGGAGTTACTGGGTTTTGTTGTTGTGCAGCTAGATAAATCAGTTTATAAGAGTACATTAACGTAACGTTAATGCGATGAAACTATTTACTTAAATAATAATTAAACCTTAGAGAGTAGAAAAGAGAATAGCTAAATTGCAAAAACAGTTACACCTTTATTTTGCAAGACAATAACAAAACACTGTCTAAACATCATGTTCAACCAACAGAGCTCAATAAAGGCTAGACAAACCAGCATAGACAATAACCTGTCTATTTTATTCAGGCTAGTCAGCAGTGCAAAGACAGTTCCCTGAAATAAAAGTAGGCTAAAAGTGAAATAAATTAAATAAAAATAATAAAAACTCCCAGCAGAGCATGGTTTGAAATAAATAACAACACACTCCCTAAATTCAACCGTATACAATGCAATCAGCCTGGTGGAAATTAAGCTTTTGTGCCAAAAAAATAGCAACTCATTTAAACTAAACAATGTAGCCTATAAGGCATACAGCTATACAACACACCGCATAGTTAAATCACTTCAGGAGGCAAAAACTAAGGAAATTAGTTAAACAACTAATTTCATGTTGTTGTTTCAGTTGTAATTTTACTTGTTCATGTTGAACAACTACCTTTGTTGTTTTCAATCTACAAAACAAGACGCAAGCGCCTGGGTTTAGTGTTGAAAACAGAAATTATCTCATCATAGTCCAAAGAGTTACAGAGTTCTTTTTCAAAGGACAAAAGGCACAGGTTGTTAAGGCGGGTAGTACTCATAGCTGCTCTGAGGTCTGTCTTTATCCTGCCTGCAGTGGAGAACAGTCTCTCACAACTACAAGAAGTCATGGGAAGGGTGATGATGACTTGAAGTAGTTTGTTGATGTTTGGAAATATGTCAGGAGCACAAATGTCCAATACTTCCACAAGGGATGGAAATTCCAGGCCATTGGCTACTTTTCGACGCAGTTGCTCAATGAATACTGTTAGTTCAGCGTCCTCAGCCAATATATGAAAGTGATCACACGGGGCCCGCAGAGAATCCTTCTTTGCAAAAGTCTTAAGACTGTGGGAGAAAAGTTGCTGCTGCCCTCATTATTCCATACTGATCCTCTTGGAAACGATTGTCCAGCTCTGCCAGCTGTCTGTCAAGGATGTCGTTCCATATGTGTCTTAAGTCATCATCATTTCTCACACTTGTTGCTTTCCCCAAACTAGTTGTGACCACTGATCCTGCAAGCCTCGCAGGGAGCTTTCTCACTCTGGTCCCAGCTGGGATGTCCCAGCTTGTGATTTCATTTTTCCGCATCAACTCTTCTGTTAGCTTCATTGCTTGCTCAAAATCACACCCTGAATTGTCTCTAAACCGAGTAAAGCTCTCTTTTAGTCCCTCAATAAGATCGATGCACTCAGAAACTGACAATGTTGGGCTTTGTAAACCCCGTGTGGCAAAATCGCTCGTCTGAAATAACTTTCCAAATGTGACGAGTAAAAAGAAGAACTTTTTTGTTTGTATTTGTTGCAACAGTGACTGCGCCTCAACCTTCGAGTGGCCACTGCTTTCAGCATATTCAGCAAGCACTTCTAATATTACGTCGAGTAACGTCAGTACTTTGCTCACTGCTCCGGATTTGGAGCTCCAGTCGCTCTGTCGCTCTGTCGCAAATGGGCTGTCAGCTGCGCTTGGAAAATGTCTGCACATTTTACAGAAAATCGCGTCCTTGATTACACTGTACTCCAACCAAGGAAACTGTCCATACCACTTTGATGCGAAGCTCCTTGATTTTCCATTCTTGACAGCGCAGGGAAATACCTTCAAATTGGGTTGTGAAGGTGGTTCATCAATTGCGGTTAGATCGGCGGGTAAACCCGCGTCAGGCTGACCGGGAGAGAGCACCGGCACTGCCACGGAGCAAGCAGCGGCCGCCACGGGCACCTGACTAGGCTTCTTGTGGGCAAATGAGTCCGAAGAACTGGGCTGGGTGGACTCGGTAGATGGAGGCAGTGGCGAGTCTTCTCCCCCCACTCTTGCTTTTTTAAAATAACACATTAAAGACACTTGTTTAGCCACTATTGTGGCGATGTTAATCATTAGCTAAAAAAGCAGCTAGCTAGCAAAGAACCCGCCGCCGCCCAGAGAGTCGTCCAGTCGGAACCCCTAGCAAGCATAGCAACCGATTACGTTCCAGAAGGAGTATATCTACAATTTACAGTTCAATTTTATTAGGAAAACAAATTAAACACACACACCAGTCAAAAATAAATCAAATTTATATTCATATATTTTCTTAAATACATTTGAATAGTAAAAATAAACTAAAAATGATTAACTAAAAAACAATTTGATCAAACTTGCCTGGGTGGGCCAGTGAGTAATGTGGGCGGGCCAGTGCCGCCCTGGCCCATAACTGGCCACGCCCCTGCTTTAGACCTCGTCTACATTTTACAAGGTGGAAGTGCCGCTGTGTTGAGCTGCAGATGTTAAAATTGGACATATAATGGGAATGATTTATTGCGTATTTTAAAAATAGTTTGGATACATATTAGTGTGAAATAAAGCCGCCATATGAACACACGTTTTTTCTTTTAATTTTCCTGTACGGCCCATCTGACGTAAGGACGTTGTCAGTTGGTGACGCTGTGTCTCTTTGTTGGCTTAGCAGCGGCGACGGTTTGTTGTTATTTTCGCTGCAGCCGAAAAATAGGCTCGGATCATTTGGGTTTTCGTATTGTTCCGTAATCAACATTCCTTAGACTGTAGACTTAGTTGTGACTTTCACAAGTTGATAACAACCCTAGGAATGGACTCAGACGAGGGTTATAACTATGAATACGACGACGAGGAGGAGGAATGTAGCGAGGATAGCGTCGAAGAGGAGCCCGAGGACGACACCCTGGAGCTGGGAGAGGTGGAGTTGGTCGATCCCGTTGTGGCCGGTGGAGACCGAGACGACTGCGGGGAGACTGGCGGAGGTGGCCACGGTCCTGGTGAGGAAGAGGAAGAGGACTACCGCTTCGAGGTTTTGACTGCCGAGCAGATCCTCCAGCATATGGTGGAGTGTATCAGGGAGGTCAACGAGGTCATCCAGGTAGGCATCCTGGTGTTTAGGTGGCAGGAAAGTCCGTGGTCCGGGCTTGGTTTCCGTTGAAACAGGCCATGGACGTTAGCCTAGCCACTTAGTCATTAGCTCGGCTTGCTGGAAGTTGGCAGTTTCACTAGTGATACGCTATACACAATACTAAAAAGAATTTTACTTCACTAGTTTGCTCTTTTTTGTCCAGGTTTGTTTACAATCGTGTACTATGTTAAATGTTTTACATTTAAGTAACATCATTTCCATATGAGGGCCAGGAAGTAGTCTAATCCCAATTGAGAAGTTGGCAGAAACGTCTGCTAAGCTAATGTTAGCTAGCTAGCAGGCTAACTAGCAATCTGTAACCGTTAATCGAGCACCTCAATGCAAAAGCATAACGTCTTCAGTGTTGCATTAGGGTAACGTTAACTGCCAACTGGTGCAAAACGGTTGTTTTGGTGCGTTAACCAAGTAATCTACATTCAACGTTTCACAATTATTTTTATAACAATCGTTGACGTTATTTTAATGTTGCACGAAAGGCTTGGTCATCGACTTCGTTAGCAAGTTAGCGTTACATTTAATGGTTATTTAGCTTAACGTTTACACGATGGTTTATGATGACTTCATAAAGTTTCAAAGGATCGCAAACACGTTTTAATCTGGCAACAGCCAATAGTTAACTAACTTACATAGTAAATCACCTATACGGGGCAACTCCGTGGAGCCCATTTGGTTTTGCGTTACATTGGGCCTCCGTTTCTTTTCACTTAACGTTAGCTAACTTGAGTGGAGTACAAATAAAATGGAACGTGATCTTGAAAGACATAACGTACGTTATTTCACATAACCGTTAAAAGCGTTAACAACATGGTGGTTTAACGGCCATTATTAACCAAGCTCAAACAATACATGGGTAAAATATCAGCACAGTGGATGTGGTACAGCCGCATGGCAGTAGGAACAACTGACATGGTGATACTTCTAAAAATAGGATTTACATCTACCTACTTAATATCTATTTTTTCGGCCCCAACAAATAACCTTTTTAGGCAAACTATCTAACCACATGTTAACATTCCAATCTCACTCCACGTCTTCGAATTTCAATTCTCAATGTGTAGAAGGAGTCAGAAGTGTTGTTGGCTTATCTTGACATTCATTTTCCTGCATTTAATGACTGCATTCTCATATCTAGAGTGACTAGATCTGCCTGGCAGATGAAGGGGTGACGTTACAGGGACTGATGGGTTTATTTCATCTGTCGAGACCCGTAAGCTGTCAAAGATGCCCCTGCAAGCCTCAGATACAAAAGCAAATCTTAACGGAGAACTATTCAGGAAAATATTCTGAGGTGTTTCCCACCCCACTTATATCAGTGAGTGTTGGCCAAATATTAGAACCACTCTTAGCAACACAGTTCAACGGCAACACAAAGTGCAGCCTGTAAAATGAGTACCTCATTTAATCAACACCCTTCTCAACATCACTGCAGCTTTTATGGAGGTAAGATTTATCACACTTCTATTGTATTGGACTGACTTTGCTCGTTTTAACCAGGTGACTCATGTCTGCTTAATGAGTAATCATACTTTATGATTGATATCGGCTTTTTCAGGAAAAGCGCAGCTACACAGGTTGTACGAGACCGTAACATGACTGATTATTTATTATTATGCATTCTTCCCTAATTATTTACAACGCCAATACCAGTACCCTTCAAGTTCTACTGATACCAATATAGTCCTTCATTTCATACCCTTTTTTTCTACTGCATTTGGAGTGATAGCGCTACATTTTAACCGGTTACCAACAACACGTTTTTTGACCTCTCAGTAAAACAGTAAAAAAAAAAAAAAAAAAAGCAGCGCTCAACCCTCCGACCCACGTTATTGCTTATTTATGGACTCTAGATTCAATGTTTGCGCAGTCGTGGGCTATAAGCACGCGCTGTTTCTCTCGCCTGAACTTACCAACATTATGTCGGCGTTGCAGTACCCGGTATGCCTGGCAGACACGCAGCTGAAAACCTGGTGGTTCAGCTAATTGAAGTGGTGGAAAGTTATTGCGAATGTGAATTTATATGAAAATACAGTATTTTAGCGTAACTGGTACAATATGAATAATTCCCTAATGTAATCATTAATTTGCTGAGATAAATCCAGAGTGTTCTGTTAAACTATGATACAATGTACTCTACTGTTGCACCATTGGTCGGATTTTAAAGTGGGATGTAGAATGCTTATTTTCTTGCTAAATTAAAATATAATAACCACGTTTGTGAGAAATAAAATAAAGAAACAACAGCAGCACATTTTGTTTGGGAGAATCTAAATTGAGCTTTTAGTGCAGTTTAGAACTTTTAATACATATGTCATCCTAAAGGTAGATGCTAGGAATTCAGACTTTCTGTAAATAACTCCAGGTTTCTTTTTGCTTGTGTAGTTTTAACAAAAAACTGTGGGATGAACAACATGACACTGCGCTTTGGTTGGTCCTCAGAATTACAACTGCATGGCGTACAGTAGTCACACACCCAAGTCGTAGTATAATAAACTCTGGTTGAGGAAAAAAAAAAGAAACGGTTGGACTGGTTCCAACTGAAGGGGTCACAAACCAGTTTATATTTCTTATGAAGTTTAGATTAAATCAATATTGAATTATGTTACTGTTCTAAATGATTCTTCCACAATATAACCTTACAAAAGAAGCCAACGGCACTTAAAAACATGCAACTCGACTACTTTGGAGGAAAACCGTGTAGTACCACAGATACCGGTCAGTGAAATGTTACTTGCAGACTCAGATTTGGTTTTGGTAACTATGACAATATAATGTTCTAAACTACTAAGCATCATATCACAAAATAAAGTTCATTGTGCTTCTGTCTTTCAGTCTTTGAAGTAAAACATATGAAATATACCATGTTTATTATGCAATCTTGATAGTTTTACTATTGATAGCTGATTGTTTAACTCCGGAATTCTTTTTTGAGTAGGCCTACATCTTCTACCATTACATTACATGTCATTTAGCTGACACTTTTATCTGAAGCGACTTACAATAAGGGCATTTCTACCACTGCTAATACTGCTAAAACATTCCCAATTAGCAAAAAGTGTGAAATGTAAAGCTCCAAAACAGCGTTTGTCTGGGGCTCAGAAATCACTGAGACAGGGGTCTCAAGCTCAATTCTGGTGCGGGCCAGATGCACAGATGCAGCCCACCGGGCCCGAACATTCGGGCCAGACCATTACGGCCGATTGGGAGGTGGCGCTGACGGTCCGACCGGCGAACTGTACGGTGCTCTCTGCACATCCAAAGCCACTATTTTTTTCTCACACACACACACACACACCCCCATGTCTCTCACATGCATGCCGCATTCACTGGAAAGGCACACAGTAGCAAACTAGAACATCATAACATTGTCCCACACAGCAGCTAACAGAGGGGTTGCTACAATATAAAACTCGCCGGCCGCACTAACAATAAACTTTCATATTAAGGTGGGGGCCACAAAATATCGCCCCGAGGGCCGCGAGACCCCTGCACTAAGCTATCGCGTTCGCAGTCAGGGTCGCCTTATTACATTACAGAAATGCAGTGATTTGTATAACCTGTGTCTGCAATGTTGCCAGACTGGCTCTTCCTGGAAGTTTTGGAAGTATTTAAGACGGAGACCAAACAACGTGGTGCCCTGTAATGCAAAACGGAAATGTCTCCTCATAGCAGAACTATTTAGTCACTTCCAAAAGTGAAAACATCCCGCAGCGCTTTCTCAAGGCGGCAGTGCCGGCGAGACGTCACCAATTCCAGTTCACCCTTTGTCCTCACAAAAGGAAAAACTTCACGGCATTTTAATCAAATGCTAAAATATTTATCGTAACCCTTTAAGTTGTAATTGAATAAATAAAAGCAGACCTTTATGGCACACAGTGATTCAATAAATCACTCAATAGTCACAGCAATCCTTTTCATTTTGAGATTCAATATTATTCTGACATTTATTTAGTTTATTATCTTGTTACATTTGTTTGTATTTAAGAGAAGATACTGATAATGTTTTTCCAGTCATTTTATTTAATAAAGAAATTCTAATTCTTCTATAACATTAATTAAAAAAACCTTTTTAGAACCACCAATGAAATAATTATGAGAGTAATTAACTAATCAAAATATAACTGATTCTGAAAAAAAATAATCATTAGGGGCTGCCCAACTCTGTCCTACCTTTTTGTGTGAGGGGGGTTGATAGGATTTTAAAATATCATCTTTTAGAAGTGTAAATATTCAGTCTGATTCTAACTCGCCTGTCAACGTTTTAATGCATCTCAATGTATCATATCTGATATTTTAGTATTGTAATGTAGCATTCTATAATATAAAGAGCTCCATCTTGCATTCTGTAGTCTAAAAAGATCCAATGTTTACATTGAAGGTGGGGGTCTGAGGGCCGATGGCATTTCACGTATTACCTTGGTGGTTAGCCAACTACTCGCAGCTCTTCTATTTTACTTGGTTTAAGTCACTGCCTCCTTACATTACATTAACATGTCATTTAGCTGACGCGTTTATCCAAAGCGACTTACAATAAGTAACGGAGTGAACAGAATCGCAGTTGAATTTCAGCTCGCATGTACGTTTTTTTTCCTCCCAACATTTCTGACAAGAGAACCACTGATCCTGGTAGCGACGGCACAAGTCTCCTCTGTGCTGCGTGGACACATTGCGCCTGTAAGCTCGGCCCGGGGAAACACCCAGGTCAGTGAAGGAGGCCGAGAGGAAGAAGCGCGACCGAGCAAACCGCAGTCAAGACTCCGACTGAGCCAAAGCGAAGCCGTACCCCTTGATGTGTTTGGTCACCGCATTGATTCAGAGTCGTTCACGTCCGCATCGCAAAAAAACATGAACGTTCTTGTGTAGTTTGTTCTGTTTTATTTGTTTACATGGACGGAAAAGGAATTGTAATGCGAGGACTATTGAACCAAACTATGTTTAGCAATATAACATTACTTAATTCATTTACTGGGCTTAATCGAGATTGTAAAAAAACCTGGACAATTAAGCTTTCTATCATTACTTAAGAGTATTCCACTTCTAAGGAGGGACTTTTCATCACACATTTACTCCTTTTTGTGGTTGTGAAATTTAGCAATTGTTTTTAAATTTTTCTTAACGCTTTCTTGTTCCGCTAGAATCCTGCGACAATAACACGCATACTTCTCAGCCACTTCAACTGGGATAAAGAAAAGCTCATGGAAAGGTAAGAATCTCCTGAAACACATTCTCAATTGTCACCTTTAACCTACCAGCCTGCAAGTGAAGAAGTCTGCACCGAAGATGCCTGGAAGAACACGTTTCTTTTTGTCTTCCATTATGCAGGTATTTTGATGGGAATCTGGACAAGCTTTTCTCTGAGTGTCACGTCATTAACCCCAGTAAGAAGCCTCGCAGCCGTCCAATCAACACTAGATCGTCGGCACAGGACATGCCGTGTCAGATCTGCTACCTGAACTTCCCCAACTCTGTGAGTCCCATAACTATTGTGTAGCGCTGGATGGTACCGCTATCAAATTTCCATACAGTTGAATTTTGTTTTTCCCCACACACCTTAAAAACTGTTGCCACTAAAAGGCAGCTAAATATATAGTACACGGCTCAACGCCGGGGCGCAGCAGTCGGAGCTATTTGTACCCCGTGAATTGAGCTTCATGGTTATAACTTTATGACAATGAATATCCCGCACCTGACGCTCTTCAACAGGGTAAAACACCACGACACAACCGCTTGTGACACATAAACCATTTGTTACACTAATAGTTGTACATTTATAAAATTACACCGCCGAACTGCATGCTGGGTACAGCTCACCCGCTGTCACAACAAGAAGAAACTCGAGAGATCAGAGATGCACAAATACAACTTTTACATTACATGTCATTTAGCTGACTCTTTTATCCAAAGCGACTTACAATCAGTGCATTTCAACCATAAGGACACAAACTCAGAAGAGCAAGAATCAAGAAAGTGCAGTTTCCTCAAATAAGCCAATTTACTTGCTACTTGCTATAGATGAGTGGCGTTATAAGTACAATCTAAGTGCTACAATGTGTTAGTCTTTTAGTGGAGGCAGAGTCTGAAGATGTGGAGGCTCTCTGCGGTCCTGATGTCATCAGAGAGCTCGTTCCACCATTTCGGAGCAGGACAGCACAGAGTCGTGATCTAGTCGAGTGTTTTGCTCTCAGTGAGGGAGGGACAACTTGTGCCCAGGGGAGTTGGTTGAGACGCTGGTTGCCTCTGGTGGCAACGCCAGCAGCCACAACAAGCCAACGAGCGGTGAACAGCTGGTCAGGTGGCCCCTGGTCCTTTTGGCGTCAATAAATGAATGTGTTTAATTTTTTTTTTTTTTTTAAAGAAATAGCGTGATATGAATTTTTTGCTATACTGCCCAGCCCTACTGTTGTAGGCAAAGGCAATAAAGAGAAGAAGGCCAACGTTGATGCTGGCATCTAAAGTTCTCCTATTGAAATAGGACATTGGCTGAGATTCTGCACCATGTGATCACGAGGCTCCGCAATCCATGTTTATGTGCTTGCACGCTATTTTAGTTTGTGTGTTGCAATAACCTGTTGGGCACTTTTTGATGTTTTGTTGTTTCACAACTTGAAATGCTTGAACACTGCAGTGCTCAACTCCCAAATGATGTGTATTGTCTCAAACAGAGATGAGCGTACACTATTTAGGCCAGGTGGTTTAGCAATGTTCTGTTTTTGTTCTCCTATAATCAGAACGTTTCTTTAATGTAGAACGTTTGTGAATCATCTCACTCGGCAGGCTGTGCATGTGCTTACTATCATGTGGTGTCCTGTTCTTCTTATTCACAACATGCGTTTCCCTTACAGTATTTTACAGGCCTGGAGTGTGGACACAAGTTCTGCATGCAGTGCTGGGGAGACTACCTGACCACCAAAATAATAGAAGAAGGAATGGGACAGGTACGCACGAGTCCCTGATCGTTCACATTTCATGTACATTCATTTAGCGCTTTCATCCAAAGCGACTTACATTGCATTTTGAACCCGTGGTTTTTACATTTTGCCCGGGGAGCAGCTAGGGGTCGGGTGTCTTGCTCCACGTGCCACCGTCGCCTCACTTTAATAGCAGTTTGACTAATGATTGGCCTTGTTTTTTTTGTTTTCTCAGACCATTTCTTGCCCCGCTCATAGTTGTGACATTTTGGTCGATGACAACACAGTCATGTGAGTATCTTTTGTGCTCCTATTTTTTGACTTTGTTGTTACGAAAAGAGCAGGAAACAAAAAGGATTGCTCCGTGTGCTTTTGAGGGGGCGTGGCCTTGGCCGGAGATATTCTTTTTTTTTTGGGTGTTGTCCGTACATCACGCCAATAGTCTTCATTCTCATGAACCTGATTTCTTCAAATTTGGCTCAAACCCGGACTAAAGGATCAACTCTTCAACGTATTTTCCAATATATTGTGAAATATAACACAACATTTATATTTGCCTATGGAGAAAATAAGTATGACCCAAGTGTCTGGCTGCCTCAGAACAGTTGATTAAGAACACCGTGTCATAGACATAATGGGCAAAGATAAATATTTCAAATAGCTTAGAGCTTTGTGTCTTACAAATGTGGGTATTTATCCCTTTTTTGTGACGTGTCTGGTAACTAGTACTAGAGTTAGTGCTTAAAGTTTAACTAGTGACCTCACGCAATATGTTTATTACAATTAAATAGCTAATGGAGACAATGGGCAGCATTGTTACATCTGCACGGCTGAAATGAATATCACTTTCAGTGTTTCCTCTGGGTTTACAACTTACGTGGCGATTAGTCGGACAAACAGATCGGGGGGGGGGGGGGGGGTACATATGCACACATTTAATTCCAGACTTAGGGGGGGGGCAACTATTGTCTTGAAAAGTTTGAACACATAATGAAGCCCGTACAATCTTTCAATATAAAGTTCATATTGGGAACATTGTGCCTTTCGATGCAGGGCTCTTTAGTTGAACCTCCACTTAACTCCTTTGCAATGTTGATGTTAGCCTGCAGTGTAATGAAATAAACCTCCATGTGAGAGCATGGACACTAATATCTCGTGGCACCTCTTAAGCTTACTAATTGGCTTGACCTACATTCTGATCTGTCAAGTTAACGAGATACCAATCAGTGTTTTCACGCAACGTTTCAAGTCAATATTTAGTTTGATGAAATGCATTTTCTACTGATTTATGCAATATTGCTCATGAAATGGTTTAGCGGGATATTTATTTCCTGCATGACAGGAAAGCGAGTTAAATCGGATACGAGTGACGTGTTTAACCCTGAATCTCCGGGTAAAATACTTCGAACAACAAACACTAACACTGGGTGATCTGGACCGGCCCCCTTCTAGTGTTGTTACTCAGAACATAGGACGCACAAATCACCTCGACTATCAGCTAACACAGAACACTGAGTGCTAAATGGGATATCTGTTGGGATGACAGTCGCAGGCGAGCTCACAGACTCTATGGGAACATTGTATTGCTTGAATTACTGTGAATTACGCAGAGCAAGTTTTCCCAACAACTGCTTAGTTAGAAGCCGACTCCTGAACTTAGTGAAATATTTTTTGTTTCCTGCAATGTGTCTTGCACTGAATGTGAAGGAAGACTAATAAGTGATTTGACCTCTCCTACAGGCGCCTCATAACAGATTCTAAAGTGAAGTTGAAGTACCAGCATTTAATTACAAATAGTTTTGTAGAGGTAAGCTTTGGAATCTTTTTTTCAGAATATGAATATTTAATATGAAGCCTTGATTTCTGATGTTACGCTATTCTTCTGTTATGCAGTATTTGAAAAAGGCAGGCACCTTCTTTGTGCTGCATCCATGAAACATGAACCTATGTGTTGATATTCCACCTCTAATTACTTTTTTTTTTTTTTTAAGTGCAATCGACTGTTAAAGTGGTGCCCTGCACCAGACTGCCATCACGTTGTCAAAGTCCAGTACCCAGACGCCAAGCCAGTGAGGTGCAAGTGTGGCCGTCAGTTCTGGTGAGATTGGTTGTTTAAAGCAAAATCTCCATCAGACGGGGTTTGGAAGTGCTATTACTGAAGTTTTAAAAGTGATTAATTAACATTGTGTGAATTTGACTCGTGGTGCAGCTTCAACTGTGGAGAGAACTGGCATGATCCCGTCAAGTGTAAGGTAAGCCGACTGGAAATGTGCCCACCTTGTAGAAACGTTCAGGAAAAAAAACCCTATTCGGATGAAAAGGCTTCATTACGTGATGGTTCCTTTCTCTTGTTTGAACTATTTTGTAGTGGTTGAGAAAATGGATAAAGAAATGCGACGACGACAGTGAAACTTCCAACTGGATTGCAGCAAATACTAAGGTACGGAATCCAGATTATCTGTTAGTTGGACCCTTCTGTCTGCTTCCAGTTAAAAGGGAGTCATTGTGTAATGATCGCAAAAACAACATTTTAATCGTTTAAAGAGCTTAAACTGCATCACATATTTGTACCTTATCTTGAGCACAAACCCTCAAGTTGTCACAGTAGATTCATGAAAGACATTCCCTCCAAAAAAGAAACCTGTTAAATTTAAACATTACAATCCTAAAACACGTTTTTCTGTTTCTCATTTGCTAGAATTCCTCTCAACATTTCATTAAAAAAAACTTCAAACCCTTGACATTGAGCAGACTTACACTTACAACTCATTACTCCCCTCTCATGACAGGAGTGTCCAAAATGCCATGTGACCATTGAAAAGGATGGTGGCTGCAATCACATGGTTTGTCGGAACCAGAACTGCAAGGCCGAGTTCTGCTGGGTGTGTCTGGGTCCATGGGAGCCCCACGGCTCAGCCTGGTAAGAGCAAATGGCTTCTGTAGCAAATGACCATGCTTTTGTTTTCATTTAAACCTTTTGTATTTGTGGAAAACTAATCAGTCAACCATCAAATTGTTGTATCGTCTCGTGTCTTACTAAACATCTAACATCTGCATTGTCAGACATTTTATGTATAGTAAGAAAGCATGAAAACGTCAATTATTGTCAAATCGTAGCTGGTGGCAAACATGGCCGATGGTTCTGACCTCGCTGTGATGCTCTAGGTACAACTGCAATCGCTACAATGAAGACGACGCGAAGGCAGCCCGAGATGCTCAAGAGGTAATGATAAAAGTCATGTTGCACTGTGTATCGACACTAAAACGCACCTCCTCTTGATTGTTGCACACCGAGGAAGATCAACTTGCCTGAAACGCGTGCAGAGTTCTGACATGTCCCTGAATGTTGCACTCTGTGTGTCTGAACATTACCGGTCCAGTATGAGTCAAGTCGAGTGTGTTTGAGTTAAGGCTCTTTCAATGCTTTGTTACTGCAGCGCTCCAGGGCCGCCTTGCAGAGGTACCTGTTCTACTGCAACCGCTACATGAACCACATGCAGAGCCTGCGCTTTGAGCACAAGCTCTACGCTCAGGTCAAGCAGAAAATGGAGGAGATGCAGCAGCACAACATGTCCTGGATCGAGGTGCAGTTCCTGAAGAAGGCTGTGGACGTGCTGTGCCAGTGCCGCTCAACGCTCATGTTCACATACGTCTTTGCCTTCTACCTCAAGAAGAACAACCAATCCATTATTTTTGAGGTAGGATTCGTGTTATTATACATATACCATTTACCAAACTGTTATACGAGACAGCAATGTTGAGACTGCTCTATCTCCATTGTAATTGATCACTCATATTCATAAAAACAGGTTGGCTTGAGGAAACGGCCGAAATGTTGCCCACTTTAGTTTTAGCAATGCATTATAACTGCTTGTGATCCCCTAATGGAGGGTAAAGGGGAAATCCCACCACATTTTTCCTTGCCGCAGAACTAGTCCACTAACAAAGGCCCAAGACTAAATCAGTCACCAGATTCCTCACCAGATTGGGAGGGGTAAATGTGAGGAAACCCACCCGAGCTTCCTGTAGTCTAAACGAAGCCATATGCAGGATGCTTTGACGTGTGGGGGGACGTTATCACGAACAACTGAAATTCCACTGACTGATAATGTTAAATCGATACTTTATTCGTCCCCAGTGGGAAATTTGTAATCATGTTTTGCGTTCATCAGAATAACCAGGCAGACCTGGAAAATGCCACTGAGGTACTCTCTGGGTACCTAGAGCGGGATATCTCCCAGGATTCCTTGCAGGACATCAAGCAGAAAGTGCAAGATAAGTACAGGTGAGTAAAAGCAGAATCGATTTCACTGCTGCCGCTGTTACTGAAATCGATGTTGGTGCTAAGAAATGTTTTGATCTCTACAGATACTGTGAGAGCAGGCGAAGAGTTCTGCTACAGCACGTGCATGAAGGCTATGAGAAGGACCTGTGGGAGTACATTGAAGATTGAGGACACGTCCCAATGCAACGGACTCTTGAGTATCCTGACAAACTAGAGCGCTGATGCAATTTAACAGGGCAGCACGGGCCTTCTGCCGCCTCTCCTTTGGCAAACCAACCACTTTTGCATCATTTTCCTCAATTTGTTTAACAAAATCTTCAAAATAAATTATATTTAAATGAAAGGTAGAGTAATTAAAAAAAGTGTACTACAGTATTGTTAGAAACAGAGTGGAGTCTTGAGAAAGCATAAAATCCATCTTAAACAAATGCATTGTTTTGGCTTGTATTGTACCACCTCCCCTGAACTATCTTCTTTTCCTTTTTGTTTTATTTGCTTGTGGATCTTTTTTTTTGTTTTAATTTTGAATTGTTTACCATTTGTGTGAAAATGTTTTCAACACAGCTTTAATTGTCCTCGCCATGTCTGCAATATCTGCTGAGCTCCTTGTCTGATAGGCTGATGGCAAAGGGGCATAGACATTTCAGGGGGGAAAAGACAAAAAACATTAGAAGAACAAAAAAGCAAGTCTGTATTTTTCAATTTGTAAATAGTTGATATGCACGAGAATTAAAGAGCAAGAGCGGCACGTGTTTGCACCATTTTGAAATTTAGAAATGTTTATTCTTCACCAATATTGAGACGGATGTGCTTTTGCTATGTAAGTGGAGCAGAGGTGTCAAGTAACGAAGTACAAATACTTCGTTACTGTACTTACGTAGAAATTTGGGGTATCTATACTTTACTGGAGTATTTATTTTTCAGACGACTTTTTACTTCTACTCCTTACATTTTCACGCAAATATCTGTACTTTCTACTCCTTACATTTACAAAAACAGCCTCGTTACTTCCGGCTTGTCGCAGTTCAAAAACACACACACAAAAAAAACCCATCCAGAGAAATGGCGCTATCAGGACAGTGCATTTGATTGGATGAGAAGTATAAACATTTAGCATCCAGACACCCGATTGGTTTTCTCCGCGATGCGCCGGCAGATCGGAGCGACACCGGGTGGGAAAAGTGGCGGGAAGTTGGTATTTATCGACATGGACCCGCCTCCTCTTCCTCCTCCTCCTCTTCCTCACGTAACGTTAAATGAGCATCTTCGTGACCGTGGGTTTGTCCTAAATGTTTTATTGAGAGTGGCACACAGCGACTTGCAAGCAGCGTATTAAATAAAGTGATGTGTGTCTTAATGCGGCTTTGCAAATGAACACAGGGATTCTGTATTTGCTCATGAAGCCTGAACATACTGGTTATTTGGCCAATGTTTAATAACCGACCGCTGCCAGTTCAGTGTTTCCCATCATTATAAACAGGGTGCCCCCCCACCCCGTAAAAAAGTCAGAGCTCTCAATTGTCAGGTAATCCGAGTACTCCGTTAAAGAGCACAGCCGAGTCGGAAAAGCAAGAGCAGAAAACACTACGGTTCAAAGTTGAGGTCGAACGCACCGGCCCCGTGTCCCTCTGTTCTAACCTTTCGCCAAACCCTCTTTGTTGTTTTAGAGGTGTTAAACATCGAAGTACATTACTAATTATTTTAAGAGCCAAACTGAGTGATATTCACTCTTCTTTTTTCTTTTTTCCCGTCTTTCCCGACGTGGCGCGGCGCTCGCCGTCCACTTAAAGCTCAGCTCGCGCCGCGCGGATGGAATGAGAGTAACGGAATGTCCCGACACGCACGTCTCCGTCGTGCTGCTAATTGGGCCGCGTCGCGGACTAACCGGGTCGGGCATTCGCATCGCTCTCGCAGGAAATACTTGGGTGGCCGTGTAGCTCGGTCTAAAGCGTGGACCGGCCCCCCTCTCGGCCAGCGGGCACGGGGACCATGAGGCCCGTGGCCCCCGTGCCCGCTGGCCGAGAGGCCGAGCCTACACGGACGGACCCTTAGACAGATGAGGAATATAGGACAAACTTGTCGTGGGACTGCTTTTATAATGCCGTTTATGCTTTTGCATTGAAAACCTTTTGTTTTCTGTTGTTTTCGTTCCGCACATGAGTCGAGAAGTCGACTTTGAGACGTCAGTGCCCCTCCATTTTGCATTGTTCTATGAGGTGGAGAGTTTGGTTGTCGAGCTCTTGGTTTGTGCTCGTTCACGTTTCTGCAATATCGCGGTCTTATTTAGATGGACTGGAAGGCGCTGCTGATCAGCTGTCATCAAACATCCTTTAACCCAGTTTCTGATCTTTGGGGAATTCTCTCCCAAAATGTTTCTAATGTGTTCGAACTATTATTTTATCCTAGAAAATTATAAACTGTATTGTTTATTTGAATAAATGTCCTAAATCTAATTTTCCAGAGTACTGTGTGAGTCATTAGAGTAGCTTTGGTCTCCTATTAATTACCTAAACATCTGTGATGCACTTCTGCATCATGTATTTTATGATGTAGTTGCGTGGATTTCATTTGCTGACTCTCTTGATGATTTCCGTTAAATGTTTCGCTTATTTGTACCACTTTTATTTGGTGTGTGATAGAAATCAGGTGGTTCGTACGTCGCCCTTGAGTTCATCTAGTCTGAAGTCGCACACCACTGATGACGGATCAGAAGGGCTTTTGTCTCTTGGCGGTCTTCCTGATACACCAGTTCCAGCTGTGATCCTAATGTACTCCAAGGCTCACTCTGTTTGTATTGTGTCTGCTAGGAGTTAATAACCGTTTTGAAGTAACAAACAGCTACTTGCATTAAATTGAGACATCCAAAAACTTTTAATACTTTTCTACATATCCTATCTTTATGCTAATGAAAGGTGTTTTTTCCTATTAGTGAAAAATGTGGGAAGAATTAGTTGTCTGTTTTGGAGAAAATATTAAAGTGCAAAATGTTGCAACATCCTTCTGGAATGGGTGGTTGTTTAATTGAGGCAGAAGCTTTCCAACAGAGTCAATACGGTGTGTTTTAAGTTTATTACCACTGTTTATTGTGGCAATTACTGAAAAAACGTTTCCACCGTACCGACAATTCTCTGAAAAGAATTTAGAACTAAATATTCTGCCACGAGATGGGGACAAAGACGCTGTGATTAACTCTTAAAGAGGTTTTCAGTAGTCACAAAAGCAATGTTTTAAATGAATGAAATGGAGGTATCGCATGTTTAGTCAGTAACGGCATCACACCTCTACAACTCAAGTTGTTCCTAAAATATATATGTATATTTTTAGGGGAGAAATGGTTGCTTAAACCGCATGAAATCATTAAAAAAGACGAGAAAGTGACACTTAAACAATTTAATCTGCAGAAAAACACAGCAATTATCCAAAATACAAAATGAGGTGAAGGTGTTAAGGTTTACCGAGGTTAAAACGCTATGACAAAGTCCTTTAGCAGCTTAGTATAAAACTACATTAATGCCTATCCAGCTACAACCAACAACAATCAATAAAAAAACATCACTCTTATGATGGACAGGCACTAATAGAGTAAACCTGTATAGACGTTTACAGTAGAACGCAAGCTAATTCACAGTGAAACTTTTTTTCTAAACATCATATTTGATATCTAATTTCTTACTAGCAAAATAACTTTCTACGAGTCACTAACTTCAGTAGCATTCAGCAGAAACACAGATAATGCAAATAAATACCAGACTTCAGGGTTTATTAAAAAAAAAAAGAAAAAAAAAAAAGACATGGATTTGTTTTGCATCACTTTACAGTGTTGTTGCACTTTTACACGACGACGGTTGAAGAAACCAGAAAAGCTGTTCATGATGTGAAAGACAAGCCATAAAAAAAAAAAACACATTACAGGATGTTGCTCATTGGCTGCTGCCTCCAGACTGCTGTTACAAAGTGGACTTTATTACAAAAAAAGTGCATCGGCCTGCTGTTGAGAAGTATTTAAAAACAGCCCACAGGAGACCCGTGATCGCAGTGTGCCGCGTCAAAACGCAAAACTGGCACCTAGACATTTGTTTGGTCGTCCTCGTCTTCGATTTTGAGCCAGCCCTTCTTATAGTCTATCAGTAGCTCCAGGTAGTACCTCCACTCCGGCTCGCTCTCATACCGGACCTCAAATAAAGTCTTCAGCGGGTTGGCGTGGGCTTCGTGGACCCGCAGCACTTCCCCTCTGTACCACACTTCTGATTTGTCAACTTCTTCATACAGATGACGGATCTTCTTCCCTACCAGGTCGGGGTACAAACTCATGGCCCTCTGGACGGCCGAGCGCAGGACCCATCGCCTCCTGTGTTCGGGGCTGTGGCACGTCGACAAGTAGGGGCAGTATTTGATCTTCACCACCGAGCGGTGTTTTCTTTTGGACGAGCCGTTAAAGGGTCTTGAGGTTCTCTGCCACCTGCGGGTCGCTCGGCGCGTCCTCCTGCGGCGGCGCGTCTCGCCGCTCACTTCCCCGTCGTCGTCGGTGTGTACGTGGGGAGCATCGGCGAACGACCCCGAGGAGGAGACGGCTTGGTAGCACGCCTTTTTCCTGTCTAGACCTCTAAACATCCTCCTAAGCTTGAGGATGACGCCTGAACAGTTCTTGGATCTATCCGGAGACTTTGCTCCGACGGGCTGCAGGCTGGAGAGCTCCTCGGCCTCCGTGTCACTGGGGGATGGAGAAAGCGCGTCACAGGTTATAGGACACATCCAGGACTTTTCTAAAGTCGCGCCATGTGGAATGAGCGAGGAATCCCGCCGTGAAACCAAACAGCCACTTGCTGTATTTTCAGGGTCTTGGCGCCGACGACCACTGAACGCATCCAGCACGCCCCCACCGCCGGTCGTCTTTGGGTCGTCGTCCTCTTCCTTCTCTGACAAACTGTTGTCCAGAAACATCCGCCTCGAACTGGTCTTCACCCTGCTTTTTCTTCTACTCCGGTTTTTGTCGTGGTCCTTAAGACGTCTGGCTTGGGGCGATTCTGAGGGCGAGGCGCTGATGTCTGAAAACGCAGGACTCCTGCGGCCAGGAGTTTCCTCGCCCCCGTCATCCGTCTCTCCCTCATCAGGATCGTCCATCTCTAATCCTGCAACACAGGGAGTTTGGCAATTAGGACGAGCCAGAATGAATAATACATCTTTTAAAAAAGTTGGTTGTTGACTTAAGAGTGAAAAAATGTGAATAAAATAAATGAATTTCAGCAAACGATTCCTAAAAGAAAAAAAGCAAGCTAGCAAAACCACAAAATGCAACACAGGTTGACAAATGAACGTTCCCATAGCGCACATTGAGGACTCGACAACGATGAGAGAGTATTTAGGAGAACTGGTGAGTGGACGGCACGATCCTTCACCACTGAACACCCTTTCATCAGAGACGGGGCCGAAGGCCACGGGAGTAGCCGTTGTGTCAAATATCGATGTTTGAAGGTAACAATGTAAAGATGTGATTTATATATTTTTCTTATCGTCCTATGAAAGCAGTAAAGCCAACAATGACTTGGTCTGTGCAACCAAAGCCTGAAGTAGCGTATTCCTCTCTGCCAAAGCCCTCCTTTGTTGTGATCTATTTAAAAACACCGAAATGAGCCACATCCCTGCACAGGGTGTCATGCTTCTTCTCCATGATGAACGTGGGCACTGTAGTTGATTTGGAGTTAACCCCACATACACCACACAGAAGCAGAAATGCTTCCTAGAGCACCGACTGAAAGTTGTACAAACAAATGCACTATTCATTCTTGTTAGAGTAAAATTGAGAAAAGCTACTGTCTGGTCGCTTTAGGAGATCACTGAGCTGCTTTTCAGCAATAAAGACAACATATTTTGTAACTAGTTTTTTTGTGAGATTTATTGACAATCCATTTTTTTTTAAACGATTTTTTGCCCGTTTGATTCTTTAAATTCTGTTTTCTTACAGCACCAAGCATCCAGTCTCACTTCCCTCTATGACTACACAGAACGGATGCAGGTTTTTGGGATTGAACTGGTCAGCTAAAGGGTGATGATCCCCATCTTCTCAAAAGGGTCCACGATCCTTTCTGTGTGTGTGGCGTTCTTTCACTTCCTTCCTCCGGTAATGTGATCCGACTGCACTGCTTCACAATCTTTGAGGTCCACCAATGCTATCTTGCAAAAGCATGAAGGAGAGTTTTATTTTTCCACACATTGCCCGGCTTAGCACCCTCACCTCCACCCACCATAGCAAGCATAATGCGATCATGCAATTTCTTGTGATTAGTTATGGTTAGTAGTCGCTGAAAGTTTGTAGAAAAGTAGCTTTCTTTCTAAAACAGAAAAAAATTAAAGAGCAGTGAGATTGCCGGACAACATAAAAAAAAAATAATATACCTGGACTTTCTTTTGGACATCAGGTGAGGTTGATTCTGTAAAAAATAGATGGATTTTATATTGAATATTTAAGGTTTGATGTGACTTGTATTTTACAAAAAGGGCCAATAAAGCAGAAATAATATAATGATGAATATAAATTACCAAAAGACTACTTCAGGAAATGTCCATCAAAATATAATATTTTATTATAAACTATAGAGGGATAAGTTGGTCACATTTTTCCAGAAATATGCAAGGAAATGCAGGAAGAAGGGTTGCTTTGACAGTCATGCGGACCATATCACATGGTCGAATAATCAAACTAGACTTATCTTTGTACAGGAAAAGTAGGCTGTCATATGATGTATTCTAGGCAGTCTTATGACCTATCATGAAGAACATTTTAAACAAGTTCCACCTGAACTGTAGCTTTTTAGAAGTCAAGTCATACTTTTCACACACTGTTACACACTCATCACTGAGGTGAAACGGGACATTTGTAGAGCAGCCTAACTAATAGACTCTACATTATTGACTAAATGTGTTGCACACCGAGCAGAAGTGCTGAAGCTATTGAAAAATAATGTAAAAAAAAAGCTCTTCAGTTAATATATTTGTATGCCCAGCACACTGTGGTGAAAAACACAACTGTTTCTTACTGCAACACCTCCAACTAGTCTGGCCCAAAAGAGACAAGATATAACCGTACCCCCTTAGAGTGCCATTCATTTGGACAGGGACCAAAATAAACTGTCCTTTTACTCAAAAGATATTGACATTATATCACCTCGGTGGCTCTGAAGCGATTGTGCACTCACCCAGGTGTTTGCAGACACAGGTGTGATACAAAAGGTTGACCACGTCAGCGTAAATGTCAGGCAGGTGTTTGAGGGACATTAGTCTTCTGAGCCTGGAGGAACAGGCTCTTTTATGGAACTGGATGAGGAGCTTCTCTTCGGAGAGCGTGGTCGGCCGCAGCTCCACTCTGTGCTCCTGCAGGACCTGGTCGATGAAGCTGCCCTGGACCATTGGAAACAGCAGCTCCTTCACCACCAGCATGGGGAGGAACACCGCCCCCGTCCGCATGACGTGCGGAAAAGGACAGCGGTCCTGGGCGGTGTACTCTCGCATCCTCTCCAGCACCGTATCAAGCGCTGACTTCATCTCCTCATTGAGCCACGCCTCTCTGGCTTTTACCCCCAACAAACAAGACACTTTCTGGACTTTGGTTGGAGGAGATGTCGCTTCATCAAGTCCCAACTGAGACAACCAGGTTCGGAGTTCCTGCTTTGAAGAAGCCAAAACAAAGTCGGACACCAGCTTGCAGAGTGAATGGTGCATCTCAAAGAAGTGCCTGCGGACTATAACTTGGGTTATTGGCTGTGCAGGAGCCGGGAAAGATTGCTTTGTATCACAAAAGAATAATTTGTAGGTGGAAAGTTTCAGACTCTGGGGAGGAATGTTTCTAAAATCAAATTTGCTTCCAGGTGGTTGAGGAGGAGTAATGGCTTTGGGTTGCAGGGCCCGAGAAGACAAGTTCTCAGGACAAATCTGTGCAGTGACCCCACCAGGTTTGGACTCATCTGAGGTTACTTTTTCATCTGCTAACAAGGGTTTACTTTCAAGTTCATCAGGTTCACATTTCTTTATCAACAACATTGGTTCGCTGTTGCATGAACTGGTCTCTTCAGGTTCTTTTTTGATTGTTAATGCGCTGCAGTACCTCTCACCATCAGGAGTCTTTGAGGACCCATAGGGATCTAATGGATATACGTTTTCTTCCACTTTAATATTTTGGGGTTCAAAGATCTCTTCAGCAGGCTTCTTCGTGTGAGTATCTGCACACGTTGTTCTGGAAACTAGACGGAGCACAGACTGCTTTTCATCTCGATTGGGCATTTGGGCTTTAACGTCTTTCTTGGTTTCGTTGTCACGCTGCTCAGCTGATTGGCCGATTCTGCCTGGAAATAACTCTCCAGATGCCTGCAGGTAAACTTTGTAAGGTGCCAAGCTAAAGACATTGTCAATTATTGGCATTGGAGGAGAGTCCGTTTCATTTCCTGCTTCTCCATTCTCCATTTCCGCCCTTCGTCTTCTCTTATGGAGTTCAACCGCACATTCATCCATATCCTCTTCTTTTATTTTGATTGGTGAAGGGGATTGAGAAGGACGTCTTTTCGGGCCCCCTTTCAGAGCAGCAGGGCCTGAACTGGACACGGGGCCATCCTGTTTATTTCCTATTGCAACAGCAGGGGAATAAATTATTTTTCGGACGTTTGCACAATGAGGTACAGCTGCCTGGACTTGATCTGAACTGTGATGCGGTGACCGGGGCGGCCATGCAGCTGGCGAAACAGGAAGGCTTCTTGCCATTTTTGGGCACGTAACCTGGGCATCATAAGCGGAATAGTCCATCCTTCTGTCCATGCTCGAGCCAGTTGGTGGAAAGACAGGTCGGTCAATGTGCAGGCTGTTGAGTGGGTGAAAAAATCTGTTAGTCTGTGTGCTGGATGGTGAGAGACCAGCTTGGCTTCCACGCCGGGCAGGACTGGTTTGTTCCACACGTAGCAGTGGGAAGTTGGTGTGTGGTTGGCCAACACGCAGGCTTGTGTTGGGTTTGTCCTTGTGTAGATTGGTTGCAGGGGCCATGGGGTGCTCCACGTATTGGACGGATGGGGAATAATTTACGCCAGGGGATGCATGTTGCCTTTTCGGGGGGGCTCGGAGTTGGCTTGCATTTAAATTAAATCTGGGAACTGCGTAATATGAATAGTCAAAACCCTGCATCAAGGCATGATTTGGCAATGTTTCAGTGCCTGGCAATGGAATTTCACCGTGAAACGACGGAGGCACGATGTAATGCTCCCTGGGGTTTGAGAGTGTGTGTTTAACAATAACAGGCACATCTTCTCTCTGCTTGAACTGTGTCCCGTTCTCTACCTCAGCATTTGCCTGAGAGTAGTAAAACATTGGGTGCTGTGTTAGCTGGCCATATTTGGTCATGGGAGAATGTTCCCGATAAACCTCTGAGGTCATATGCTCATATACGGGATGGGAGGGGTACAAGCTAGGGTAACCTCTGGGGGAGTTCTGTAAATGCTGGCTGTGCTCACTTGGAGAACCCAACAGTGTGCGAGTCGGGGTGCATGGGTAACTGCTGTATTTGGGGTCAATCCTACCAGGGAAAGTCCTCGTTCTACCTGGGCTCCACGTCCCTTCAGTCATCCTCTTTAGTCTTTCTGCACTGGACTCAATCTGTACACCTCTCTGCTGCGGCACGGTGTCTTGCGCTTTCCTCTGGATGAGTGGTCTTTCTGTGTAGTGGCTATCTGTTTGCATCCAATCGTGCTCATACACAGTGTTTGGCATCCTCGGAGAGCCGTGTTCCAGGCTGTATCGTTGTGTCATCACACAGCCCAGTTCATTACAGCAGGGGTTGTGCACATAAACTGGCTTAGGAATCGCTAAGTAAACAGCGTTTTCAGATGGAGGAGATGAACTCTCACCTCCAGTTTGGGGTTTTCTATGAGCCCCTGAGCCCCCAGCAGTAGGACTGCTGATCCCAGGACTTTTAGCGAATAATGTAAAGCCCTGTTTTGCTCTGGCATGATACAGTGGGGAAGAATGGCATTGGCCCTCCTCTGAGGAATTGCTGTCTTGCCTGTAAATGATGTGGTTTTGTCCCTCCATGCCAGAAAGGGGACTCACGGGACTTCTGGCATCGACCAGAGAGCTCTTTGAGTTGCTCCAAGAAGTGAATCCCGCGCCGTCCTTTCCTCTGGGATCATAAGAGAAGTAGGCCCCGCCGTACTGCAGCATCTGCTTACCCAGGAAATCAGACATATTTTGTGGCTTCGACAGTCCTGTGGATTCTATGGTCCCGTCCAATAGGGGCATTTTGCTTCGAAACACCGGGTCAACAACGGTGGGCATTGGCTGGCTGCTCATCATATGGCCCTTTGGTATTATGGTGCAATGAAGTAGCTCCAGACCTGTGAATATAGTAAACAACAATTAGACACTGGCATTTATTATTTTGTATCGATGCAAATCCATCTTTCTATTTAGCTTGAAACAACACCTCAGACATCATAGACAGTAAGACAAAAACCCTTTGAGCACACAAAGATAACATAACGACCATGAGTCATAGCTATGATTAGATCATAACTGCCCTGAGGCATTTTGTTAACATGACAAAACGTGTGGCTTATCACGTAAACCCTTTTCAGCTGATGCATAGGTGAAAAAAAAAAAAGCAGCAAAAAAGTAGAAAGGTGTGATGATGATTTGTACAGGTTAACACTTTTGCAAGGAATATTGTTGAATCCGTTTCCGAGTGCCGATATGAAAGTGGCCACTTTTTGTAATAAACAAACCAGCCAACCTTGTGGTGATGAAATAAAGGCCATGCCCCCAAAATACGAAAATGACAATGGGACTAAAACAATGCGATATTGCATTTGTGTAATATTTTTTAATATTAATGGTCTTAGGGGGGCTCATTTCAGATGACTGTGTGTCATCAGTCACATCGAAGAGCTCCATTCTGGCTCAAAATATAAGCTTATCAACTCATCATTCATGTACTTATCTTGCGTTAATGGCCTGAGAACCAACATCGCAGTGGAACGTTTCTTCCCTTTATTACCACAAACTCTGACTCACACCCTAGTTCCTTTTTTATATATCCACTTCTCCTATATAGAAGCACAATTATACACTACCATGCATGGAAATAAACTTCAACATCAGTGAAGATCAACCAGTAAAAATGCAAGCCTTTTTTTTTTTATACTTTTAAAATCTTGCTCAACTCCGGTCTTTTCCAACAGGCACGTGAAGGCAGCGTAACGCAACAGCTTGTGTACAATTCAACCTGCTTGACACGACCAGTTTGGCTCGGGAGGATTCTGACTGACAGCCACATTCGGAATGCCACTATACATATTATGCACGCGAACATACATAGTTGTGTGCAGCTGTAAAAACCCAAGTGGACCAGGCAAAACTGCAAACAAATAAAATCGTGAAAATAATACATGGGGCATTTGAAAGAAACACCATCCCTCATGCTCGTCCGGTGGACACCGCTCCACAGAGCGATGGGCTGTCTGCGTGAGGGGGACGTGGTTTAGGCATGTGTGCATGAAGGAAACTGCAAAGGCATGTTTCTTTTTTTTTGTTTGTTTTAATGAGAACTGCACGCACGGGTATGCACGGGCATGCGTGCGTGTTTGTGCGTTCCAGATCTGTAGGTAAAGTGGGACTTCCAGGCGTCCACACTGATAAGCTGAGCTTTAAACCACGTGGGGGGAAAATAAATGAAGTATGTAGTTATTATCTGGTGATCGATTATCGGCTCGCGGGACAAGACACGCTGGAAGATGTCAGCAAGTTCACGTGACTTGTACAACAACAAAAGGAAGTTTATTTCCGGCCAAGAAACCAATAAAATGCCTAACGTGCAAACATAAAAGGGGAACTCAAGAAGCAAAAGCGTCTTCCCATGTCCTTTCTTTGGTCAAATGTTTGATCAGACTACATAAGAAGACACGCGCTTGTTGCCGTGACCGGCCTGATCAAATAAAAAAATAACGCAAATAATATGAAAATAAAACATGGCGCAAAAGCGCGATCACGGCAAAAAGTGATTTTCATAGCCGCAGCAAAAGCGTCGCAGACCGCGGAGAACTAAAACCACAGTGTGTTTCAAACACGTTAAATGGTTCCACAACATCTCATGCTTGTCCCCTCGGAGAATGCACTCGTTTGCTGGACACGATCGGATCACATCATAATCTGGTTGGTTTTTTGGTTGATAAACGTGGTTTCTTACCTCGCTCCTGTGCTGTCAATCAACAATTTCCCCAAAAACTCCATGAAACGGCGCTTGAGGGAAACGAGGTGAAAGCCGCCGTTTGTTCCGGATGTGCCAAATTCCAACCAAATGCAGCGACGGCATGCCGGGAGGTTTGCGCGCCTCACCCGGAGTCCATGCGGCTTTTGGAGAAGTTAACAAACTGAAGAAAAGACAAAAGGGAGGAGGATGGACTTTGATCAATAGGCGGAGTCCCACCCTCCGTCCCCCCGTCCCCCCGTCCCTCCACGGCGCGCTGTCTTCACATGTGATGTTTTCCCGCTTGACATTATTTGCCCGCTTTCATTAAGCTCGATCTCAGTATAATGTTCTGCACACAGCTGGATGACGCAGTTGATTCACGACATATTTTTCACTAACCTAAATGATGAAATAATCTTTTTTTTTTTTTTTTTTTTTTTTACTATTTTGCTCCATGGAAGTAGATCCGATTGCAGGTTATTCCAAGCGTTTTGTTTGCGACCATGCATTAATTTATTTGTTGTTTATCCCCAAATAACGATCGGCGCACATGCAGACTGGGTGAAGGGAGAATGTCACCAATTGCAGAGCAAAAGGATTAAGGAACTGGATTAAAATACATTGTAGTCTATACTGTATATAAATATTGCTGGAATGGACAAAAATAACTGCTGTCAATTAACTCTGTAGCACCCAACCACCATTTGTTGACCTCACATAATGTTAATAAGTTAATGGTTGACTTTGGGCGATCAAAGTTAAAATCGGGTCATCTATTAACTCCGAATTGCCTCATATTTGCCAGTCATATTTGATCACCACACTCAAAACATTATTGTAAGCCTAAATTCTTCCACGTGCTTGATTCACCTCTGACTGGCTTCATTTCCTGTTGCACTTGCATCATACCAGTCCCGTCTCACCTGTGAGTTGGAGTGTAATTTGTGCGTCTGGAGGGACTGCTACAGTGTAGTCTAGACAAGTTGGTAGCTTCATTAGTCCCCGTGGCCTCGCAGGTAAAGAGACACTCGCCAGGGGGTTTGACTGACGAGGGGGGGCAGGAACTTCTCCCCACAGAGCGCTTATGCATCTCCCTCATTTCCAGTTACCATGGCGTTACAGCTTGAGGCCAACCAACACAGAGCATTAAGGGGCGAACAGTGTGCCCTGTGGATGCTGCAACATAAATCTTACAGGCAGAAATAATGTATTAAATGCTGAGAGTACTAGAGATTGGAAGGTAAATACGCAGGCAGTGCAAAAGGTCCGACATTGTCAAACATGCAGAATCCTTCCAGGATCAATGGCCAGTAGCCAAGTTAGTAAATAATTGCACCCAATGAAACGACTATCGCCCGACTCGTATTTCATGATATGCAAATATTTCCTGTCAGTATAATTGGCGGAACTGTCTTGTTGAACGTTATTTCCCTCCATGAAACTTCACTCACTGTTAAATATCTAATACCTACACACACCCATATAATATGTAGTTTACATCTAGTAGATAATTTTTATAAGAATAAACAAATGATCTCTTTCTCTTGGGCAAGACCTCCAGCTGTTTCCTTTCATTTCATTATAATTATGAATTTATTATTCCTATTTATTGTAATGGATAACACTCAACTTTATAATTGGACAATTAGTACCACACAGTTCACACTGAGTACACATGATACATGTATGAATTTCAATATGTGACAAGACAGGTTCTTATAGCGTGTTTACCACTTTGGAGTCACTAAGGTGAGATGTGGTGACACAGGGAGGAGAGCAGGTGATCTCTCAGGATGTAGTTTCTGATGAAACACTGCTGAACATTCCCAGAGGCTAAAGAGTACACGTCGAGCCCAGAGACCGCTGCAAAAGACACATGAGACCCACATACGTGCATGCACGCACCGTCAGAGAGAAGACCTTTTCCTTTTTGTGTTTGTCATTCCACAAACGTTGCATACTATAAAACGTATGCACTGCATGATTAAATAAAGTTACTAATGTGTGACATTGAGGAGCAGAAGGTAGTGATGGCTTTAGAAAATGTGGCATCCTTCCTTTCTGTTGAGATTTGAACAACACTGGCAGTAACTGAGCTAATTAAAGGGAGAGAGTTGTTGCATATGTTCAGTTTCGAAAGCACATCGCATGCGACTACCGCCTCTTGGTAGTTTTGATGATTTTTTCCGAATGTGCCGGGAGTAATTCGCATCAGCGACACACCTGCAGGCTGTCCAGTGTTACGGCAACACCGCCCTTATCTTTGTGGCTGATGTAATGCTCTTTTGACATCGTCGGCAGGACCTCTCAGCAGCCAATAGCAGCGAGACAAGTTATGGCTCAGGGAAGATTGTTTTTCGCCTGCAGAGCCATTCACAAGCCTCCATGTGCTGCAACCTCAACTGCTCAACAGTATCAATGCCTCTGGTCATTTGCAAACCAAATTGCCTCTGCCTCCCTAGGATTTGGTGGGAACAGACATAAACTGAGATAAATATTACGACCGTTTTCTGGAGAGACAAATAAAACACAAGCTGCACGACTGTTGGTCTTTAAAGGAAGAGTTGGTCTTTTCAGGGAAGAAATATTTAAATGTTCGGGTAATAAAGGCGCGTTTCAGCTTGATGATAAAAGAAATACATTTAATAAAGGATTCTCTGGTGATTTGTGTGAACAGGAATATTATTGGGTTTAAAAGGTGGGACATAATCTTATTAACCACCTTTATATCAACAGGTATGTTCGTGAATCTGTTTTGCAATTGTTTTACTTCTCTGGATGACAATGTTTTAACATTTAGATCTTAAAAGTCTTGTGTCGTACTTCTCGTTCAACATAATAATAAAAATAGAGAGCAGACAGATCTCCAAGGTTGAGTTCCTTACAGTTGAACTAAACAAAGGCAGTTCACCATCTGCTTCCTCTCACTAATACATAAACAAGACATTGTCTGGTTTGGTTTGACCTTCTCTTCTGTCTTCTCTTGACACAATCCAGACGGGTTTGTTAGGATCAAGGGTTTTCACAGAGATAAACAAGTGAAACTATGTCAGTGATGGGTTGCACCAATTTTGACCTTTGGTGCTTCCAGTCATGTTTGAGAGCCCAATGTAAAATCATGAATATCAACTAAACCACTTTATTGTAAGGACCTTTTGCCAAATTATTAATGAGAAATATTTTTCTCTTGGGAAAACCAACCTCAGGTGATATTTTTCTGTGTCCTGCAGTGAAGCCAGTATGTCAGAGTGCTCCATAGAAAAGATAGCACCCCGCACATCTATTTTCCCCCTTCCTGCTTTTTTTTATTGGCATATATGTCACACTGTAGACTGTCAAGAACCTCCTTCTGCCCCCAACACATCGAGGCAGTTCTTATACCTAAGTTTAGATATCGGTGGCATCAACAGAAACCTTTGACCATCTTGTTGAGTCTCTACAGCCAGGGTACTGGGAACATCTTATCCATGTAAGACGCGTCAGCTCTTTGACCGTGTCCTTGCTCTCCCAACATGCTAAAACAAAGGTGGTCATAGACATAACGAACACTTTGTTCAATCTCATCCAAGTGGGAGACGTCAGTTCTTATTTCAGGGCCTTTGTCATCTAAGCACTTGCCATTAATAAACTGGTTATACAAATGAAGCATTTAAAAGGGTTACATATCATTTCCCCATTACACTTGGAACACTGGTGAATCCTCCCAGGAGCGGGCAGCCTTCCAAAGTTACTCCAAGACGACGACCAGGAGGTCATAAAAGACTCCAGAACAACATTTGAAGAACTCCAGGCCTCACTGACTGGCCTTAGTTAAGGTCAGAGGTCGTGGCTCAACAATAAAAAAGAGACTAGGCAAACATGGCATCCATGGGAGGGTTTCTAAGAAGAAAGCCACATGTCAGACCAAAAGGAACACAAAGGCTCATCTCACATTTGCCCCAGAACACCTTCATAATAAAGACTTTTGAGCAAAAGACTTCTGGGCAGTTTTCTGTGGACTGACAAGACTAAAAGTTTTGGGAGGTGTGCATAATCTGGCGTGAAGGTAATGCAGCATTTAATGGAAAACAGCAGCATACCAACAGTCACACGAGGTGGGGGTAGTGTGGTGGTAGTGTGATGGGCTGCTTTGCGGCTTCAGGACCTGCTCTACCTGCCATATTTGATGGAACCATGAATTTGTCTCTTAGCCAAAAATTCCTGAAAGAAAATGTCCGTCCTTCAGTTCATGACCTCGCGCTCAAGAGCACCTCGGTTCTGCAGCAGGACAAACATCCAAAACACTCCAACAAGTCCGCCTTGCTTGGCTTTTTGTTTAATATTAAAATTTGTTATACAGATATGTGAAAAATAATATACCAAGTAGGTGTAAAATACTTTTTCACAGCATTGTACATACGTTTCTAGAATTTAGAGCTTCACCGGGGACAATTTGGGAAATCACAAAATCTTGACATACCATGAAATATGTTTTGATTGCTTAGCCTCTCCATTCCACTCTGTAACCGTACGGTTTTTAAGATCAAACTAAACTTCACTAGGTGTTCGTGGCGCTGTGGTTGAGATGCCAAAGACATTTGGCGAGAACAAAGGTGAAAGTCAAAGTTGGCGGTGGGCGTTGATGACTCACAAAAAATGACATCTAACTGCTCCGTTTCCGGTCTTTCGAAAGAACGTAAAAAGAACGTGACACATTTGCCTTAGGCATGCGGACATCACCAGTTAATTCCAAACCAGTTACCCAGCATACATAGTTACACGTTGGAGAAGTGTGCCTTCAAAGGTTTCTATACATTTAACCCTATAAGGTTGATTCCTAGAACAAGTAGCTTGGCAATGGTACCGGCCAGGAAGACTTGTACCTTAGTGTCACCTTAAAGATTTCTGATGTCATGTTTGAATATTTAAAGGATCTCAACAATGGGTATGAGCTTTTGTAATTTGATGGTTGTCCGTATTTGTGTGAGGCATGTGATGGAAAAAATATGTTATAACAAAGTCTTATTATCGTAGTGAAGTGACTTGCAAAAGCAGAAAGATTTAAGGTTTCCATTTGCAGCTGTGTCTGAAGAAGGGAGTTAACTTGCTCTCCCACAGGCGCTCGAACAAAGGAACTGTGTGTGTTACTCCATCTTAACCTTGGATCTTATCTCAACGGGGTTTGCAACTTCTCGTACCTGGCGCTGAGGATGGCCTTCACATAAAAACTCAGCGTTTTTACTGCTCAGAGACGCCGTTCATACAGAAACACTGTGATACGTGCTGGTGTATTTGACCTCCTGCTTGCAAGCAAAAAATGGACAACTGATGATCATTCATCAAGACTCCGTTTTTATTAGATAAACATTGAAACAAATCGCTCTCTTCTCCCTAACAAGTTTTATTGAAATATTCCACAACAGACAAGGCATGCAGGTAAGGAGTTCTTACAAACAGGAGAGAGGAAGAGGGGCTACAGACAGATTGAGGGGGGGGGTGAACCAGCTGCTTCAAGGCCTCCGTAAACTCTACGGAGGAAGAACACTGCAAGGGTGGGATTTTTTACTTCTCCTTAAGTGGGATGAAAGGTAAAGAACAACATTTTATTTCCCTTTAGTCATTTTCTCTCATGTTTTTGACACTCATCAGAGGCAACATGAACCCGTAGGTGGCAAACTGGACCAATACCGGACGAGTAAAACAAAAATTGTGCACATTAGTCATTTAATGGGTCAGCCTTGAAGGAAAAAAATTAGCACATGAACACATACCAGCACGTTTCAAACCTATTTGCATTTCCTTTATCATTCGGTAAACCTAATGAAAAGCTCAAAAGGGAAATACACTGTCACATATGTACATGTGGCCCAGAAAAAAAACTAACTGATCCGTACACCCACATAATCCCAACAAGAAGAGGTCCAATGGATGAAAAGTGTCATCATGCTTTATCAATATTTATTTTGCTGCCCGCTGTACAATGTTAAGAACATGTTTTTGAAAATGTCTCATCCGGCTTCTGAAGATACTGATTAACAACACTGACAATAGTCGATACCTCTGCCATGGCCCCTTTACCTGAAACAAGGTAAAAAATAAGAGTTACACAAACGCCTTTTGTCGGGAGGAATACATTAGTAGTGAGTAGCCTGGAGGTAATGAATGCTACAACGAAGACACATCCCTCTACTAACGTTGTTTGCACTTTTGCATATTATCACAAAGACCCTTGATGAAGATATTCTCTACACTCCCGAGGTTTGCATATCGGGTCATTTAAGTGTGCCGTTCAGACAGTCATTTCATTTCATTACGTGTCATTTAGCGAATGCTTTTATCCAAAGCAACTTTCAATAAGTACTGAAGTATTTCAACCATGCAGAGGTGTTAAATAAGGACAGAAAAAACAACGTGCAACCCGTTGATATGTTTGAACAACTATTTGCACGAAAATGTATTCTCCCCTGAGCAATACTGGCTTTTGCCAAATTATTGACACCATTTTTTTTCGCTACTCTACCAAGACTCAGTACTGAGTTGGTAAACCTGATTAATATTTTAAATCCTTGATCAAACAATTGGATCTAACTTAAAGAATGGGGCTACGAAAAATAAAAATCCCTTCCACATTTAAATTGATTTTGGATACAGAAGTAAGTTAAGTGGACGACTCTCAGCTCAAGAGCTCATAGGAAGGGCTGATACCCTGAATATAGGTTTGTATTGGAATGAATTTACAAACACAGGCTTTAAGTATATTCCAATGAAAAGTACAAATATAACTGATATTGCAATTAATGTTCTGAGCTGAACGTATGCCGAAGGTATGCTACACAGAAACCTTTTGGGGTGACCGCTTAAAGCCCGTGGTCAGATATGACCACATGATACATACCATATGGCATATATTGTATATTATTTATATATATATTCACATGTAGTGCTACACACTACTACTCGCCTCGATTACTCAATCTTTCCGCATCGGCTGTGTCATTGTGTTTTTTAATTTATTACAATAACTGCCATTGAGAACGGTTTGTGTGTCATTTAAGGCAAGAATTATTTCTTGATGGACTTGCCTACCTTAAACAGTTCTTATAATCCATATAATGGAAGCCCTTTAAGCTAGAACTAGTCGGATCAGATTTTGTTTCTCATGTTTCCAATGTGTTCTGTTGCTTTAAGACATCTCAAGGTAAAAGTAGAGGTTGCAGACATTTCATATATTCAATTAATTCCTGTATTAGGACCAACCTTCATCTCCACATACTAGCTTTTTAGAAATGCAGGGGACATCCACATATCCAAACTCTGTGAGTCTGGATACCTGCTGGGCTGTAATGGGGTGCTGCCACATAGCAGTATTCATCGCAGGGCAGAAGAGGAGAGGGCGACTGGTATCCCAGGCTCTTACCACACATGTCTGCCAAAACAAAAAAGACTAATCAATATGGAAAGAATTTTTACAGAAATCATGTTATGAGTTATTCTTTGGGAAAACATTTTTGTTGGTTCGCACATAATTGTTTAAACTTCTTACCAAGAGATTGTCACAAATTCCATTTGCAATCTTTCCAAGAGTGTTGGCATCAAGCGGGGCAATGACCAGAAGGTCTGCCCATCGCCGTAGCTCAATGTGCAACACAGGATCCGTTCTATGAGTCCACAGCTGGAACAGAGGCATGCAGTTACGACCGCAACCAGTGACACTCACTTCCTCACAGCATGATGCATTTTAGGAATGTTACAAAACGAAGTCAGTCAGAAACTCCGCCAAAAAATGTCACTAAATAATGGCCACACTAGGACCGTTGAATAAGTCGTCGTTACCTCCCACTCATCTTTGTCACTGTAGATTTTTACAGAAACGTCTGCAGGGTCGTAGAAGTGCTTGGCATGCTCCGTGGTGACAACTCGTACATCCACCTAAAGCATAAAACAAGAGAGTAAAAGTCACAGGGATTTTAAAGCACCTTTTAATATTATGACAATGCTGAAGAGTTTGAAACCCAAGAGGCTTACACAACATACACAAGTTGCGTAACTTATCTTATCTTGGAGAACATGTTGTGGCTCTTACGTTTCAGGAAACATTAGCATCGTTCACAGAATTGTGTGGTAACATTTGCTCAATAACAGAGGACATGTGTTTTTGACTATCTCTAAAGGCTATTACACTATCATCGTATTAAGGCATCACTTATATTTGTGTGGCATACTATTCTGACTTTTTATAACCCTCTATGAGAAATACCTTTGGCACTTTAGAATTCCCTACTTTTGAGTATCTCTCACTCTCTCATGATGATGATCTATGCAATCATTAGGATGGATACAGCACTATATATCTCTTAAACATTTTAAGTATAACAATATAACATTGTCCTTATGCTGTGTATTGCTAAACGTTTACCACAATAATATTGGTATCTTGCCACTGTCACTTGTGAGGCTTTAAATAAAAGCGTCTAAATCAGTAAGTAATCCAACCACGCAGTCCAACAGGACTAAAGTAACAGATCACACTGTTGCAATCTTTAAAACAACAGCTGCAATATCTTCATCTTGCAACAGGTTGAGTTGTGTGCTGACATGTGGGGGAACCAATACCGAGTGGGGCGCATTGCATTGAAATGTGCTCGGTTTAGTGTGTGACACAAACTTTTGAAAGTTTGTGTCACACACTAAAGAAAGAAAGAAAGCGGAAACGCCATGGTTTTCTTGTTTGAACCAAAAACGGCGAACCGGAAACCGGAGCGCAGTTCCGTTAGACGTTAAAAACGAAAAAAGAGAAGACGATGGTGTTTCCGTATTTTCGTTTTATTGTTTAAACCAGCGGTTCCCAAACTCAAGAATGCCGCGGCCCAATTTGAAATCTGAAAATCTTTTGCGGCCCACCCAAACCTTTAATCACAACTCTGATCAAAACATAAACTAGGGATGATTAAATGACCTTAAGAATTTAACCGATTAAAAATATATTAACCAACAATGTATGTTTTGCATACCATTTTCTCCAGAGTTCATATATATTTACTTTAATACTACAAGAGGATGCCCCCATTTGACATGGTTTTATATTAATTTCAAACTTTTCAAAAAAATGGAAAATTAAAAACATTTTATTTATTTGTTGTAAATGACCTCTCGCGGCCCACCTGGAGCCGCGGCCCACACTTTGGGAATCGCTGGTTTAAACGGTATAAGGAACTATCAAAAGGTGCACGGGGCGAAGTAAGTTAGCTCACCCCGGGGAGCTGAAGAAGCTGGGATACTAAAAGAGGCAGTTTCAATGCCGCAACGCTTCCCGTCACTCCAACAAGAACACGAGATGTCCCACAAGATTTCGTCAAATCCGTTTCTAGACTAGATACATGCTGCGGTGTCTGCATATTAAGACCAGGTCGACAAACTATCCCTCTCACGAGCGCCTTTCCACCCAAATGAACTACTTCCGTAAATATTTCCCTCCAGCCAATCGGAATAGAGCACAACGGACGGCTCTGTCTCCCGCACGAGCACGTCGCTGCGTTGGCGGATTGCGGGCGCGCGGTCGCGGAATGTTCTGGGACCTCTTTGAAACCCGCTGCTAGCGATTTGAGACCAATAATTACCGTCCAGCCAGAAATCTGCGTGCCCCCCCTCCAAAAAAAAGAAAAAGAAATAAAAACGGTACAATGGCGCTCACGCCTCTCGTGTACTGGGCTCAACGTCACGAAGACATTTACCTGCGCGTGGAGCTAACGGACGCTCAGGTGAGCTTACAGTAGATGAGTGATTCGGACAGGACCTGCTGTGGCAACACAAAACGCGTGCACGCGCCCGCAGTTGGGTTGAGTTTATTTATAGACAGGTGCGCGCCCGACGACGCAGCGCTGCTTCATCCAAAGATGTCTACATAATACGTGTATATTACTGCATTTGGATTGACCGTTTTCTCCAGCAGGGCCGACATTCTCCTTGTGGCAGTGGTCAGCAATGGCAAGTCGGTGGAAATCGCTAGTAAATCATTGGCAAGTCGCAAAGATCGGGGGGGGGGGGGGGGGGTAGTCTGCCACAGAGTTGCCACTGCCACCCACAGGTGCACAGGTTGTAATAGAATTCTTACTCTGAAACAGGAAGTACACGCTCATCATCTGCCGGTTTCTTTTTGCAGAACATTGAGGTCCGTGTGCACGAACGAGTGCTTCAGTTTAAAGGTGACGATTACATCATTGTTCCTCCTGCAATGCAACCGGTTTGAGAAGTTCCTGATTTGTAACATTTCCGTATTCTTTTTCTGTGCAGCGCAGGGCCGTGGTGCAAAAGGGCAAAATGAGTATGAGTTCAGTCTGGAGTTTCTTTTACCAGTAAAGTCAGAGGTACGTGTCTCTACCCATTTACTTCTCCCCTTGTATGTCTACCGGTTATGTTGATCGTGCTCCTTCACTGGGTCTCCAGGTGAGCCACAGGTCCACGCAGCGGCAGGTGAATATTACTTTGCGGAAAGAGCAGCGAGGTTGGTGGGAAAGACTGACGCTGCAGGATCGCAAACCGCTCTTCGTGGTGCCGGACTTTGACCGCTGGTTGGACGAGTCCGATGCTGAGATGGAGATCCGGGAAAAGGTGAGTTTCATTTTATCTTCTGCTTCTGAGGGACATCTACAACACACCACCTTGTGCATTTGACTGCTTTATTAAATAACATAGAGCAAAATGTCGATCCGACCGAGAATGCACCATTGATAACAAAGCTGATGATGGAAAACTTGGGTACATATTTATTTTGTTAAGGAGGAGAAAAAGGAGGAGATGAAGACGGCGAGGCATGAAGAGCGAGGTGAGCGCACATCGGCTTAGATTGGATTTCTGTTTCTCTGAAAAAGTCCCAGTTTTTGAAGAGTTTCAAGCAAGTTGTTATTGTCTGTCGTCAATGTTCCATGTTTCTTTTAACTGTTTCAGGGTTTATCAGCCTGAAAAGAGGACTCTTGTTTGCATACAATCTGGTTCAGTTTCTCGGCTTTTCGTGGATCTTTGTCAACATGACGGTGCGGCTCTTTATCTTTGGCCGAGGTGAGGAAACTGAACACTGCTGGGGCTCAACCATTCAAATTTCTTCTCCTTTTCTGATAAACGTACTCTCTCACCTCAGATTCTGTGTCCGATACATTTCACACCATATCGGACGTGATGTTCTTCTGCCAGATCCTGGCAGCGGTGGAGGTCCTCAACGCTGCTTTTGGTTTTGTCCGGACAGGCGTTACTCCAACTCTTATACAGGTATGGGCTTTCATGTGCAGTGACACCTGCTTTTTGTAACCGCAAAAAGTACATTTGAAGTGTAATAACTATGTTTGGTCCTTTTACTAGGTGGTTGGAAGGAATTTCATCCTGTTCATCATTTTTGGTGCCGTGGAAGAAATGCAACACCAACCAGTGGTGTTTTTCGTTTTCTATCTGTGGAGCGCCATTGAGATTTTTAGGTAACCATGCATCTGCCTCGTTGTTTGTCACACTGAAAAAGAAAAACATGTTTAGCTCTAAATGCTAGATGGACATTCGTAAGTGTTCTTATGCATGGTGGGGGGGCTGCTTTTCACCAGGATTAGAGCAATATTTGGGGGTTTGAACAGGAAATGAGTTTTCCTCGAGGTCACTTCACTCTGCTTTCTAATGTTTCATGAACCATCTGCTGTAACACAGATGATGATGAAACTAAGTTGACTCAACAACCACACTGAGTAAAAGTGGAAATCCTCTCGTTGGACACAACACGTAAGGTTTGGAGGTCCGGGTGTCCTCAGCCTTCGTTGGATGTTACAAGAAACGGCGGCTTATTTAAGCTGCGTCGTTATGAAGATGGATTGTTATCGATTTTAAAAACACGTTTCCTCACTAAAACTAACTTAACGCTCCAACTCCAGGTATCCGTTTTACATGCTCGGCTGCTTCAATACGGAGTGGAAAACCCTCACGTGGCTGCGGTACACAATCTGGATACCGCTTTACCCATTAGGTGTCCTGGCTGAAGGTGAGCTCTTCTATGTCCGTCAGAATTAATACTAATTCAAACAAGCACTTACACGCATCTCCCAATCCCACGCAGCCGTCGCTGTGATACAATCCATTCCCATCTTTGACAAGACCAAACTGTTCAGTATTCCTCTGCCGAAAGCCGTCGGTACCTCCGTCAGCTTCTCTTGCGTCCTGTACGTCTATCTGGGCCTCATGTTTCTGGGTGAGTCTTTGTGTGAAACATTAATCACGTCAACCTCCAAGGAAAGTTTGCGCCGATATCAACTTTTTGCGTTTCCCGTCTCCTCCTCAGGACTCTTTATCAACTTCCGCCATCTTTACAAGCAAAGGACGAAGCGCTTCCGTACCAAAAAGAGGAAGGCGAATTGAGCAGCAGCAAACTTCTAACACCTCTACCGCCTGCTCGTTTCTGGAGATCGTGATACTCGGAAACCGTAAATGTGCCAGTTCGATGTGCCAGTCCTAGTTCACGTTATGAGAAGTTGACTGTCTTTGCTCTCGATCTATAGAAACATCTTGCAGTTGCAACATTTCATTATTGCATTGACTCATGAGCTGGTGATGATGCATTTCTCGAAGATGCGAGTTTGTATTTCTACTGTTATTTGATGTTGACTAATCGGTTTAAGCATATATAATAATAACGCACAACTACTGTAATTGTTTGTTAACTGGCCACATTGGTAAGAATTGTATGTCACTTCTGCTCAGTGACATCTGAGTGACAGTGCTACGTAGACTTTTTTTTTTGTCTTCCCCACTTCGTTATTTCATCTGAATTGAAAATGCCAACAATAAGTCAGTTTATAAGTTTCTTGTTTAATGTTATTCAACACTGAATAGATCATTTTATCTGGTCAATTTGGGAAAAACATACAAAAAAATGACACGCTAACATCTTAGAAGACAGCTCATGTAACTTTCGTCATGATTGGCAGTGAAGTTATCAATCCAACTCCTTTTAGGTTCCACATGCAGGGTTATTGAAGCAGCACCCTTTGATTTCTTTAAACGTGAAGCGCAGGCTAAGGACGCTACGTTGCACGTGGTCTTTTACGAGGCTCAGCTAGAGAAGTCTGTGTGCATGGGAGCAATGTTGTGATCGAAAGCAGCATACTGGGAGTCACCGGTGCTGGCCAGTTTGAGTTGCTGTGCGGCATGGGAGAGCTGGAAAGCGGCATCCGGGTGGGCAGAGTCGGGCAGCAGCGTGCACTCTCTCTCCAACAGGTCGGCAACTCCCTTCAGGAGCTCCCAGAAGCCGAAAGCCAAGGCGGCCTTCCGAAGGCGGTTCAACTCCTGGTAGATTCAAAAAATGAATAACGTAAAACACTACATTAAATTAGGGAAATACAGTTTGAAGCGTTGCAGATTTTCCTAGATTTACCTTGTAGAAGGTTTGAGTTTTATCCGGCAATTTCCTTGCATTCCTTAGGATCTTCTGGACATCGGTCTGCAGAAGGACAGCATGATAACTTAAACAGGGTCACAGTCCTACGATTGAGGACTAACTGTTAAAGAACTAAACACATGTATTAGACTCTAGCCCAACCTTTTTTGAACCAAGATCTACTTTTGAAGTTGATAGTGTATCGAGATCTACCAAGCCATATCGAAAGCCGTAGCGTAGCCACAATTTATTGCGCACCTATATAGGACACTGTTTTCTGACACACAGATACAGTTTTAACAATAATACATTCATTGAAGTAAATGTGAATGTGCAAAGAATAAGCACAAGTAGGCCCAGGACTGGCCCGTAACAACGCGACAGACAAACAACCCAAATAATACAATGCCTAATTCTTTGAACTTTTATAAGAACTAATTCAAGTTGGAAAAGTGGTATTTCTCTACCTTAGTGGGATTTCTGGCACTGAGAGGAGGAAGCTAGTCTCTCATAGTACGGACAGTAAGAGCTGAGTGGCAGCCGTAAGCAGACTGCAAGGTGGTCATCGGTCATGGTGGATCTGTATTTTGACTTGATGATTTTCATATGTGAAAAGGACTCACACAAATATGTTGATCCGAAAAGTGCAGTCAAATTCTCTGCAGTTTGTCTGAGGTTGGGGTACTTCTCTTTCTGCATTAGATTCCAGAATTGGACATTCATGTCAGGTGTTGCTCTGGATTTGAGCTCAATGTCATTCTTCAGTGTGAGGATCTCATTCTCAACAGCACAGCTATCCAGGTTGAAGAGTGATGCCACTTTGGACGTTATACAATCCACATCTACATTTTCCCCAAATGGAAAACAGAGAAAGCTGACAACAGGCCCAATGGATGCAAAGTCAGTGAAGCGCCTGTCAAATTCTGACAAGATGCTCTGCACTTGGTCATCATAACGTGCACCCTCAAGCTCCGCCCAGTCTTTGCCCACAGCCTGGGCTGCCAACTCTCACGCATTGGCCGTGAGACTCACGCATTTGATCGGTTTCACACGTTCTCACACCACACCTCCGATTTCTCACGCCAAAGAAGAGACTACCATTGAAAAAGAGGGGCGCCAGAACACAACAGTAATGTACCCTTTCCTGTCCATGGCTGTGGGTGAAGTTCTGTGTTCAACGCCTTAACAAAGTGTCTATCCCGGGGTCAAAATTTCTCGCGATCGACTGGTAGCCCGCGATCGACTGGTTGTGCACAACTGCTCCAGCTGATCATCTCATTAAGCGTTATCCCATCGTCAAATGAAATTGAGTTCACATCGTCAGCGTGGTCGTAGTGGGCGGGACAAGATACGATACTGTTCATCTTCAATGAAGTTTAATTACTTTGAATGATACTTTGGCTGATGTGACAAAGCTGCACCGCATTGATCAAAAACACCAGTCCCCTCCGTCCAGTATCTCGTACCATGGCACGTGGACTTTTGGAACCCGAACCAACGACGGCTGGTAATCAGGACCTCTATCAGCTCAAACCAACCGCCAATTCTCTTGCTACGTAAACCAACAGCGGTGCTTTCATACGCCGTGTTTCCCTTTACCTGCAGTCCACTGGCCTTAATCCACACTGTGACGTTCTGGGCGTAGCTTCGTTTGACCGGCGGCTGCAGAGGGAAAGGACTTTTACTGTCATCCTCTCCATAGGGATTTTCAGCAGCCTCTGAAATACCAGGAAAACGAGTGAAGTCAGTATCAGGAGCAGCAAGCCAAAAAAAACTGGCAATTATTAACTGCTTGCTTAGGCAATGAGATGCCTTTGGTCTTAAGGAAAAACAACGATAATTTACTCTGACAGGGGTTGTAATAGTGTCACATTAAAAAGCAGTTTTAACAATATCCCAAACATGTCAGCCACAGAAAATAATGCTTACAGAAACAAGAGCATACAGGAAAAGGGCAATGTTTTGTCGTTTGCTTGATGCCACGTGTCTGCAGAGGAACCACAAGGGTTGGTGGGTTACCTGATATTGGTCCCAAATGTGTGATCTTGCCCAGCCAAGGCAGAGGCTCGGGACCAGGCTCAAACAGAGACATCATCAGGTTGGATTTCTTTTTGCTGTCTGCTTGAGAGTACAGCATGCCATACCACTCTGGCCTAAGGAACAGCAAAACTAGATTTAGGCCACGTCTTCATATGTTGTTTTACTCTGCGCTAAACCTTTGACCTAAATATTGCATCTCACCCCAGCTGAACCAGTGCCACCATGCCCTCTACCTTCAGGCTGCCGTGCAAAAGTACACAGAAATTTGGACTTTTGCCTGCCATTTGACTGGCTGAAGGTTCCTCTTCAAGCTCGTCGGTGGTACCCGTGCCAACTTCATCCACCTCTGAAAGCGATATAAATAAAACACGTTGAAAACATCTTGCGTATTGAGTTTGATCATTCTTTTTGAAAAAAGATGTGTTTAACTCTACTACAAAAAGAAACAATTATCTGCATGAAGAGGGGGTTTCAAAAATATTCCCACCACAAATGCTTTGCACAAACTAGCTTCTGTTTTTCATTGACTTTAAAATCAGGGGGAAACTACAGTGCATCCGGAAAGTATTCACAGCGCTTCACTTTTTCCACATTTTGTTATGTTACAGCCTTATTCCACAATGGATTAAATTTGTTATTTTCCTCAACATTCTACACACAACAACCCATAATGACAAAGTGAAAACAGTTTTTTGCAAATTTTTGCAAATCTGATAAAACTAAAGAACGAAAACATAACATGTACATTAGTATTCACAGCATTTGCTCAATACTTTGTTGAAGCACCTTTGGCAACAATTACAGCCTCAAGTCTTCTTGGGTGTGATTCCACAAGCGTGGCACACCTATTTCTGGGCAGTTTCTCCCATTCTTCTTTGCAGAACCTCACAAGTTCCATCAGGTTGGATGGGGAGCGTCGGTGCAGCCATTTTCAGATCTCTCCAGAGATCGGGTTCAAGTCAGGGCTCTGGCTGGGCCACTCAGGGACATTCACAGAGTTGTCCCGAAGCCACTCCTTTGTTATCTTGGCTGTGTGTCAGGTCGTTGTCCTGTTGGAAGATGAACCGTCGCCCCAGTCTGAGGTCCAGAGCGCTTTGGAGCATGTTTTTATCGAGGAAGCCTCTGTACATTGCTGCATTCATCTTTCCCTCAATCCTGAGTAGTCTCCCAGTTCCTCCCGCTGAAAAACATCCCCACAGCACGATGCTGCCACCACCATGCTTCACTGTAGGGATGGTATTGGCCAGGTGATGAGCAGTGGCTGCTTTCCTCCAGACATGACGCTTGGCATTCAGGCCAAAGAGTTCAATCTTTGTTTCATCAGACCAGAGAATTTTGTTTCTCATGGTCTGAGAGTCCTTCAGGCGCGCTGTCATGTGCTTTTTACTGAGGAGTGGCTTCCGTCTGGCCACCAAACAGGCCTGATTTGTGGAGCGCTGCAGAGATGGCTGTCCTTCTGTACGGTTCTTATATAGACAGGTGTGTGCCTTTCTCAACACTGTCCAATCAACTGAATTTAGCACAGGTGGACTCCAATCAAGTTGTAGAAATATCTCAAGGATGATCAGTGGAAACATGATGCACCTCAGCTAAATTTTGAGTGTCATGGCAAAGGCTGTGAATACTTATGTACATGTTATGTTTTCGTTCTTTATTTTTAACAGAGTTGCAAAAATTTGCATAAAACAGTTTTCACTTTGTCATTATGGGTTGTTGTGTGTAGAATGTTGAGGAAAATAATTAATTTAATCCATTTTGGAATAAGGCTGTAACATAACAAAATGTGGAAAAAGTGAAGCGCTGTGAATACTTTCCGGATGCACTGTATATAAAACAATCTGCTGCTTAAATGAAATCAGGATATTTTCTGTGAAAATGACTTTCAGCAAAGTCTTCAAAATAACAAATATTGTAAGACACTAACCTTTGTTTACATTAATAGGCAATACTAAGTGTCTGGAAATAACAGGAGGACTGGAAATGTCAGCAATTTCAATGAAGCCCACAATCTCCAAATCTGAAAAAGGTATAAGAATAAAGATATGACGACGGAAAATATGTTTGACTTAAACTCTAAATGTTGAAATTGGAAGCCCCCTGAGTACCTATATTGACTGATCGGGGCATGGGCTCCACTTCTTCATCCATCACAATAGGCTCAGGCCGAGGGAAGACCTGAACGTCTGAGGACAGGTTCCCACAGTGCAGGACAGCATGGAAGGGAGAGTATGCGTGATCAATCAGCCTCCTGAAAACATACAAACCATTCAAAGCTCCTAATTCAAAATATAAACATTAAAAGGTACATTTCTTCCTAGATTGTTTGCCAGTAGGAGTCATACCCAAACATGGCCTGTACGCTCTTCATGCAAAGTGGTCCCTCCACAGTAAAGATCTGTCCGTCGCCTCCGCTGAGACGAAGCAGCTCCTCCAAGTTGTCCATGGAATCGGTCATCTGCAACTGCAACAACACAAGACGTGTGCATTGGTTGTAGATTATTTTGTTTATTACAGTTTCAAAAATGTTATTTGCGTGAGTAGTAGTGGAAGACATGAGTGTGATGTATTTTCTCAAAAGGTCTAAAAACTATTGGCTTTGGCTTTTAAACCACGTATGCCTCCATGCAAAATCCACGTTGTCACATATTTACAATAAGTTTACTCTATCACAAGGAACTTTGAAAAGACGTGCCGGTGTTCCTGTCTTCTAAAGATCACTTCCATCACAATTCGTGGGAAGGGTTCAGGAGTCACTATAATATCATAGTCATTGACAGAGTCATGAATACTCATCATTATGAACCTGTAAATGATCTCGGCTCAAAAATGAAGGTAGTAACAACTGTCAAAATTCCGTGACGTCATCCGAAGATTTCTTCAACGATGTCGAAGCGAACAATGCCCAGAAAAAGCCATCACCTTTTTTAGTAGTAAGTAATAGACCAGCTGCTTCTGGTTGAATGGTATCAAGAGTTTTACACAGACTGTGTTCAGGCCAAGATGCAAATAAATCCAGATTCATTGTTGACTCAGTCATACCTCCTCTGCATTGGCTACAGACATGATGAACAGTTTGGTAGGGAAAGGGAAAGGGAGTGGGAACTTCTTATCATCCCCTCGATGCTTGAGTGATTGGAGGGATTGACGAAGGGAACCCTTTCCAATACCCAGAGATCCATCAGTAACCAGCACCACCTACAGGACAAAGGAAGGAGGTACATCAACACACGCCGATGCAACAATAAATGGGCAGAACCACTCTCCAAACATTAGCTGACCTTTATTAAGGAGGTGTAGTATGATAAAGGACCTGCCAATTTACCTGACATGGACAGGCACTGCCCCACTCCTGCTGTACCACGTTACTAACTCCGTTAAGAGCGGATTCAACACATGTCTTGTCATAGTCTTCCAGGTTGCCCAGAGCCTCCTGTGCAGGAAAAAAATGAATTCATCCGTTAATCCTCAACTCTTCTCCAACGGCAGTCTCGTTTTCTAGGAGTTCAAACCCAGACAGTGTCGGTGGGGAGAGAAAAACATTCTTTGACTTTGCACTTTCCTCAGGTGAGGACATTTTTTTGATTTACCTGCAGTGCATTGTAATCTCTGGTGAAAGGCACCAGGAGCTCCCAGAGGGAAGAGAAGGCCATCAGTGAGGTAAACTCCAAGCGGTAGTTTGAGGCCATGTGTTCAAATAACATGTTTAATCCGTGGACAGCCAGGTTCTTCCTCTGAAACTCCTCGCTGCCATCCAGCGACACGGGTCGTGTCATGGACAGAGACACGTCGATCAAGATCACGGTCGGCATGGCGACCCGATTGTGTGACGTTCGATGAGAAAACAATTCAATGGATTTATAGAACCCACCGATAAGCTTTCACTAAAGGAAAGAAATACAGAATTTTTAAAAAGTTGAGAGGAGGATGACGAAAGTAAGCAAACTTAACATTACATAGTTTCTTACTGTCTCTAAAAAGGCATATTAAGAAACTACGAGCGTAACGAAATAAGGTTAAGGGAGAAAACCTGTCGGAAACTATGGTCACAGCAGGTTAGCAAATGTTGGCTAACATACGCTAGCTTTCTGTAACGCAAAGCTAGAAGACCCGACGGAAGCAACGTTCTGTTTCCTATTCAGCAACTGTGAGAAGATAACAATATTCAAGTTAAAATATTAAAGTATTAATAATATGACAACAAGTTAACAGATAACGTTACGTGCCATTCAACGTTTCGCTCTCCATCAGTGTTGACTGTGCACCACTACTTCCGTCCGGGCGAAACCAGTACAGTTTAGAATGAATAGTTCCCGTTTATTCTTTTGAAATTTCAATGTTGTGCTGAACAATCGCAGAAAGACACGTTCACCATGTTTACATAACGTTGTTTGCTGTCCGAAAACTAACGTTGTATCATTTAACAAAAATACGGTAAAAAACAAAGAATATTTCGCACTATGACCACGCGAAACAACCACCGCTCACGCTCAGAGTAATGACGCATTTAACATGGAAGAAGGAACATATGAAGCATTGTTTGTGTCCGATCAATAAAGATACATTTTTTTCTTCGAGTTTGTTTGTTCTCTCCTCAGCAGTTAAACAAATCGAAGAATAATTTTAACCCTGACGGTTTCAACAGAGAGCATTTGGACACCATGAGGCGCTATAAACCCTTTTTCATTCCCATCAACTATCTCATTATTAAAGAACTATTTCCTGTATTTATTTCTTTTTGATTTCTTGACGTAAAAGGATTAATTAATGTAATGTGTAAAATAAGAACTATGTATTACTTTTTATTTAATCGTAAAAATTCAATAAGTGTCTAAGTCTGGATGTTCTTGGCTCTTGTTCTATGTGACCAAAGTGAGCATCTCCTCCAGGACAGAACAGAAGGATACCTTACAAAAGGGCTCACAATGGACTGCAAAGTATCTATATAGAAGTATACAGATATATATACCGTAGTATATAATATTCTCAATTTATCTGACAACATTTCAGTTAGCCCTCTTTGGTGCCCTAAGATTTGGAGTAAATCTTTCTCTATTTTAACGAGTCTAACAAAGACAAACCTTTAAATCAAGTTCACCATATAATAAACCATTTAGAGCTACGTGGTGTGATAGCGTTAGTTATTACAAAAAAATAATCATTACAAAATAATCATATTTGAGGACTATTCAAAATAACTAGACGAGAGCAGTTGGAATAACTTAACATGTTTAGCGTTAAATGGCTTCCGTCAATCCCGCTGTTCTTGATATTTAACAAAATTCTGCGTGTGACAGAATTGAAAGTTTAAGAGTTACACTGAGGTTAACTTAAGTCAAACAGTGACGATCAAAGGTGTTAAAATATAATGCATAGCGTCATTAATCAAGCTCCTGCCTGTTAGTTGTTTGATTCACTTACTTTCTGTAAAAATAACTAACGTTAGTTAAGTAAAAAATAACATATTTCCACTAATCAGATCACAAGTATATTTTGCTTTGTTTATTACTCACGCATACTTTTATGTCAAGATGTGCATCTCTACTTCCTTCCGGTGAAGCTTTAAATAAATTCATCCTTTGTGGTGAGGTTACACAATTCTTATTGGAAAAATCAAATTCCTTTCCTGAAAGTTGCCCCAAAATCAACAATACTCCATAAATATAAAACAAACATTTTAAGCTGGGTTTGAAATGAGTCGTTCCAGTTAAAACTGATACGTTTGTTATACAAACATCATTAATACATCTCAGGCTTCATTAAAATCTGTTTATAGTATAGTTGTGCAACATAATGCAAGTTTCCTTTTTCATTTTTGCAATATATTTAATGTTGTAGGCTCATGGTGAAGTGACAGTGAGACAATGAACATAATCCTCTTAGAAGACTTCAGGTATTAGGTATTATGCTGATCCATTGTCAAGTCTTGTCCTGTGTCCTACATAACCGAGGGCCGTTGAAAACCGTTTGGGCTTCTGCTTTTGCCGCAACCATCAACATTGAAAGTCTGCTTTTGGACATTTTAGCACACCTGACATTGGCTCTGTGGTAAGTCTGCATCTTTGATAAAATGCATGGTGTTGTTTCTATGCGACTTATCGGTGTTGTGACATTTACTGCAGTTGCTATAAAGTTTTTCTTCTTTCATTTAATTTATTTTCTTAAAAATAACAAAAATCGCTTCATCACTAATGCCATGAGAGACACTATATATTTAATGATTAGGGTCATTGCCTGAATAGTTCACATGCTTTAAAATGAAAACTACTGTTGTGTCACTTGCTATATTGAACAGTTAGTGCTCCAGTAGCACTTACATTAGCATTTACTTACAGCACTATAAATTGGCTTTCTTGAAAAAAAATGTAATGTTTTCATTCTTGCTGTTCCGCGTCTGTACCGTCATGGTTGGATGCACGTATTGTAAGTTTCTTTGGACAAAAGTGTCAGCTAAATGAAATTGAATATAAATATCATTTTGTTTAGGTCGTTTTTCCCAAGGAGATGAGGATGACATGAATCATGCCGCTGAAGTTTTAGATTCTTCATGGTCTGCTTGGGAGGGAGCTGGACCTTTTCTTCTTCTTCCAAATCCCATTCATTCAGCTTTAATTCCCCATAGTCTGTATCATCACTGCTTTGGAGGAACATGCATTGTGCAAGAAGGAAACGACTGCAGCTGCGCCGGGTCTTGTTTCTCCTTTCCGGGGTTTTTCTCTGTACCCTGTACCAGCTGACCATCCGTACCACACTGTACGAGCCTTTGCCGTTGTCTCAAATTGGAGGCGATTTTAGAGAAGGTTCAACTGAGGGTATTGAAGATCCCACAGATCAAACAACGTCAGAGATACAGGTGACGCATCGCTCCGATACAACCCCAGATTTGAAAGCTACGAGCCCGACGGAATCCCCTCCACCACGGAGTACTAAGCGGACCATTGTGCATTGCATCTATGTGGCCCCCGAGCCTCCACAGCAGACACCAGCTCCAGCTCCAGCTCCTCCCGTGGCCACCGTCGCTCCAGCTTCTCCTGGTGAAGCTCCCCATATAAAGGGTGAATACCCGGAAGATATTTTTTCTATCGACGACCGTAGACGAGGTTGGGTGATTCTCCACATCTTTGGGATGTTGTACATGTTCATTTCACTGGCAATTGTGTGCGATGAGTTTTTCGTTCCTGCACTGGGGGTAATCACAGACAAGTTAGCCATCTCTGACGATGTAGCAGGAGCCACCTTCATGGCCGCCGGAGGTTCTGCCCCTGAGCTTTTCACATCCTTAATTGGAGTCTTCATCGCCCACAGCAATGTGGGCATTGGCACAATCGTTGGTTCGGCAGTGTTCAACATTTTGTTTGTGATTGGAATGTGTGCTCTGTTTTCCCGGGAGGTTCTTCATCTCACCTGGTGGCCACTTTTCAGAGACGTATCCTTCTACATAGTTGGCCTCATCTTACTCATCATCTTCTTTTTGGACAATGTCATAATGTGGTGGGAGAGCACGATGCTCGTGGCTTGTTACACTCTCTATGTGATTTTTATGAAGTTCAATGTGCAACTAGAGGAGCTTTTCAAGTCCCTACTCCTCAAAAACAAGAACATTGTCAGAATTATTGCTATGGAAGAGCCTGAAAAGGTAAGTCCTAATGAGGTTAGTTCCTTCATAACCTCAATTGACACAATAGCATGTTTGTTATCAAGTATTTGTCAGGTGTCAAGTGAAGAGTGACATATGTACTAAATGTGTCAAGGGATTCAACAATTAAAACAAGTACAGGATCATATGTAATCGAAGAAAAGAATCAGAATTATGCACAAGTTACAAATTGGCAGATTTTGTTATTCTTGAATGTGAAACAAGCCCTTTCTCTCATGCATTTTTTTGTTTCTTGTTCTTTTCTACTCAACACTCATGATGTCTCTAGTGCTACTTGTGGATTTATACGGAAGTCTTGTCATAACAGTGAAACGTTACTAGCAAAGAGTTGGTTGAACCAAAGCTGATGAATGCTGTGAGGTTTTACAGTAATGTAAAACAACTAGCATCAAAATATAATGCGTTTAACGCAGGGAGGTGGGATTGAGGCTTCATTTACACACCACGAAGCCACAGCATTTTACTTTAATAGAATGAGGGATCATTTCACAAAATGTCAGCTTCACCTCCTTCACAGACCATCAACACCTACGAGTACCCCACGATGTGCAATTAGTGAACAATCAATGTGTAAAAGTACACGGCGTGTGCTAATATTTATGCTCTACCAAAACAAAATAACTTTGTTCTGCGTTTATCACCTAATGAAATATTAATAAAATTGTGTTGCACCCAGACGAATGTGGATGCTGAAGATAAAGCCCAACCTGCTCCAGAGGACAAGAATCTGTTAAAGGTACAAAGTGACACACAAATACACGGCAGAAAGACACAACGGCGTCACAGCTACTCACAACTTTCATGTATCTTCACTTTATTCTACGTCTTATTGACCTTTCTACGGCGCTATTCATCATAACATCAAGAATGCAAGTCATCCGTAGGGGAAAAAGACCCAACCGCCACTATGACCTCAATGTGTCGCTCTCTGTTATGGTGATTTGCTAACTTTGTGACTCAGTCATCTCTCTCCACAGTTGAAGCCCTCTCTTCAGCGAGGGGGAAGCTCAACGTCTTTACACAACAGCACCATGAGAAACACCATCTTCCAACTCATGATTCACACACTGGACCCTTTGGGAGAGGGTGAGTACAACAAACTCCACACTGATTGCCCCCCAATGCTTGATCATGGTCTCCCTATAAAAGGGCTCTTGTGATGAGAAGTACGTCCTTCTCATTGTAAACTGGATTAGCAAAGTGTCCCGAATGTAGACAGCACTAAGACCAGATTGATGCTAAGCAGATAAATACCGTCCTCGGTCTATGGAGGGGAATATTTGCAAGCCCACAGTAAATGAAAAAGATTCTTTGGTCACCCAAAGCTATGGTTTGTCAACACAAAGATGTTTTTTTTCTCCATATAATGGTTACAACATTATTAATGATAAAAAATGAATCTTATATCTTTGGTTTGTTTCTGGCCTGTTAAACAATGGGGGGAAAGAACTTAATAACAGCCTTTCCAGTGTTATCCATGATATATTGTATGGTTATGGTGACATAGCTTTATATTCCCCTTCTAACGAGATCACATCGTTCTGTGGTTGCCTCAGGGAAGACCGCGCTACACTTTGTCGCTGTGGCCTTCAGTCAGCAAACATCACTTTTCAAGGATCACAGCTATCAGTGCATGTAATAAAAATGACCCACTTCACAAATATCTGGGGCTTTCCCAGCTAATTATGTGTCAAGTAAAAGATTACAGTCGTATTACAAATATTTGTATGTTTATCATGGTTACCTATTTTGACCTCGGCCTCTACTTTAACACGGGTTTCAATCTGATGTTGGCTCAAATTGAACAGCAAATTCTTTTTTTTTTTTAAATGACCTGGAATCACTGGCAAGAATATCCTGAAACTACAATACATCCAAAACAGCGCTGCCAGGATGCTGAAATATGAGCACATGACAGCCACCCTACACTCACTCCACTGGCTCCCCGTCTCATTCCGGATTGACTACAGTTACTCACTCATAAATGCATGAATGGGCATGCACCTCCCTTGCACTACTCACTCGCCAAACCCCCACCCTCAAATCTGCAAGCAGCTCGCTCCTCCGGGTCCCCAACACCAAGCTCCGCCCCACGGGCGCCTTTTGCTCGGCAGCGCCACGCAGGTGGAACAGTCTCTCTGACCACCTGACTGCCCTAAAAAACCTTCTTATTCAGAAAGACGTTTTTCACTCTTCCCCTATGTTCTTACTAGCTTTTACTTTAGCTTTTACCAAAGTTATGCCATCTCTGTCGCACTCTGAGATCTGCTGCTGAAGAGCGCGTTATGAATAAAATGTAATGTTTTTATTATCTGTTTCCTTTCCAAAAAAATCTGTCGGTTATAAAGAAAAAGAAGCATAAGCATTCATATATGCCGGCATTTTAAAGGCCTCCGGATGATGTGACTGCTTGTTTGTCTTCCATATCATTTTGAAACTGTGATATTATTATTTTCTTATCACAAGCCTGAAGTTTGTGTCTGATTGTTCGTAGGGAAATTCGTGGATAAGGCTGAGACTCTGAAAGATGCTGTTAGACGGACGGCTGAGAGAAAAACTCAAGACAAAGGTGAAGGTAACATGGAAGGATGTGACTTTCATCCGCTAATCAGCCTGATCAGTCACCTTTCATTAAGCTTTGCCAGGCTGCTCATAGACAAAAGCTGTGCTATGACAACTGAAAGATTACACGTATGTAATACATATTATAATAATATGCAGCCCGTTGGGCAATTTGTCCTTATATTATCCTGCCTTGCTGCATAATACATAATTCCAATCGCATCCTAGTGATGACAAACAAACAGTAGGTATGACCTCACGTGTCAAGTCCTAACAACACATTCAGTGCATTCCTCCACACGACCGGTCATTAAAGCTCATCAAATGTTCCTTCATATACCTGGATGAGTACGAGGCGTCAGCTAAACAAACCGTTTCTGCAGACGGTGGAGGTAAAACTGAGCCAGTCAAAGAGCCACCGGCTGCCCCCGCCCCCGAGACACAGAAGACGGAGCAACTTGAGGACAAGAAGGTACTCTCCAAGCTTTGTTCCAAGAAGTCAATCTTTGACGCCTGTCCACGTGAGAGTAAATGTGAATGAAGACACAAAGCGAAGGCTCTTGTCTAGTTTTAGTGTTTATTTCCCTTCATCCCTTCAGGAGGACGTGCCAGTGGGAGACGATGGTTTCGGGGGCTCCAGCAGCGCTGAAGGTAGCGACGAAGACAGCGATGAGGACAGCGCAGAAGACAGCGATGAGTCCAGCGAAGAAGATGAGGATGATGAAGATGAGAGCGAGAAGGAGGACCAACCTCTGTCTCTAGAGTGGCCTGACACACAACGTAAACAAGCCACCTACCTCTTCCTGCTCCCAATAATCTTCCCTCTGTGGCTCACAGTTCCAGATGTTCGCAACCAGGTGACGGTCGACACGGATCCCCGCTGTCTTATTTGAAAGGCCCCAAAGCTGTATTTTCATTTTACATCACTTACTTTGGGTAACAGAAATCCAGAAAATTCTTTGCCTTCACCTTCCTGGGCTCTATTCTGTGGATTGCGCTTTTCTCCTACCTCATGATGTGGTGGGCCCATCAGGTCAGTTTCTAAAGTAACATTAGACGTTGTATTTGAAAGCCGTTGCCTTGTTTCCTGAGGCATTGTGGTTATTTATCTTTATTGCGCCCTGAATCAGTCATGTTGTTTCGTAATTGTCCTTGTGTGTAGCTCCTATCGGCTCTAAATCGTCTCTGTTGTAGGTGGGTGAGACCATCGGCATCTCGGAGGAGATCATGGGCCTAACTATCCTCGCTGCAGGGACGTCCATCCCGGACCTCATTACCAGCGTGATAGTGGCGCGTAAAGGCCTGGGGGACATGGCTGTGTCCAGCTCTGTGGGCAGTAACATCTTCGACATCACAGTGGGGTGAGCTTCGGTATTGCGTCGCGATTAAAACATGAATGCCGACGAAGAGTAAATTGATGCATGTCCTGGTCTCACATCTCTCTGTCACTTTGTTCCAAAAGCCTTCCGGTGCCCTGGCTCCTGTTCTCATCCTTCAATGATTTTGCTCCAGTGCCTGTCAGCAGCAACGGGCTCTTCTGCGCTATTGTGCTGCTCTTCATCATGCTCCTCTTTGTCATCATCTCCATTGCAGTCTGTAAGTGGAAGATGAATAAGCTGCTGGGCTTCTCTATGTTCCTGCTCTACTTTATCTTCCTGTTGCTTAGCGTGATGCTGGAGGATCGCATCATTATCTGCCCTATTTCAATCTGAAGGGGCGGGATGTTAAGTCTGTTCTATGTCAATTGTACCAATCTCAAGTCCCTGAGTTTGGACATCAGTTGAATCTTTAGACGTTACTGTAGTTGAAACATCTGTGCAGAATAACTGCTTTTTGACAATCATCCTAGTGACCCCGAGCTTGCTTGAGTTCACACTTTGGAGAAAAAAAACTTGACATCCGTAGCATAAACGTGTTTATTCATAAATGAAAGCAAACAATAGATTTTTTCTTTTTTTTTATATATAAAACTCATACAAATGATTAGTATCTGTGTTACAAATGATAAATAATACTCATTGTTAAACATTGTTTAAATTGACAAATTGTGTAAACAACATGTACATATCAAATGATGTCTTGGTCTTCGGTGATTGAATTTCTTTTTTTTTTTATCACAAACTTACAAGGTGATTCAATTGCAAACATACACATTGTAAAGTTGGTTATTCCAAGTGCAGATCCCCGTCAAATCCACCATCATATCATCGAAAATTAGTGAGCAAGTCCAGTAAATAAGCTGTGGTGCAACATTACAGTACAACTAACAGATCATGGGCAGGTTTCTGTCAGTTAAAAGTGAAAGACGATATTAACAAGGTGAAACATTTTTGGAAAGGATTCTGAATTAGTGCAGGTCAGAGCTATTGTTCCCCCCCATTTGACATGAATGTATTTTCTTTTTTTGCTCTGGATGTCACATTAAACATTGCAGTGTTGACGAATAGTGTAAACATCTACGGCATACAGTGAAGACTGAAAGAAAATATAAAAATACTAGCATACTCTGTACATGTTTATAGATCATTACTGTTCTTTATCAAATAAATGTGTTGATTAAACAGAAAACATTTTCCTGTGTCCAACACAATCTATTTGATTGATTTTGCTGTTTTGAAATAAACTTATGCTCAGTGGTCCCATATAACACTTACATCTTAAAAAATAAAGGTATTGCTTAAAGAACTGTCAATTAGTCATAGAGGTACACCTCCCTTTGGGTTATTTTGGTTCATTGTACAAAAAAGGATAAATGAATAAACTAAACATTCTGCATGTCCTCTAGTGAAGATCCTCCTGCTTGATTCAGAAATAATAGAATGTTTAATAATTAAACTAAACTCAACTAGTTACCATCTTAGTGTAATCCGGTATAGGAGCATGGCCCTGCTGTATGCACAGGGTGCAGATGAGGAGGAACTTCTTTGCTGTATTAATTGCGTGTAATGTAAAATAATAAACAGTGCAGTAAGTTCTGTAGTTGCCAAATAAAAAGTCACTTAATCGTGGGCAGCTGGGCCGGGCCGTTACCTAATGTCAATGAAAGGCAAGAACTTGTCTCGTCAAAATACTTTATAAAAGCACAAATGTTTAAAAGGTCACCAGGACCACATGGGAACAGGATGAAGACACACTAACTTTTGCATACTCACAACTCCAACAGAAACAAAGTCTTAAAATAGAATGTATAACAACTGTACAAACATTTTACTTCAGTCATACTAAATATTTGCAACCACTAGGATGTCGCTCCATGCCTTTCAGCACTAACAGTATACAAGAAACGTATGGCAGTTACTTTACATTAATTGTCATGTTCCCTTTGTGCTTAAGAGCTCTGTGCTGGCCCTGAGTCTGACGAACAGTCCAAAAAAACCTGGCAACAGTGGCCATAGATTTAAAAAAAAAAAAACACACACACATATTGAGACTGGTGAAGAGAAGCACTTTACAGACTGGGCTCCCCAAAAGTCCTTCTGCATTCCATGACCCCCGCCCCAGGGGGCCGGTCACAGTTGTGTGTTAGCTTTACCTGGCCGTGGTTGAGACGATCATAGGCCAACTTGTACTCCCGGTCGAAAGCATCTGGAAAGAGGGATGCACATGTGGACGCAGGGTGTTAGTCATCAAACGCATTTAATCCATTAGCCTTGGGAAGCATTCATGCGACAAAGCAAGTGCAACACTTAACGTGGTGACAATATGAGCAGGTGCAACGTTTACAATGTTTAGCGTTTTAGCGGGCTAGCATTTGCTAATTGGGCGCCTGAGGATAAATGTCATCTGTTTTGCAGGTTTTTGGTCTAAAAAGCAAATACTGAAAAATTCAATTGTAACAATGCGGACGAGAGGAAAAGTTCTAGAAGTCGGGAATCACCCTCTAGGCACAGCGGACAGCTTTACCAAATGTCATGGCAATTCATTTAATAGTTGCAGAGGTCGATTGAGCAAAACACAAACAGCTGAATAGTGTGGACAAAAACATGATATTGTGTTTTTGGACTTACTGATATTAATGTTGTTCTTTCCCAATGCCACCAGCGCAAGGAACAATAAATCTCTGTAGAGGCTCCTTTTTGAGAGGGAAAAAAGAAGCAGAAATCAATTAGACTTTCCATTGGTGTGATATTTTGGACATGGCTTAACAACTAAAGTCTTCACCCCCCCCACCTTTGTCTTTTAAAACCCAGCTCCGGCCCCAGCAGCTGGATGATCTGGCTCATGGGCTGATAAACATCACTTTTCTTAATGCTCCTCACAAAACCCTGCAGTAGCTCCACAGTGAAGAGCTGGCCTTCTTCACACAACCCAGAGCGCACCAGGGAAGTTGCACCTGCAAAGAACGACAGATAAAAGTCACCCTGATTCACTGTTCATTCATCTCCATCACTCTAAATCATTTCTGAAAGTTAAAAAAACGATTCGAGTCCTGAACTGAATCGTGCATGATATTCTAGTTTCTTCAATGCATTATTTAATTTACATGTGCATTCCAGAGGAATCAGTACCTGAAAAGAATTTCACTGTTGAAATATATTATAGCTCAGTCTGTTAGAAGAAACACTTACAATGCGTGTTCCACAAGACATAGCAGGGTTGGTCTTTGTCTTTATGCAACTTCAGGTTGTCCCACATAATCCTCACAAGCACCTGCTTACTGTCCTCTGAAGAAACGCTCTGAGGAGTCTGCGAGGGACAAAAGGCGTTACTCTGTAGGAGACATTCCTTGAGGGTAGAAATGCACGGTGTACTACTCAAAAGGGCATTTAGTTTTTATTATTAAAAAGTCACTCTTCTCTATGTGTTATTTACAAGCATTGTTCTGTTTTCTCTTTTTAAGAGTCACCAAAGTAAAGAAAAAAAGATGTATGAGATGTTTCAAAGAACTGTCTGACATTTTGGGAAATCCTTTACATTCTTGCCGAGAATCAGAGGAGAGGATCAATGTCGCTCTTGGCTCAGCTTCAAATGGATATGAGAGTGTAAATCAATATTCACATCTTACTCCGGGCAACGAGGTGAAAATGTGTTTGTCCTTCATGTAAAACTCTTCCTTTACCCCAAGAACATGGCTTCACGGTTAACATGTCATTCTACACACAACTGTATGAGAGTGAGTTTGACAGACACCCGTATGTTTACCTGGTCTCCGTGGCTACAGTGCTGAGAGGCCAGGATAAGAGCTGGCAGGTTACTCGGCAGCTCCAGCCTTCTGAAGTACCACACGAGGTTCCAGAAGACGATCGGGTGTTGGTCAACAACAGTCGGGGAGGAGATGGCTTCGTCGCCCTCGTTTACCAGCAGGCTCTCCATCTCCTTCCACAAAACCAAGGGGCTCAAGTAGGGCACCGTCACCTCGGCTGGCCCGGCGTCCTCAGGTGACGGAGCTGTGCGGTCCGTCGCGGACATTTTTCCCCCCGGACTGAGAGATGGCGACGTGATCTCCTCTGTAACAAGGTGACTTTTTCTAGAAGACCCGAGGGGAGACAGACGGGATCTGTTTAAGGAGGTCACAGGAATCAAATGTCGTGTTTGTGTGTGTGTGTGTGTGTGTGTGTGTCAAACAGCTACCTGCCATGAAAATAGACAATCTAGCACACGAGATCTATCAGTCTATCAGTGGATTCAGCGTGATTTATGCGTTGTGTCCCTCATGTGAAGACGTGAACCGTCTGCGTCTGCGTAACGAGAACATGTACCTGCTCTGTAGTCTCAGGTCTTTGATTTCCACATTGAGGAAGGGCAGGAAGGCTGTGCCGCAAAAGGGACAGCTGCTGTTGAGATTGGAGTCGTTGCCTGTCCAGCCGGCCATTATCTCCTCATCATACACCAGACAGTCGCACGTCTTGCAAAGTGAGGAGCTGGACATCAGCACCTACAAGCAAAAGCAGGTCACGGGGTGTAACACTTCAATCGGGACAGTGGAGGCCAGCGTACAGAGGAGCGGGCGATGAGGAATGTGCCCTACCTCCATGCTGTAGTTGGGAGTGGGTTGGAAGCGGCTGGCGTCGGGGGAGGAATCAGGAGTGCGAGGTATTTTAGAAGGAAGTGCCAGACCACCTGGGAACAATAGCAGATTATACAACCTGACACACAAAACAAGGCAGAGATTTAAATAACGATCAACGCTTTACATATTAAATACAGCAAGTGGAAAAATAAAGCGATGTCATTGGACTTTTGGTGTTCCTGCGTCTGGGAGCGTGCATGTTCATGTTTATATGTGTGAACTTTGTGTAGGCTGCTCCGCACCCGGCCACTGAATCCACCCTCATGCCTGCTGGCCTAGTTATGCACAGAACACCCGGCGTTCTCCATTACCGAGCAACACTCTGAATTCAGGTTGTCAGGAAGTTAAAACGTCAATTTAACGAACATGGCCGTAGGCCTTCAGGTGTTCTTCTGTAGCTAAATATATGTACTAGATCCCGTTCATCGACGTAAACAACAAAACCAGCAGCATTTGTTATGGATGCGAAGGATGTGCCACAAACCAGAAAAGGAGTTGTGTCTGAACACTCTGTCGGGGTTGCTGGGGCTGCCCAGGTTGGTGTGACCCACAACCGGGCTCCTCCTGAGTCGGGAGACGCTGCCGTGATGGGGAGAGACGAAGCCATCCGGGTCCAGACACGGGTCGTTATCAAGCAGCGAGGAGCAGTCGGCCTCCCCTGAGGTCAGTGAGGAAACACTGATCCAGTCACAGTTTGTTTCCTGCAAGAAAGGAAGACGAACATCATTGGCGAGGAAGTTTTTTTCCCGCAGTTATATCGGGAAAATTGTTAAGGGGAAGTGCCGCACTGCCGACCTGTGTAAATGACGTCTGGGAGGACAGACGAGAGTAGAAGCGGCTCGCCTTCTCGGCCACGCCCTTCCCCGCTGATATGACGCTGCTCTTGAAGATGTCCAGAGATGGGCTGAACAGTGAATCCATGGAAAACGATGAGGACGACGGAGTAGGGGAGGAGGGTGAAACCAAAGAGGAAGGCCTCTCCCTGTCTTTGGTACACAGACCCAGAGGGAGAGACGGCGACGGCCTCAGCTTGTCCTTGGGTTTCGCGGGCAGCGGGAGCTGTGCGTTGGAGTGCGGCGTGGTGGTGGGCCGCGGCGAGTCGCGAGGAGACGAGGCAGGTCTAAACAACGGGCTTGAAGGGTTCTGCAGGTTCGTACTGGATGTGCGGCTGCTCAGGGGGCTGCTGCCATTGTGCATGTACATCTCGATTTCCTCCGCGAGGTCGCGGCGGGCTGTTGGCGGGCCGCTAATCTCCTGATCGCCCTCTTGCAGCACACCTGTCGCCATCAACGACAGCGGATCTAAGCCCCGATCAATACCCGTTCTCCTCACAGTCCCGCCGCCGCAGCTGATACTTCTGCCCATCAAAGGTGTCTGTTTACCAGTCTGCGTCTCCTCTTCTTCCACCCCGTGGAGTCTGTCAGCAGTTGCCTGATGCTGCTTTGTGGATGAAAAGCTCGGGACGGTGAGTCTAAGACTTTCATGGCCGCCAGACAAGTCCAGAGATTTTGGCCTTTCCGACTTGAGCCGAGGTCCACGCAGAATAACGTCACTTGATGGACTTGAAGCCTGCCTGTTGCCTGTGTCGAAAACAAATGTGTCAAGACCGAGATCTGCGGCTAACATTGGACTCACAGATATTGCTTCTTTATAAATTAAACTTACCAGCACTGACAACTGTGGATTGGAAGTTTCCTGGAGGGGAGATGCTGCTGATTGGAACCTCAACTGCTGGAGATTTAAATGATACCAAATTAGTTTTGCGCATTTGGAAAGTCCAAATAAAAACACTTGCATTCATGCAAAATCTATATTCAATTTAGAAAAGAATCAGATGCTGGAGTGCAAGAATAACGCTAATATAGTGGGGTTAAGAAGGGTAATGAACAACAACAAGATGCAAGGCACCAATTAGTGAGGACAATTGATTCTGAAAGCGGGAACAGGGATTGCATCATACGCGACGCGTTGTCATTGGCAACAGACCTCCAGATAAATCCTGCTCACATAAAAACCTTTCATCAATCAACAGAGTCTGTTTCTCGAAAAACAATATTTTAATATACCAGCAAATGGACGTGTGGAGAACACGGTACTCCCACACTGTCATATAATACCTTTGCTTTTAAAGAGAGAGTGTTCCTTTTGCTATCAGTGAGCAATAATTCGCTCAAAGATTAGAGGCATAAATGAGGTCATAACTCACTGGACGGCCTCTGTCGTTTGTCTTCCACCGCCGACGAATAGTTGCTCTCTCTGCTGCACATCCTCTCCTCCTCTTTGGATAGTGAATCGTAGCCTTGGTCTGACTGGCCACCTAAAAAAGAAAAGAGGCTTCACTCTTCCAGTTACACCTTTTTTTTTACCCTGCTTAGTTTACTCTTCCAGAAAGTGCTGAGGGAATCAAAAAGAAACGATTTTGCTGTGAGAACTGATCTGTTTTTATCATCAACAGAGCGAGGTGACATTCCCTTCAGCCTACAGCTCACAACCGTCCCAGAATAGAAAAGCAGGAGGAGCATGAGAGGAACGGGGGCTTTGAAAATCATATTCGAATCTAAATCTCTGGTTTATTTTAATACAAATGTATTAATTTTTTTTTCTGCTGAGGGACAATGAACATAAGCCGAGTTGTCAGCCAGATTTAAGGCCTTAATATTGTTAATGTAGGAGCTTTATCCTGATTACAGACATGTTGTGTCCCCTGCTATTAATCTACAGTACATTAGTCATAATAGGATGCATAAAAAAAACAGTGTTGCCAAGGCAACTTAACCATTTGTTGTCAAAGTCTAATCTATATTTTTAAAAGACAAAGAAATGCATAATACCATTCTTTGTCTTTCTTTTATTCTCCATGGACATGACTGTGTTTGTCCCAAAATGTTTTTTCTCTCCTAGGCAGATGTACGAGGGAAGAATTGTGAGCAGTTTTCCATCTTTTTGTGCAGATTATTGTCATCCAGCACCAGCAAAGATGTTCTTGATGTGCATGTGATTCCTGATGAATGACATGTTTACATTTTTCTCCAATATGCACCCATTAAGGTCATTGAAATGAAATTATCATTAGCAATTGTTTTAGCATTTCCTATTCTTCATAATTAAGAAACAATTACCTTGAGGGTATTATTATTTAGTTGATGCATACTTATAAGCTGTTTACATTTGGACCTGGTAATAAAACGGTTTTGAATCTTCTTTTTTTCTGTGGATGTCATTTAATGGAAAGAAGGTAGAATGTTCACGACATCAAAACAATAATGGAGTACAGTGACGCTTAGATAGAGAAATCATAAATCAAGGTTTATGAATCACGGAGCGTGACTACTATAATACTGGGGAATTAAATCAAATTAACAAGGAGAAATGGTGACACAACAGAAGGACTTGAAAGAAATAGTTGGAATGGGAGAGAATGGCACCTGTACTGAATCCGTCGTCGCTAGAGTCCATTTTAGTGAAGTCGGTGTCGATTGAAGTGCGCTCAGCAGAATCATTGGCGCTGTCCAAACTGCCATGACTGACTGTGTCGAGATCGCTGCCATCTAGAGGGAGAAACAGAAAAGGGAGAGGGTAGTTAAAGGATGGCTGCCGTGGCCTGTTTAACAACAGGATAAAAAAATCCCGAGCCCAGCTCGTATAGGACAGTAATCCAAATATTCACAGAATAGTGCTGTAATCGTTAGCATCCACTGCAAAAGGTTCATATTTTCAGTATATTTAAAATTCACGGAAAAATGACTTACAGAAAATAATAAATAATCATGCTACTCAGGATGATCAGTTTATATAATATTATAAACAAAGTAAAAAAGAAGGTTACAGTCAATGTGCTGGAGGATAAAGGTTGGGATAAGCTGTCTGATGAGACCGGAAAGAGGCTCCCGCAGCATCACACCCATCTAGTGTCGGCTCATTGCGAACGATGATATTCTCTCAGTCTCTAATTGAGTTTGTACGCTATTGAAAAAATAATTACAACTGAAGTTAATCCAATGTCAAACAAACGACCTGATTAGTCTGTCTAAACTATGAGTACTGAATTGTTTAGTGGGGGAGTGCATGTTATCCTATCATGTATCTTATCATATTGACATGAGGCAAAATATGTTATGGCTGATAAATTGCAGTGATTTATTTTAAGGATGATTCATTGGTGTGTACGGGAGGGGAGGTTTACTGCTGCGGTTATCTTTGTGATATACGACAAGTCCATTTGGAACTTCCCGTGTGTTTTCTGTAACACTCAAGGGATGAATAAAGGTCACATATTTCATCAGATGTTTGCAGTATTGCTAATAAAATGTGCCAACATCTACCAGAAAATTAGGGTTACCTGATATCAGTAAAAGGATCATATACTGTAAAACACCCTATTTTACCTGAAAGCTGGTGATCTCTGTGCGGAGTCGGTTGTTTTCTCCCAGCGTGCTTGAACTTGAGAACACCTAAAACCACGTTCCTCAGTTTTCCCCACAGAAAGTAGCCTCCTCTGGTGGTGGAGGGCCAGGTGCTCTCCAACACCGCCTGAAGCAATGAACATGAGCAGCACATGTGGTCATACATGTTCAATGTAAGAGTCGGATTAGCTTGTCTAACGTTTTCCTAGTATGGCGGCATGAACGGTGATTTAAAAGAGTCCGCACCTTGTTGTAGTACCCGTACGTGATTGCGTTGGGTTGAACTCCAGCTTTCTTCATTTCAAACAAAACCCTGACGGCGAGGACGGGCTGGCTATACTGCCCACACAGCTGGAGCAGCACACGGTAGCACACCTTGGATAGATAACGCCAGGACTTAAAAGAATGCATCCACAACAGTAGATAAACGGTTAGACTCAAGTCGTTTCTCACCTCATCTGGAGCCTGCAACTTATTGTCCTGCATCTTTCTCAGCACATCGTAAGCGGTACGCAGGGCGCGCACCTTCGAGTGGCAGGTGGCCACAAACCCTGGAAGGCAGATGAACCAAAGACCGTAGCAGTGGCGCAGCAGACACTTGGACCACATCTGAGGCATTGATGAATAGGTTTTGGCCATCTTTTGAGCTGATTTTATCTCCTGAGATAGAAAAAAGATCACATGTAGGTTCCATTTATTAGCATTTGGCAACCAGATTTGCCTTTCACGGCAATATCTATATTATCATCATTATGCAAAACAAATGCAGCAGCAAAATGTAATTTCCTTTATTGCAAATACAAAACAAAAAAAACTAAAGTCTATCTATAATTACTGTATATGGTTTCAAAATACAAAAATCTGGTAAAATGTAAATAACTGCGGAAAACAAAGGGTTTCCGTATGTTCCCCTGTTGACTATTTCTAGAAGCTCTCACTTCTCTTATGGCTAACCTGTTTGGAGCGCCTAAAGATAGCCGTAGGGCTGGCAGGGCTGCTGTGGCGTGGGGCCATGCCTGCTGATGGAGGCTTTGGACCCTCCAACGACTGCAGCAGTTCAGCATTCAGCACAGGGAACTCGGAGTAGCTGCAGAAAGACACACATTCACTCTCATACGCAACAAAACTGAAATAGACATCAATCCCTGGTGAACACTGGTTGTATCTACTGCTGAGAGATTGATCTGCAGTGTGGTACCTGTAGCACAGAGGATGCTCTTCTCCCCGTGGCAGAGGAGGCAGCTCCGGAGGGTTTACATACACCGTGTGCTCACTGCGGTGGGATTCATCCAGTTCGATCAGTCTGGTTTCCTCTAGACGCTCGCTGTCCATCTGGTGTTCAAGAGTAAAACACATACGTCATCCTTCTTTCCTCTGTTCTGCTATAGACACAAATATCTAGATACCGAAGCTGCCTGTGGGCATCTGACAGTGTATGAGCATTCAAATCGGATCGGATTTGAGGGTCAGTAAGGGAAAACAGAGGTCATCATTGAGACCATCTACATCAGAAATTTGGCCCACGTTCCAAAACCATTCATCTAAAGGGCACCGCCAAGGAAGGGGCTGGATCCAATGTCTCCCCCAAGACTAAATGAATCATCAGGATACAGTGACCTGGACAACATGGGTGCCAACTTGCTTCTAGAGTTGAAACAATTAAACTGTAATACGATGGCAGCTTTGCTACAGATGGATGGAGAAATGTTAGCAAAGCTCCAGTGATGTGTGCAAAAAACAGCAGTAGCACTCCTCCGTGTTGCATGACAGTAAAGCCATGTTCTCTTTTAGCAGAGATGCTCTGCTAAATAGCTTTTCTGGGAGATCATTAAAAAAGTCTGCTGTGCTGATGCGCCTTCATTTGGCTTATCGGAATTGATTACCAGCTTATCCTGAACATGAGCTTCACAATAAACGTTGACAGAAGAGGTAGCGGCTAAATAGCTCCCCAGTGTTGCCGGGTTTGTTCCACTCAGTCAAGCGCATGATTCATTCCACCAAATCGTACTGACCTATTTGCCCCCGCTTCGATTCGGCTCAGCGTTCCTCCGTTTGATGCCCTTCCTCCTACGCCATTTCTCAATCACGTACTCTTTGTCAACCTCAGCACCATTGACGCTGAATGAACCAACGGTTCCACTTCTCAATAATAACCGCAATGACCACTTACACAGAAGTTCACGCTGTTCATGCAGGATGTTAATGTGACATCCAGATTGCACAAGATTGCAAGTGCTGAGTTTTTTTTTAACTGGAGGAGAGGGTAATATATATTTTTTGGGATATTACAAAAACCACGTTGGCAGCTTGTGTTAGTAAAAGCTGTCTAATTCCCAATTGGCTAACCCTCTCAGGGCCGCATACACAGCGATTTCAGCAACGGAACTCATAGGGTTTTGACAAATATAACCTCCATCTTTGCTTTTTGTCATTCTCCTATATTATATTTCAGAGAGACTCTTGCTACCAATAGTTAAAAAAAAGAAAGCACACATTTGCCTGTCTCGGTGACCTCAGAGTCTCTAACAATTCTGCATGAGTTCTTTGTGTGGTTTGATTTATTGGTGCCTCCCCATTCAGCTTGCCAACACACATTGAAAGCTATGCACATCCAGGCAATACATGGACTCCTCCTGCACTTTTAGCTCTACCCAGTCTACCCTCACTTTGATTTTGTCAGTAGAGACACTGCAAACACAAAACAAATAGAAAAAAGCCTGCATTTAGCCCCTGGTAGCTTACCTTGCCTCCAGTGGTGAAGAGCTACCAGGCAGCGTGATGACAGAGAGCAGCAGAGACAGCAAAAGGCAGAAAATCAGTCAGGATAAGGAGGACAACCGAAACAGAAATGCCCAAAAGGAAGAATGAAAAGCATTTTTAAAAAGGAGTGAACTCATCATAGAGGAGAAAAGCGTAGCACTGACGTTAATAAAGGGAAATGAGAGATATGTTTCCAACCAAACCGAGATCATAATGAATCTTAATTGAAAGGAAAGCATTTTATTAATTTCCCTAAAGCCTCAGCTTTGTTTCCCGACTAAGCTTTGTTATGGGATCACTTGTTCCTACACAGCACAAAGATGCAGTACGTGTGAAGAAACCCTCTGCAAAGCTCACCTTATCAACACACTCATCAAAGAAAGCCAGGCTGGCGTCCTTATCACTGACAAAGGAGCACTCCTCTATGAAACGGCTGAACATCTGAGTCTTGGTCATGAGGGAGTAGAACCTCTGGTGAGAGCGGTCTCTGCTCTTTACAAAGCCTATATGATGTAATGACAAACATGAACATGAGATATTAGTATTGGATTATAGAACTGGACGTTCCCTATGGAGCTGTTTCCAAACATGCGGACCCAACCATGATTTACAGCAGTGGTTCTCAAACTTTTTCTCTCGGGCCCCAATTTGGAGGAAGAAAAATTTAACAAAATGGTCCATGCTGAATTTTTATTGAATTAACGACATTTTGTGACTCCATGTGTGCTTTTATTAATAATAATAATAATAATGAATAATAGAATAAAGAAAAACAGTTAAGTTGAAATCTAAAACTTTAACTCTTTGAGTTAAAGAGAAGAAGTGAGTGGACATAACTAAACAGGGCTGTGATGTTTTACAGTGCGGTTCGATCCATAGTTTGTTCTCTCCATAGTTTGTCTCAGTGTCCTTGAGCAAGACACTGAAGCCCCAGTGCTTCACAGCAGCACACTGCTCCTTAATTACTAAGGATGGGTAAAAAGAAGAGAATAATTTCCCCATGTGGGATTAATAAAGGATAATAAATAAAATAATAATAAAATTAAAAAATTAAAAAAATCTCTATATATATATTGAATCTACATTTCCCTCAGCCCCTTCCGCCTCATCTCCAATACCTCCGCGCCCCGCCAGGGGGTCGGGCCCCACAGGTTGAGAACCACTGATTTACAGGAAACGGTTACTGTTGTTGAAACAATTTGTTCTCTGCTGCTCAGCTTGCGTAAGAGCTGCAAATCATGGCGGTTTGTCTGATTTGTCATCCAAACCTAATTTCCTCCAGGTTTCAAGCTAAATCACATGTCATTACTGCAGTGATTTATGGCTAACTGCAGCATCACTCACGACATACTGTGAGTGATGCGATACCGCACTAAAGACTGAAGAGTACCTTGGATGTCAAAGAGGGAACTGGCATCGGTGGTCTTCTCGGAGGGGGCTTGGGTGATGGGTAGCAAGTAGGAACGGTAGCCTCGTAGGATGGCTGCCATGAAGCTCAGGAAGGCCTCCTGGATCTCCAGCTCCAGAGTGTGGAGGCTCTTCCCACCATCCAGCTCCATTTCGGTTACTGTGTGCTCCATCTGAACATCCTCACGGTTCATCTGACCCCCTGACGGCACACAAAAGTAAATGATGCAGAACGAAGCAGAATATAAACAACTAAACCAAAGAGGTGCAGCACAGATTGAGTTTGTTGCACAATATGCAGTGGAGGAGTTTTTGTTCTTGTTGAGTTTCAGTATCACTGGTCAACCATTACAAGGACATTACACTATTATGTTGTGAAGTATTTTATTGCAACAAATAGCTTCTTTTGTCGGCTGGGACATTCCAGTAAAATCACTATATGATGTAGATGATGCAGGTTGAGCAGGAGAGAATGACAACTAATTTACACTTTGTATCCCCTGGGATGCACTTAACACTGTTGGTTTTGTATAACAGTGTACGCATCCAATACGTTTTCCTGTAACATTGACAGTAGAGACAGACACAACACACCAGCAGCAGCCAACATCAATTATTCACGAAACCACATAGACTGGACTCACCCTCAGTGAGCTGCTGATAGAGCTTATTCAGAGTACTAAGAAGATGTTTGCAGGCTCTCCTGGGCAGGATTTTCCACGTTAGAGCCTTTTTGTCATCTTTTCTGAAAGCACACCATATGGTTTACATTACAGGGGAGGATAGTCAAGGAACTTTGCTGAAAGATACAAGGAGGGAGACGGATTAATTGATATCCGCGTTGACATTTTAATCTCTCCCTCTTGGATTAATGCGCGAGACAAATGCTCACCCAAATCTGCACATCATAATATTTCACATTCCAGCTTGTATTATTACCCAAGAGGCTTTAACTGAAAGATACCAATAACCTTGGGAAGAACTTGTGCAAACCTAAAACTTGAGCAAATGATTTTCGCCGTCAAGAGTCTTAAAGTTGAAGGCGGCCATCTATCACAGAGCAGTTACAGAGTAGTAAGTTCACTTACTGGGAGATTGTGTTGGTGTCCAGGTCCACGCAGCTGATGTCCGCTGGGGGGACGTAAAGGTCAAAGTATCGGGAGTCCACACCCACGATGAAAGGGCACGGTGCACTGAGCACACCGGCCAGGGCCAGCGGGCACAGAGGGATGTACGGGCACGGCCAGTGGAAGGGGAAGATCATCTGAAAGGGAGGATCAGTATGATCGATGATACATACACTGCAAAGACCGTAGGAGGGGTTTTTACACGGAGCATACAGGAATTATTTCTCTTTTGGGAAATGAATTTGCACCTTACTTTGAGGGGAGCTTTTCAGAGGTGAACTGAAGATGAACATAATAACAGAGGGTCTTCTTTGCTGTGATTATGGGTGGCTTATTAACTCTGCGGCTCTGCCTCTTACATTATCCCACGTTTTATCCATAATCACATCAAAGACCACCGTACTGTGGTATTGTCAGGAACAGTGAAAAGAAAGGAAAAGAACTAAAGACTCACGGACACAAGGGCCTCTGTAACGCTTGTGAGCACAGCGGGACGCAGGGAATGAACCAGGATCTTGTGCTCTGTGACAGCCAACACCAGCAGGGTGGCTGCGTTCTTTGGGCCCAGATTCAGTAGTAAAGTGGAGAGGCTCCCACCACTAGACACGCAAATACAACAAATGGTCCCACATCAAGGCTGGGGCAAATATAGTACGTCTTCATGTCATAATTGGACATCTCTCTGATGTTTCTCTACCTCAGAGGCAGCGGGGAGGACACAGGTTGGCTGAGTATCAGGCTGTCATGTGGAGATAGCTGTCGAAGATGTACAGGAACGTTACATTGGGGGTCGGAGCATTTAGAGCTTGGAGGATTTGTGACCACGGCGTGTTTTAAAGATATTCTTGTCAAAGCAAAGCATGAAAGCGTACAGAAGCTAAGCCGTTACTTCACTCATCAAATTACCTGCACTAGGATGCGTGGTCTCTGAGTGGAGGGGAAGGGCACGTTTTGCATGAAGTGAGAGATGTGCCTGTAAAAGTAGAAAACAGAACCACTTAATGAAGCAGAGGGCAAGAGTAAGAATAGACGTGAAGCCTTGATTGAGTGATATAATTCAACGGAAATAATGAGTCTGTAAAACAGTGCTAACTTTTCGATGGGCAGAGCATGTGGTCCAGAGATGGAGTATCTGTAGAGGAAAGTGAGAAAGCTCCTGAAGGACTGGAAAAAGGGCCAGTGGGAGAGCAGACAGATGCTCTTGTTGCTGTAAATACTCCTGGTGCCGTCAGCACTTGGCAGTCCGAGCTGTGAGCACTGACGCTCGGACAGCTTCTCCTCTGAGTAAGGCTCATAAAATTGGATGGCAGCTCCATACACCTGCAAGGAAAATGATCACAGTGTAACGACATCTGATACATGCACACAAGTGCGCACACAGAAAGACCTACAAACACACACACACACAAAGCACAGCTCATTTGGAATAAGTTACTCAGGTAAGTGGTTGTGTCGGCTTCACTGGAGAATCTACATCGTCATAAATCAGAAGAAGACTAGCGGTTGCAGGGAAGAAGGAGCGACCACTGAGGCATTCGGCATTTAAAACGTAAGCACCAGCCCCGCTGGTGCATGAGCCATCCATAATTCAAAAGCTAAAAATATTTTATGCTGCATTGCTTTCAAAGTCTTACAGCCTTTTAGTATTCCAAACACAGCCTTTGGACTATTTTGGATTCCAGTCAGTGTTTAGAAGTTGATTAAGATTGTCTGCTATTCTAAGAAAAACTACTGCAGTTCATCAAACTAATCCATACGGGATGGAGAGGCTGCCTGAAATACAGCATTTAAATGAGAATGTATATATTTGAGGGTAGAAAATGTTATTAGCAGGTTAGGGTTAGGTTGGCTTATTGGCGCTGCTAATGTAAATAAGTGGTTTCACCTTTTCACCAGACGCACCCGTCAGTACAAATGTGGAAAACACAGGCAGGGAGTGTTTGGTGTGTTCTGGCCAGCACTCCACTGTTGCCCCCATGGGCAGGCAGAACATAGGCACGGACTCAGGCAGTGGGAAGGACTCGTAGTCCTCTTCAGGGTACCTACACAGCAGGCCTGGACACACGTCGCATACAACACAGTCAAACAGATACAGGCCGAATACCTGAACACAACTGCATTCCTCCATCTGGTTCCTTTTCCTATCATTAGATTGAGCCCATAACACAAATTCTGCACACCACTTTACCTGCTTTGTATGCGATTGTGTTGGCTTTAGCCAGGGACTTCTTGTAACAAACGTAGACTGAGGATCCCCACTGAAAAATGGGGAAAAACACATTGCAGATGAATAGGAACCTGCATTCTTCGAGCAGACACAGCAGAGCTTATAACCGATGGTCGTAGAGATCTCTCCCACCATGCTGCTGTTGAGGTTCTTGTCGACCTTGCAGAAGGTGTGAGGGGGCGTTTCCCCCTTGCCGGGGATGACGACGCAGACATCAGTGACAGCCAGTGAGGTGTGAGGCTGGCTCTTGGGGGCGCGGCGGTAGGTGATGTAGATGCGTTGGGACGACGAGCTGCTGACGTTGGCGGGGCGACCTGAGGGCGTCGTCTGGACGATGTGACATCCGGGTTTCAGTTTCTCTTTCCACTCGTACAGAACCCTGAAATACAAGGGATTATTAGACTGGCTTTTTGATATGACACCTTTTTCAAACAAATTCTTTAACAAATATTACTGTCGCGCTGTGATAGTGTGTTCATCAATGAGATATCCGACGAGAGGACGTGTTTAGGAGCAGATTATAGTGACTCAAGGGAAGTGATTAGTGGAGCTGGGTGAGTAATGGGTCACTGACCGAGGATTACTGCTTACCCAAGATCTGTCAGTGGAGGCTTATCTCTGCCTCGTTTGAAGCACAGGAATATCTGCGGCCCCCTGAGGCTGGCTCCATTGAGCTCCGCAGAGAGGCCGGAGGGGGTGCTTTCGACACAGGTGAAACCTGGGGGCACCTCTTCACCCAGGGAACGGATCACCACAGCTACGTCGGTTATGGGGGCTTTCGGTTGCACAGACTTGGGGCCGGCATCGTCAAAGTGAAGCTCCTCCTCCAGAGGCTTGGACAAGTCGGTGAGGCCGGCAACCACGAAGTAATCGGCTACACGGGGCCCTTTATCCTCCATCATTTCCCATTCCAACACTTTGGACTGAAAAACATAGAAGAGAGAGAGAAAGGGGGGATGGGGGGGGGGGATTCCATTATTCATTTCAATCACATTGCCCGCTGTCGTTTTGTCTTAAAATGGGCCTTGGTCATCAGGAAACGACCGGCTGAGCAGTGTAGCCCGCCTGTTGTTTCAAACACACAAGCAGGATGTAAAATCGATAAGTTCATCAAAAAATGAATACAATACTGAAGAAATAACAGAATATAATGAGACCATCTGGAACCATTTAGCTTGCATTCCTGTCTGCAAAAACATCATATTTCAACGAGAAATATGGGAGGGCTTAAGGCCATTGACCTCACTGTATGCCATGGCCGATTATGTCAAATAAAACACACGCCTTTGCCGAAAAAAAGAAAATGTGCAGAAATGAAAAGTGCCTCTTACAGAGCACTGAGAGGAAGAAAGGCGCCTGCAGGAAAAAGCCTTTTCTGGGCTCTCAGGGAAGTTATATTCAGACAACATATATTCTGCATTAAACACTGTCACGGAACAGAAAGGAACACAGCAAGTGCCTCGAGTCAGCTGGTTTTATCTTCATCACAAAGCACGGAGCCCAGGAAGCCCTCTCAGCACTGGACCAGCTTATTGTGCCTCAGCTGAAGAGCCAGCTTTATCTCTCTCAGCAGTTCCTCCACACACACACACACACACCACCAAACCGATAAACAGCTGGCAATTGTGGTGTTGTAAAACTACCCCCCCCCCCTGCACCGTGTCCCTGCTAGGAACCATGGCACACGAGTAGCTGTGGCTATATGTCACCCACTTAGGACTTTGGCTTCCTCCAGCTTTAACACTAATGGATCTGTGTGTTTTCCCATGTGGCCGAGTAATGGCACAGAAAGCTGCTGCTTACAGCTTATGCTGTGAGACTCGCCACTGTAACGCGAGAACATGGAAAACAGAAGATAATCTATGTTGCCATGAGACCATCCAAAGCAATGTAAAACTCAGTCAAGTATGTTTTCTGATTGACAATCATTAAACTTCGGTGAGTGTTGACTGTTGAGATGATGAGTCACCATAGAAAGATTGTTGACGGTCTCACAGTATTTTGGCCGGAGTGTTTTCCCTGATTTGCTGACGGCAGTTATGATGCAAGTTATTTGATCTGTGCAGTGTTGAGCCTTGAGGGTTTATCCGATGACTCAGCATCTCAAACCAAAAAGGTTTTCAGTCTTTTCTGATGTCCTCTCATAAGAGAGAGAACGAATAGAAATAATTACTTATAATAATAGTTATTTATGTTATCAACGGGATAAGTCTCAAACTTACGTCAAAGGTGAGAAGCACAGCAAGAAGGTGGACTGCACCCAGTTTCTGTGTGGAGTCTGCATGCACCCCCCCCCCCCTCCATGACTTGGTATGACGGATGCAAATATAGCATGTCTCAGTAATTACGATAGAGAAAGAAGACGCAGATTTATGCCCATTTCGATTCCTTTAATGCGCTTTAAAAGGCCTAAATGTGTCTGTTCTGTAGCTTTACCTATTTATTAGTGTGACACAACACTTATGCCACTCTGCTATACTGTGTGGATGCTGCTAAAAATACAACTGATGGCATGGCAGATGTGTTGTATAATACTTGGAAGGTTCAGGATTAAATATAGACGTAATCTCCTGCTCTAACTACGAATCCATCCGCTGCGCCTGTTTCACCCCTCAGCGGCACACAGAGGCCTACAATCTAAACCATAGAAACCACAGTAAAAGTGTATCTCTCCCTGTGATGCTGAAACGAGTCGAGAACATGGTTCGTGTTCTAATGAATTCTGTTTAGAAAGATGTGCTTGAGATAAACAAATGCTAATCGCTTCTCTGTTTATCTCTTTTTCTCATTTCGTGTTATTAGCTTTTTTGTTGTATGAACTGGAAGCTTTTCATCTCACCTCTCTGTGAACTAGCCTGTCCTTTTTTTTTTTTTTTTACTTTGTTTCCCATTTATCGAAGGTTGATAATTCCAAATAGCTGTTTGTTTTTTGCTGTAATGTGCTGTGTGCTTTGTTTGGTTGTTTGTACACAGCACCACAACCCTTTTATGGCTCACACAAATTCCGCTAAAAATATTGTGAGACCTGCTATAGTGACGACACAATTCTAAGACTTAATAATTCATTTTGCAGACGGTTTTCGACTCGATCCCTATCTCCCTTATTGAAGGTATTTCCATGTTGGCCCAAGGCTGGAAGTGAGTCATTCACAGTCGCCCCCGAAAGTTGCAATCTTTTCATTCACCACAGCGTTGTTGGTAAAAGCAGCACAAATAAGGACACAGCGGATTTCCTCTTCTTGTCAGCTAACAATCCAACTTCCCTTTTCACATCCACTATTGTTCTTATGAGTCGACTCCCACTGTCGGCTCTGCAGAGGTGAGGTGACCGATTGACAGCGATCTGTTTACCTCGCGGCACATAATATTACCAACATTTGAAATTGACCCTGAAGTCAACACAAACTTTCACATCACAGTTTAGTATTATGTACCTGCTTGTTGCTTCATTTAAAATATTGAAATATACCCCTGGTTGCACCATTGGTTGAGTGTAAAAACTTGTATGCACAGTTTTTAAATAACTTATTCATTTTGACAAAAATACAATTAATTAAATGTTTAGAGCTTTAACGTTGACACCATATGGAATAGGATCAAATCTATAATAGCTTTTCATTTTTTCTCCAAATCATTTTTGATTTATCATGCAATGAACATCTTTTTTTTCTACATTTTCACCCAAACAGCTTGGCATGACTTTGACACGGAGCATTTCAAAATAATGAAACCTTTAGACTGAGACACTGGGTATGATTCTAAACTGAGAAATGTAGACTTTTGATTTGAGCAGCACAATTGTTGTAATTTAGGCGGAGGCAGTGGCTGCTGGACAGTCAGTCTCAGGCTGTGCGGGGGTTAAAGGGCTGTGTCAACAGCACGGGGCCACAAAGATGGGCAGTCCGATCGGTGGAGGGGACCACCACAACATTTCACTCAGCATCTGTTCCCTTTTAGCCATGAAGACAACCCTCACCCTCATCAGCTATTTGCATTCCTTATGTTTGACCGGGGGAGGGAAACCACACACGCCCAAGATAATTAGAGCAGAAAGATGATGGAGGAAATACTATAAGGTCGTGTTGGAAAAATGCTAAAGAATGATGAGCTCGCAGTTTGTGCCAAGCAATGGCAGCATTTGGTCCTTGGAAAGCACAACTCACCACAGCAACCACAATAGTAAAGAGGAGATTTCTCACATGCCCACATCACAAGAAGCCATCTTATGGAGCAAGCACGAAATGCAATAAAATAAGCCTCCATAGGGCTTCTTTGTTACCAGTGTACGCAGTGTAAATACAGGGGATCCCACACTGGCTGGGATGCTCACCTTATTGCAATGATTTATTACTGCAAGGCACAGAGCTTGATGACAATCATATAACACATATACCTATTGACCCAGTCGGTCAATTGTCCTAACCACCCAATAATAAAATAATACATCCAAGGATTTCAATTTTAAAGCAGACATAATAAAATATGCACTCCAAAATGTTTAAAAAAAAACACACACACATAACACCTTAATTACAAAAGACCGGCCGTATGGGCGTCGTTAGTTATATTGTTAATAAAAGACGAATGTACTCACGTATCGATGGAAAGACGGTCTGTCGAGTACGAACCGACGTCGAAACAAAGCACGATTTCTGTTGATTCAAATAGAATTCCTATCCAAGTAAATATCTGTTGATGTGTTGATGCAGGGTGGAATGGATGAATCCGAACAGGTCGCGTAGTCGCGAGCAGCGCTTTATCGAGCCCTGCGTGGCTCACGTGACTGATTACAAACCGCGTCCACGTCACCGATGACGCCGCTTGGCAGCTGTGACGGAGAGGAAACGTATAACACAGATGTTTACAGGAAGAATATATATATATATATATATATATATATATATATATATATATATATATATATATATATATATATATATATATATATATTAAACTTAGAATATATAAGTATAATATATATATATATATATATATATATATATATATATATATATATTATATTATTAAGTATAATAAGAATAACGTGTAATGAGGAATATATATATTTTTTAGATGAAATAATTCATAATATTTGACAAAGTAACAAGCATCAGATTCTCACACAGCTGAGAAGGTTGCATAACAAAACAAAAAATCGGCGATTTAAAAAGTAGTAGTAATAATAGTTTAGCTCTATTGTACAGCGGCCTGCCAGGAATGGTTATACATGGTTAACAGTAAATAAAAATGTTTTTTTTTTTAATTAGGTTAAATTAAAAGTGATTACATTATTGTGTGATGCAGTTAATCACATGATTGCCAACTACATCAACCAACAGGAACAATAAATAAGAGATGTATGACTGATATTCTCATCACAAACATTTAACAAGCAGTCGAGTTTGAAAAATTGGAAATCACCCCAACATTACGGGAGATATTCTGCTAGTTTGCCTGTAGCGAGAGAGAACGTGGTCCATTGTCTTGGCCTCTACTGCCCTTGTGTGGTGATCGTCAAGACATACAGTTCGGTGGAAACTGTCAAATGACCATATTTGTTTTCTGGAAGCTCTCCGATCTCACCATGTATTTGTTTGATGTTGAAATCTTTACGACAATGACATTTGACACATCAGGACAGTCGCTAGATTAATACATGTTACACATTTATAACTTTTACCCAGTTTGAGTTTGAAATGAAATGAAAATTGAATCCATGAATGAAGAATTACATTTTGCATAGTTACCGTTGTCGCATTTGAGTAGAGGAGCAATAGTTGAATAAATATTTTTTCAAACAGAGTCTGAATGACAACTCGAATACTGTCAATTGATGATGTCTGGTAAAATGATTGGGCTTGTGAGTGAAAACAGGATCAATATTAACTTAACTACAAAAAGAAATTCAGCAGAGGTCCCCAAATCCACCACAAGGATGACTGGATAAATGAATAAAAGAAGTCACAAAGCCACAAATAAACGTGTTTATGTGAAATGTATCAACGACTGACGACAGACATGTTGAAGTTTAGATTCATCTGACGGATGCACACATGTGGTTATGATCTTTTACTTCCTGCAGTGGTCACTTTCTCAGACATGATATACAATGAAGTATAGCATCAGCAAAAACACATCAAACGAAAAAAACATGACAAACTGTCATCTTCTGTGGCCGTTCCACTCCATCAAATAACAAGCAGGATGTAAAGATGACGGCTCGTCATTACCTCCAATACGTCTTCTGTCAAAGGGAAGAAACGGAGCATCCATGGCAACAGCATATTTGGAAAAGTAACGTTCCTATTGCATGAAGAAGAAGCCAAACATGGAGATTTGACATTCACTTTAGATGTTGACAATTGACAGATATCTTTTGAGAAGGGAAATCAGACCAACTACTGTGACAGCTTTAGTTTGGTTTGCCTTATGTAAGTACATTCTGTCATTGTTGAGTTGTGAGACAGCCTTTCATTAGGTGTAACTAATAAGGGCGCTATGACTCATAGACTCATTATGAGTTAATATCCCTGCTGAATAATAGTGGAATTACCTTCTGATTTGGACTGAAAATGTGAGCCGATGGTTAGTGACGTAAATTAGGAGCTTGAATAAAAGGAACATCTATCAGCCAGCCGCATTTAACCAACAGATAATAAGGTAGATCACAAAATTGACATGACGCATTTGCTTTTACCATTTATGTGTGTATTTTGTTATTTTGTATGCATATTCAAAAACATGTGCAGCACATGTTTTGGTAGGAGTCTAGTCGTTAAAACCAGAGATCTTATTTTATCTTAAGTGTCCATCAGTTATTTTGGTGTTTTCATTTTATTCAATTTCTGGCAAAACACACCCAAGCACATTGGACATTTGATGTTTTTCATGTTTTGTATTTGCATTATCTGAAACTTTAATTAGGAGTCAGTAATCAAGGAGCACAATTATGAACGAAAACGTTCAGTGTCACTGGTTTCATCTATTTATTGTCTCTCACGTGCTCTTCCCCCTAGTGGCCAAAAGGCAGAACAGCAGTTTATAGTATGGAAAAAACACTCCCTTCTTCTTTTTTCAGTTCACTTACTTCCAATAACTTCTTGCATCTACTGTTTTCTGAGCGGGACTCTGCTTGTGACTAATGAACGCTATTTAAACGGATTGTATAAACCTTCAAACTGGGTAAATAACTTAAACTGGTTAAACTGATTAAACTGAAATATTATTGTTTAATCAGCATGTTTTCAGTAGACGTAGTGGACGGAAATAGACATTCTTCCAAACTTTTAACCAGAGTAATCAGGTTTTGTTCAGATAAATGTCTCCAATGTCCCAGCTTAGACTAATATGGACACGTCCAGTACTCTCACAGAGATCTCATGATCTCTCTATTTACTCTAATTTAGACTAATCTTTAAAGGGATGATTGGTGTGGAGTTACGTGTGTAAAGGTACATTTTCATCTGAGTCGGGGAGCAGTTATAGACACGGAAGCAGTGATAATCATCACCCTCACAAAGATGAATACTGATTAGGCATTAAAAGCGGCAAAGTAAAGATCCAGGCCTGGTGTGATGGATCCTCACAGTTCCTGTAGCCGGACGTGACCGCAATAAAGATTTGCAGCTGAGCTCTGCTACAGACTCATGCACGGACAACAGAGTCAAATGTTGCATGCGCTATTAAACTGAGCACTGATTCAATTTGGGATTTTCTTCTGGGATGATAAAAAGAATTGAACAGAGGTAGTCATGTGCCAGTCCCTTCCACAACGTTTCATGATTGTTTTTTCCTCACCCCACATAAATCCGCCACCCTGGCGCCGAACAGCCGAAGTGAAGGTGACAGGTTATCCAGCGGCAGCGTGGTCAGCATCCAGGTACGGCCTCAAATAAAGGTTTGCCTCTGTCAGAGCATTTGGAAGTATAGCCACTTCGCTGTGGCAGCCGCTTTGAAAAAGCGCTTTGGTTGAAAGATGTCGCTTACGGGCTGACTGCAGCAGAAAGGATTGTGCCCGAGGCCTGCGTTAGTAAGCTGAAGCCCCTGCAGTTCTTCTTTTGACGCTGCAATATTTTACATTTCAATAATCAGCCTGAAGACAGTCCTACCGCGAATGATGCATCGTCCCGGGTGTTTCATTAAATGTTTTGCACCTACACTGTACGAACCCTGTGAGGGAGACATGAAGCTCTTCAGCCTCAAGATCTGAAAAGAAATGTGGGCCCTTATGTGCTGATGTTGGTTGTTATGACACCATTTGTTTGGGTTTGCTAGTTTGGTAGACAAGGGCGTTGAAAAAGTACAGATAAAAGTACTATTTCCGACAACAGCAACTCTTGTCCTTAGTACGTGAAACTTTATACATACATAAACACTCATCGACTTTAAGATATCACAGTTGATGCCCACTTTGTGTCAGCTTCTATGACAAGGAGAAGGAGGGTTCATTGATGTTATCGTATGTATTTTTAATTTATTTAATCAAATGTGCTATGTCAATTAAACCTATGTGCATTGTTACTCCAGAAAAGGATAATAATATGCAATTAACTCCGTGTGACACAGCGATATGGTTTTATTCCTCCTTTCCAAAAAAGTCAATCGATAGAAATGAAATAATCCTTCTGAAACAGTTGCCGCTGCTGCAAGAAATTAGAATTGATGGAGCGTGGTCGTATACAGATGAATTTGCCAGGACGACTTATTGTATCCTTAGAACAGATGATGGAAATAACGAATTAAATTCCTTGGTTAATGTAACTTGTATTGAAACTTAAACCAGATTGTATTCTCCTTTCAGTCTCTGCTCTGCCATCAACACTACGTCTAATAAATTGAATAACATCTCGGTTCTCTTACTGTCTTTAAGTGACGCAAACAGAGCTGTGAGACGTCACATTCATTGTAGGGACGCCATGCAACAAGCTGCATAATTGTAATCGCCTGCTGTGTGACCGTCTCTTCGTGCTTCTCTCTCCTTCTCGTTTTGTCTGGATCACTTGAACTTGGTTGTATTCGGTTCACCAGGTTCTGGACTTGCTGTCACATTTCCTCGCGGTTGAACATCATTCAGGGCTTGCTGTTGGCGCTCGGAGACGCAGTATTTTAATTGCATAAGATATATTTTTTAATAAATATAGTGTCCATGCCGTGGCTAAAGGCAATAAATAACTGTGCTAAAAGTTTAGTCCATTCATAGAAAAGACTGCAGGCTTGTAACATATGTAATTAATGGATTTTAAATGTTATTGTATTGTGTGTGAGACAAATATGATTACACCAAGAACCAATGCATATTGAAGGAATACTATAATATGCTTTAGTTTCTATTTAGATGTATTTGGATAGCATATAATCTAATTTGTACTTAGAAAAATAACAAATATGCTTAAATGTTTTATCTCTTGCACACCAGCTTGACAGGAAATGAAAATCCTGTCTTTGCCTCCTTCCAATGGTTTCACTACTCACCTTGCGTCAGTGATGTAGGCTGCAGGTCAGAGATGAAACTGGCTTGAAACCTTCATTCATAGCCGTTTGCTTAAGCTGAATTATGCAAAAAAAAACAGTTGAATTCAGAACTGATGCAGGACTGGCAGCGATGCCTATTCAGAGCCATTAAGTAAAAGTAGCTCTACCAGTGTAGAAACACTGCAATGCAAGTAAAAGTTCAGCATTCAGACCTTTACTATGTGCAAACAGCAACATTTGGAGCAAATCTGCTGGCTCTCAACATGACGACAGCTGAGTCAGCGGCTCGCAGCCAGCAGCGCAAACAACATTATTCACATTACAGGGAAGCCGAGTGTTGGTGCCACGTTTCAGCAACACAGTGGACAGCCAGGGATGCGTGATCGGTTGTAACCACTGAAGGAGAGCAGTGCTGTGTGACGGACTGGAGCTGGACAGAGGGGCGCGCTCACGTGCACCCACATGCACCCACGTGCACTAAAAGCACATGGTGCCGGCCCAGCGATGTCAACAAAAAACGAAGATGTCGGAAAACAACACGCAGACAAAGAGACTATTCTCTGCTCAGGAAGAACTTACTCCACCCTAATGTTAGATAGCAAATAGATGTATCATATCATCAAGACATCTGGGACAAATAACACAATAATGTTTAAATTACAAGTTACACAGAACTGTGAAACCTACAATTAATGAGTGATCACCTCTTTGAAAAGCTTATTTATCATGAGAGACAAAATGTCCATATTCATTAATCAAAGTGAGAAAGGAGGCTATGATTTTGGCACAAAGTAAAGATATTAGTAATATTTCTTATCTGTGAGGGTGGAATTTTTCATTCGTGAGAATTTTCAACATTCATTTGCAATAATGTTTTGAGATTTTTTCAGCAACAACCGAAAAGAGACGTATCCAGTGTAACAGCTGACACAAGATGTAAATGAATCTTCTGTAGTAACCTGATAACAAGCTTGTCATGACAGAATAGGCTTTTAATTTAACTTATGTGCCAAAACAACAAGCAGCATTGGTATGACAGCAACACGTAAAATATGATCTACTGTCACCACACTGGTCAAAGATGTCATACTGTCCATTACTAATGAATCACTGTCTGGGCACCGTTGTCAACATGTTATTGCTCCTAAAGAGGGTGAAATGGAATTCACATAGTGAATGAATAAATTCAGTTCAATTAAGGAATAATTTAATTTGCCTGATAAAAACATCAAATATTTAAGAAATTAACTTTTTACATACTGTGTGGTTCGTAAATACTTTGTGGGTCTAGACTTCAGGGTCAGATGAAATCTTATTTTTAATTTACAATTTGACAGAAAGAGAATGCACATTTTAAGTAACTTCAAAAACACACACAAAATGACACTGATCATCTCACAAGAAGATAAATTGTGTGTTATCTACATCAGTGGGTATCTATTATCTGGTCATGCTCATCTTTTTTAAATTCTAGTGTCACATTGATAAAAAGTCACCCTACTAATATAAATTCATAAATAAAGCCATTAGTTGTATGAATACAAAACATAAAAGTAATATCAAAGTAATCCCACCTTAACACCCAATAATTAAAAAATGTAAACTAAGACATTTGTAATAAAAGTACTTAAGAAAAACAACACATTATCTGATACCGTCATGAGTGTGGAGAGAAAATCCAAACTATTGTACTCGTGTGTCTAACGGCATTATGCTTAAACACTGGTGCCCTGAATGCATCTCTGGAAACATCAGGCCCTAATTACACTGCAACTTAAAAGAAGCTCTTGAGTTACACACACACAATGGTATGCCTTCATTTTAAATGTGTGATCATTACTGGATAACAGAGAATAAAAAGAGCATTACAATAATTTACAATTTATCCATGCTTTATCAGAGTTGGATGACTCTCAGTCGGGTTTCCATGGTTAACATTTAGAACAGAGAGTTATCTACTAATTGACTGAACGTTTGTATACCTCGGAGGAAATAATCATACTATCTTCATGTCAGCCGTGTTGTGATCTGCAGCTGCTGCACAAACTCAGACACTCTGATGTCTGTATGTAGTAAATCTTCGCCTGCTTTGAAATGGTCAAGGTTGCTATTCCTTTCTCCCTGCGGAGCAAATCACTTCCGTTTATGGGACGTTATAAACACTCGGCTGCTCCACAACAGTAAACCTACATCATGGGCTTAAAAAGAGCGTGAGCACAGCTCTCTCCCTCTAAATAATCTGTCCGCCCAATCCATGTCTGCTGCCCTTAGCACTGTTTGGAACTATTATGTTCCCCTTCAGGAGGTCCATAAAGACGCCGGGCGGCAGTTTGAATGATCAGTTCAATAAGAAAATAAAACGGTCGAATGGTCGCTGGTGTGTGTGACACTTTCCTCCCTCCCCCCCCCCCTTCAGTGCCACAGGCTGCAGGGAGCCAAAGAGTAGGTTGGCCGTTGGTGTGATGTTGGCTGAACGTCGCCCGGATGCCGGCACCCTTTCAGAGTCCGACGGAGGGTTGGCCTTCTAGAGGAGGGAGCTGGGGCTCTCCGGGGGCGGTGGGGGGGTGTGCGTGGGGCTGTGGCGCATTGGCAGTATGTCATAGTGGCCGGGGATGTGGCTGCTACGGGGGAGGTCATAGGGGCTCTGGGAGAAGCCGGTGGCCATCCCGTTGGGTCCCTGCAGGACGCTCACCGTCGCTTCTGTGGTAGTTTAGGACAGAAGGAAGGAAACAAGTCGGAGAAGCACGTAAGAAACACTGAGGAGCGGCACGCACAGGATGAGGATCAGAGAAGAGAGGTTCATGCAATTTACATTTCCTCTTCTCAAGGTTTACAAAAGTCTGCACAGCATCACAGCAGGGGACGTGACCGGAGAGGCTATAAGCTGCAGGATCCTGCTGAGCTCCACACACACACACACACACACACACACACACACTCACCAGCATCATAGACATTCCTGCTCACAATGCCCAGGAGGGTTGCAGTGCCTCCAAAGGGCACCTCACGGTGGGAGGGGGACTTCATCTCCACATAGCTGCTCTCTGTGTGCTTGCCAGCCAAGCCTGGTGGCTCTCTAATGGTGGCGTATGGATTCTCACTATTCAGGGAGCTTTTGCCACACATGGAGCTCTTGACGTAATCTGCAGTAGCCGCGAGACAAGGACATATTCAGCATCAAAAACCACAAATGGATTGCCACTGACTTATTGGAGTGGTATTAATGTCGGACTCTGATATCACCACTGAAATGTAGAGTCTGCGGCCCAGTGAATGGCAGCGACTGCCGTTGCCGTTCTGAAGAAGTTGTACATCTTTTGTCACCGGCAAGTGACCAATGGTGGTATATAGTAATCAGAGTACAAAGGGGAGAGAGTTGAAGGCTCATCTCATCCATAACAGTCTCATCAGTCTGATAAGAGGCCTCATTAGACAGCAGCATAGCTCCTTCAGACCACTCTCCACACCCCTGGGTCACCCACATTCACCACAGACTGCGCAATGTGGGAGACAAAATGACTTATTGGGCACTGAGCCATGGAGCGCAATAACCGCTGGAATAAAAACCAATGATCTTGTCCAAAGTGAAGAGAGTTTTCACATAAATCATGAAGAATATGAGGGTGTGGTATTTGGGATCAGAGAATCTCTGGGGGGGTAGAAACCAAATTGGGAAATTGATACATGGGATGTTGAGCATTGAAGGATTTTGTTATATTGGTGCTGGTGAAGCTTAACAGGATTCCACACGCAGTATGTGACAAACACACACACACACACACACACTTACTAAAATGCATGAGTTACCTGGTTTGGAGCATCTCTGTGTCTCCCCCTGAACATCTGAAGCAAATGTCCAAACATAACAGTCAAACACAACGTTTGAATTCACCCCCCTAATGCGAGAGTGTTGACATGCAATACTTCATTAAAAATGTTCAACTTTATTTGGAAGAATACGAGGAACGTGAATGAACGGAATAATTCCCCCGGGCTTACAAGCTTATATAATCAACGGTGGTCATAATGGGATACTTGCCAAACAACAACACATCATGAAGAGAGGACAAGCCTGTTAAGGCTACATCAGTCCATTACTTAAGTGCAGCTGAGAGGAACATCAAAGAGGTTTTTTTTATTTTAAAAGGAACCTGTCATTATGATTCATCTTCCGTCTGCTTTGACCCAAAATGAAAATGTTCACATTGAGATATCAGACTTTTTAGTCGGGCATTACAAAAAATGATTTTTGCAGAACGCTCAGCAACAACAAGCCCGAAATGAGTACACAAGATTAGCATAAGATAGCGCAGTATTTATAATCTCCTTCCGTTTGCACCACGACTACCACAATGTCTGCCTCGAATAAAAGACTAACAAATTGTAGCACTTAGATTGTACTTATAACGCCACTCATCTATAGCAAATTGGAAATTGGCTTATTTGAGGAAATTGCACTTTCTTGTTTCTTGCTCTTCTGAGTTTGTGTCCTTATGGTTGAATGCACTTATTATAAGTTGCTTTGGATAAAAGTGTCAGCTAAATGACATGTAATGTAACGTAATGTAACTACAAAATTTCCATGATCTATATATAGATCATATAGCCTCAGTAACTCAGTGCAATTTAGCATGGGTACACAATAGTAACACAGATGGGCAACTTAATGAGTTCATTAAATGCACAGCATGTTTCCTTTTATATTATTACAACTGTGTTTTACTATGTTGTCATTCATCATCTGTTGATACACCAGTCCTCATACCCACAGATAGAGAGGAGTTACAGGTTTTATAGTGTTATTAACCATTTATGAAATGTCAATGTTAAGGACAAAATATGGGTTTCTGAAACAGGGCTAGATTTTTTTGTGACACTTCAATTTTCTATCATTTACAACCAAGGAGTGTAGTATCTGACCCAGCGTAAGCCATCATTGAGAAACGTGCCTCTCGGGGAAGTGAAAGCGGACTAATGAGCCCACAGTGAACCCGATTCACCTCCTCTCCACTGCTTCTCTGCCCCACCCGCATATCTTATCAAAATCAGAGCAAAGGTTATGTCTAACAAGAAACCCCTGGTTCATCTTCATTCACAGCAGGGCGGCTCTGTCCTCGCTGGGTCCTCTGTGAGGTTTGTGATGACGACGCGTGGGTCTTCGCCCTTGAACCAAGGATCCTACAAAGCATTCAGGCTGTAGCATCATATTCAGTGAGAGAGGTGAACTCACCGAGGTCATTGAGGTTGCAGTAGGCTCTCCATTCGGCGCCGTTTCGACTTTTCAGGGTGCTTGACTGAGAGAAAGAGCACAGTTTTGTGTTGCGTTGTGTACTGTGGCATGAATAAATGACATGTTAACGCGCGCGGAGAGTCGGCATACTTTGAGGGTCAGCGTGCCATCCAGGTTGCTGGAGATGGTTGAGACAACGTTACACTGGGCCACAGTGTGGTAACTGGGGTTGGAGAAGCACGGGCCACTGCTGCCCTGGCTGGGATTGACCTCGGCAGCGTTGGTCCTCATCGCTACAGTGCTGCCACAATCTGAGGGTTTAAACAACGACGGAGAGCTTTGAAAACGTTCAAATACGGACGCGCATGGAGATTTCACAATCGGCAAAGAAAGTCATCAGCACTCACTCTGAAAAGTGCCGGATTCCTTTTCATGCCGTGCATCATATGTTGCTGCTGGTGACTTAATTTGCCAATTTTGTTATTTCTATTATGATATAATGATATGGTCAACCATCAGACTTTGAAGACACTTGAGTTAAGCATACCGGCCCTTTAAATTGTAAGTACATTTAAAACAAATCAAGGTTAATCAGATGTACGGTCTAGTTGATGGACAAATTCAGTTTGTAGAATCAGCTTCGTAACACATTTGCATTATTGATGAAACTGCTTATTCTTTTATTGATTAATAGAGTAGATACAATGTCAAATAAAACCTTGATTAATTGCCCAATACTTCTACTCCACATCTCAGCATGCAGCATCATGTCCCTAGTGAGCAAGTAGTATAGTTGTAAATGGTGTCTTACCAGACAGGGAATAGTCTGTGTTGGTGATGTGCATCGCTTGTGTGTAGGACACACTGGGCTGGATCTCGTGGCCTTTGTCCCTCTGCCTCTGTCTGTACCACACAAACAGGCTGAGCATGGCCATGATGATGAGGAGTAGAAAGATGATGCCCATCACGGCTCCTGCAGACTGCCGCTCCGAGCCTCTTGCGGGGCTAATCTTGGTGTACGGGTTCAGCTCCTCCATCATAAGAGCTGCTACAGAGAAAACACAGGACGTTAAAACGCTGAGTGCACAAACCACTAATTGAGTGGCAACACAGCGGAGAGCCTCCACCGTCTCGATCATCTCCCACCTTGGTCACAACGGATGCCTTTGTATCCGGGGCTGCAGTAGCACGTTCCAGTCACGTAGTCACAGGTGGCATTGTTCAGGCACTCACACAGCTGCTGGCAACCGTACCCGAATGCACCAGCAGAACACTCTGCGTGCGAGAGAGGTGCATTACTACATCCGTCAAAATTAAAGCACTCAGAGCGGCAGCCAAAGAGTACATAGAACACGCACAGAAACACACACACAAAAAACATAAAAGGTAATTATCCTCAATGCGCTGGGCCAACTCAACTCTGCTCACAGCTCGTCCCAATGAAGCCCGTCCGGCAGGCGCACTGGCCAGTAACGTGGTCGCAGTCCGCGCCGTTTTGGCATCGGCAGACTTCCGAGCAGTCCCTGCCGTAGAACCCCGAAGGACAGCCTGGGACAGAGACGTGTAAAATGTTGGGGTGGGGAAAACAAAGGGAGACAATGTAAAGAGTCAAGGTCATATTACAGGAAGACACGGAAATCAATACTATACAATGCGCCTGCAGCCTACTCAATAGAGTGAATGAAATCAACCATTTCCTGCTTCAGCAGAATGTCTGGTTAACGTAACATCAAGCTGGAAATATAGAACGAGACAAATGGAAATAGTAAAAATCTATCAGAGCGAAAAAGGAAAAAAAAAGACATTTCCCTGCACAAGTGATGGAGCGTGACACCACAATAAACAGACCCTTGGGCTGATGGATAATGTAATTCAGTTGACTCATGTAGATGATATGCACTAGCCATTGGTGAATTACTTGAATGTATAATTAGCAAATTAATGAAGTGACCATTAATGTTATTTTGATGGTGTGCTCCCCCATAAAAAAAATGCAAATAAAAATCACTTAGTTGCCCAGTTTGTCTCCAAAGAAATGATTCTCACATGTCATCTACTGCAGTCCTGCTTGACTGCCAGTAGATGCCACTGTGTGTCTGTCAGCCGGGCGGGCGAGACTCACGCTGTGTGCAGTAGAGTCCGGTCCAGCCGGGGCTGCACCTGCACTCTCCATCGTGGACGCTGCACTGGGCTCCGTTGTGACAGTTACACGAGTTGAGACAATCGGGGCCCCAGTGCCCAGAGGAACAGGCTGCAGACGCCAGAGAGACAGTCAAGCTCACGGTCACGCACGCACGCACCCTCCCACACCAACTCTATGGCCTCACGCACTCTACTATGCGTACATGAACCACACAACACGGAACCTTCTGAGGAAATGCCCAAATATTTGCACACGTGCGTTGAAGACCACGTTGTCGCCCACGAGAGGCGTTTTTCTTGGAATTGGGGAAACCGCTGCATCGAGTCCAGACAAGGAGACGACGAGCAATGTCACATTCATCTGATAGCACCTTTCCGTGGTTTCTTTAAGTAGTTATTGCAATAAAAATCACACACATGACATCATGGCTCAGAGCTCTGCTAATGATCTTCGGCCCACGGCACTAATCAACGAGCCTAATGTATCGTAACAATGACTTAAACAAGCTATCAGTTTTAAGTAAGCTGGGGGATGAGGGTGGTAGTTGGAACATATAGGTTCATGAAAATGATGAATGTGTATAACGGCATATGTGAGGGAGAAATTAGGAGTGGAGTCACACTATAACAGGGGAAGAATGTGAGAAAAGCAGCGGATGAGGCACATAAGTCACACCGTGAGAGCAATCCTCCCCTATCCATCCAGGGAAGCATTGGCAGGAGCCATCGATGGGGTTGCAGGTGCCGTTGTTGGTACAGAGGCAGATCTCAGCGCAGACCCTCCCATACCTGCCACTCGGACAGACTGAAAAACACAAACGCAAAAAAAAACACTTCACAAAACAACACCTCATCTGCATAGCACGCATTACCTGCAAGTCGGTTATTATTATGACATCAAACTCATTCTGCCAAAGGTTGCGTAAACACATTCCTCTAATGGATAATGCTGTTTTATTTGAGTGGACATGAAGTGAGGTGAACTGCTTAAACAGAAGGAGGAGTCAGTCACGGCCTCCAGCGGCACAACTGCCCCATTTACACTCACTAGAGTGGGATGAGTGATGTGCCACAGAATTAAAATAGACCATGTACACAGACCACTGTATACATTTTTAATGAAATTAATATTTCAATGCTCCCTGGCGCTCTTCAATAAAAGATCTAATTTCCAATGAAGCCTCCATTGTGTTTTCTTGTTGGCCCGTGAGACAAATTGTACCAAGGTGTCTCTAACTGTCAGGACCAGACAGCTGCAGCACCAGCAGATACATCAAAGGTCTCACATAAAGAGAATAGTCCAGCGTTAGAAATATCAGATAAGGTGGCTGGCTGTGAAAGAAATGGGTCTAACTCATTTTAATGTGGGGTGATTTTAATGATTACATTTCAACGGTCTTTCCCCTCTTCTTCAGAGCTCTTTCAAGCTCCTTCAAGCAGGTTGTCATTAGGCCACGAGGTTGGCTCCCCCATACTGCCGCTTCTGGGATTCAATCCTCAACACGCTGGGAGAGCTTCATTAGTCCGGGACTTTGTCCGCTGGACAGAGGGCGAGCGAGGAGGCAAGCGGGATGTGCGCGTTTGTTGGTCACCTCCGTCCCTCGTGGCTTCGCGCCTTCTCACCAGTAATTACAGTCCAGACAAATTAGGGCTCAGTTTCTTTTTTTCTTTTTCTCTCCCTTTCAGCTAACCTATTAAACTTTTATTTGTAAGACATTGCTCAAAGCCATGACAGAGAATTCCAAAGTTACCCTTTGCCTTTCTGTAATCTATGAGGGGAAAAAAAGGTCTTTTCATTAAAATAAAATCGACGCTACCTTTAGGTGTCATTTCTCAACGCGTGATGGAGAACAGATAACGATGCATCGACGCAACAAATACCGTCGCTCACATAAAGCAGCAGACGAGTCGATATTAGACAAACGGTTAACGTATTTGCTTTTGAATAGATGATACTTGGAACCGAAGGATTTCACGTTTTGTATTGTATTCCATGCCTTGATATTTTTATTAATGCTACTAAAAATGTACTCGGCTTTAATACATACAAGGTTAATGGTTACATCATCACAAAAAAAACTTTTTTGTGTATCATAAACACATGATAATGTATTTGCGATATTCAAAATTGCAAAATCTTCAACAAACACATCGGTGGCTAAAATAATGAACTGTAAAGATGTTTTCTGTCGACGAGATCGTCTGTGATTAAAACAAGATCGCTGAGGCAATACTTCTTGTACCACGTTTGCCTTGCAGTTACCCTCAACAAGAAGACATCTTGTCGGCACATGTTGTTTCTTTGGCTGTTTGTGTCCAAGAAAAGCAATTTGCACGCAGTTTTCTTTGAAGAAGGAGGCAAAGGGCACAGCAGCCTTTACTTCACATGTTCCTTGTCTCAAGTAATATAATTCCTAGTCAGCAATATTCAGCAGCCTGTTGGTAACCATTATTCAACGTTCCAAGGTTAAGAGGCCATTGGGAGGGACGGCAGGTCGTCCATTTGGAGTTGTTAGAGCCACTGAGCCCAGCTAGTGTCCTCAAAGAATGACATGAAGAACTTTTCGGGATATAAACTATTGTGGACATAGTAACCTATGACGTATCATTTTTACTATTACTTTTTGTTATAATCAACGTTAGCCCCTGACCCTTTTTAATACACTGTCTAGACCGAATGCCAGACATTTTCATAAATACAAATGAACTTTCTACCTTACTAGTAGCGACGACGCAAACATCAACCGTGAATGAATTTGACGGTAAGTGAAACAGCAGGAAAAAGGTCAAAGGCACGGAGGGGGCTACTCGCCTTGGTTGCACAGAGACCCAGAGTAGCCGGACAGGCACTCACAGTGGCCCGTGACGTGATGGCACGGCCCGGTGCTGTGCACGCACTGCGGACACGACTGGCTGCAGCGATGCCCGTAGAACCCCGGAGAGCAGGCTGCGGACGGCACAGCGCAGCAGGAGAGCAGAGGGAACGGACAGCGTTAGAGGGACGAAGGGCTATGTACAGTATGTCGTATGAAAAGGGGCACGACAAGAGTGATCAAGGGCGCACAGAAAATCAAGACCGCAAGAATGAAAGCAGAAGAGACGGGAAGAGACGGCCGACGGTGGGGGACAAAGCAGAAAAAGTCTTTATTTTGATCCCTCCCATTTCATCTGCTTCCATAGAGTGAATAGTAAAGTAGTTGAGTTTTGATCGTCTATAAGACACACAACTGTGTGTTAATGCAGATTTTGAATGTGGGCCACCAACGATATTTTCAAATGGGATGAAGGTGTAAGGGTAATTTATACTAACATTTTACTCAAACCAACATATTTTCACTTAACTTTGGTGACATTTTTTTTTTGTTTCTATTCCGTTCCAAGTCCATTCTTTCTACAGTAAAAAAAACCCTTTTAGAATTAACATACTGAGCCTCGGCTGTTTCCCAACCGTGCAATGTCAACTTTACCCCTGGGGTTTGGATTTGACGTAAAGCATCTGGTGAGCTACACCTCCATCATCTGGAGGAACATGTAATCCTCCAATTTAGGTCTCAACGGGAAAACCAGCAAAACTGCAGTTATGAGGTTTTCACCTGATGAGAACATTATCTGTGTAAACAATGAATTTGGAGGAGTAATAACTTCGTCCCACACACACACACACACACACACACACGAAAGGTAGGGGGAGAGAAAAGGAGAGAGAGAGAGAGAGAGAGAGAGGTTCGGAGAGATTGTTTTACGTTCCACTCAAATTGATGTTTACAGGTTTGTGACTGTGAATATCACTCCCAATCAGTGAGCTCATCACTTGAGAGCGACCCCAGACAGACCCCATTCGCAAAGCACAGCCAGCACTCCCAGTGAGCCCGCCCTCTGATGAGCCTCGGACGAGGAATGTGAGTCTCCCACTGTGCCTTGGTTGTTGAGGACAGGACAGCAGGGTGAGTGTGTGTGTGTGTGTGTGTGTGTGTGTGTGTATGGGTAGACACTGTGATTAAGGGATAGCAGTGATGAAGCGTTTACATTCAAGTAGCTATGACCGACAACCAAGTGCTCCTCCTCAGCGGGATCACCCTTCAACAATTGTGCAAAGATCAAAGCAAGGTCAGTACTGGGCCGGAGTTGTGGCGTCCTAAAGCGTGCGCCCAGAGAGGTTACTTGGGGTGAAAAAAAAGAGAAAGAAATGTCTCACTTCTTTTGCAGGACGTCCCCCTGTAGCCAGGTGCGCACACACATGTACCGTCTTCTGGAGAGCAGGATCCTCCGTTCTGACAGGAACAGCTGACTGAACAGTTGGGTCCCCAGAAGCCTTGTGGGCACACGTTATCACAGTGGATTCCTGCGGGAACATCACACGGCTATTCAGCGAATGCACACTAATAAGGCTAAGAGACTGGTGGACAGAGCCTTCCGTCTGTAAAAAGACATCATCAAAGAACAATGCCTGATCACAGTGGATCTGTGGAGGGTTATTCACGCAGCACGGATACTCGCTGAATGAAGAGTTGTTGTTTTGTTTTTTTTAGTTCAGCCCACCCTTTTATTTTTGATCTGACTGGGGCTGCCTGCCAGTGCACTGTGTTAATTATTAGGGTTGGGTCTCCAGAGAGGCCCAGCCTGTCTCCCATTCTCTTTCAGCAGCGCCGCGGTAGTGCACGCAGCCGAAGGGACGCACTCCAGCTATAAGAGTAAGTGTCACTGTGTGTTTTTAGGACACCAACCAACCAACCAACCAACAAACGCAAACATTGCACCCGTACAGTGTTCTCCATGTGTACATGCATGCATTTGAAAAAAGGGTCATTCACATGTACTGAACAAAAATATACCCCTGCACGCACTCAGGCACACGAGCACACTTAAGAGTGAGACATTGACACACACACGCAAACTCCGCAACCTTTCAAGCAGCAGCCCTTAGTTTGAATCCTCATTTGAAATTTTCTTTGACTGAGAATATGTGAGAATGGCGTGGCCATTAAAGCAGCATTAGTGCAGTACCTTTGAATTAAACCTGGGCTAAACTCTGGGGACTCGCGTTGTACAGTAACCAGGACGCCTCAGGGGATGAACGGATGAGTAAAGGAGAGGAAATGTTAGCGCTGATGAGGACGGGGCATGGTAACCGTGATTTAGTCGGAGGGCCGGCCATGGACATCAAAAGGAGGGCAAAGCTTGTGTGTTTGAGGTTCTGCTGGGCCAGGCAGAAAAAGAAAAAAAAACATGACCGCATTCATTTTCTGACGGTAATGGCAGACAGAGCAACACACTTTTCAGTCTAATGGCGACAAACAGAGGGGCTTTGGATGCCTAGCAAGGGAGAAGAAGAAAGACTGGGAGAAGCCAGAACTGAAGTGTCTTCAAAGGAGGCTTTTTCGCTGAGAAGTGCCAGAGGTCCCACTATCCAATTTGCAGAGAGTGAGCAGAGGAAAGCAAACCTCTCTCTCCCTCTTTAAGTCTCTCTCTCAGTGCATGTAAACACACACACACACACACACACACACACACACACACACACACACTCTGCCTGCTCTAGGACTTAGAATCTATTCACACATATAAGGTGAAGTCATATTAAACATGGGCGAGCATGAAGCGTGTGCATCAATGGTCCAGTCGCAGTGCGGCCTGATGTCAGGCTTACGACAGTCCAGCAACAACTATGTGGGTCACAGACAACTTACTGGACACACTCTCAGACTCACGGTTCTTAACAGTTTACAAGAAACCCCAAAATAAAACAAACTACAAGTTGACAGCAAAGTAGCTCCAGCCTTTCTGTAAATAGACATATTCTTTTTTTGGGGGGGGGGGTGCGGGCTCAGTTCCGTGACGAAACCGACATCTTCCCCTCTCTAGGTGCTCGTTCCTTCAGAGAGCCCCTTGTCAAGCCTCTGCGATTCGAGTGTGCACGTGTGTGTGTTTGCGCGGGCTGCACGTCGCCCCCAGCCCTGCACCCCGGTGACTCAATTAAGGCCGACAGATGGTCCCAACTTGTGCAGGATTCAGAGCATGAGAGGCCCGTTTTCGCCCGCGCCGTTCTTGCAGATAATAAAACCCACATTGTTTCCCAGAATAAATGCCCTAAGCTCGGGAGGCTGAACGGAGGGGGCTGCTGGGAGCTCCCAGGCTTGACCTTTCCTGCTGAATCCATTCCACTCCCTGACCGCACCTCTCCACCCAGGCTCAGAGACCAGGGCCTCAGCCAGCCCCCTGCATTTGACATTCAGATGCGAGGCTCCATTTTCAAGCATAATGATCCTCACCCTTTCTGTGACATTCATACCTCTACCTCTTTCCCTGTCAGCGAATGTTTGAAATGACGAGAAACAAAACAGAGAGCCATTGACTGCGTACTCTGCGTAGAGTCAAGACAAGCTGGAACTTTAAATAACGAAACAGAGCCAACGTTTAAAACGCATGAGAGGGGTTCAACATTACCAGCATGCAGTGTGTTCGCAAAGATCATTTATTTAGAGCACAATTTTTTTATTCTCCTACACTGCCGGCTCAGCGGGAAAAACAGAAATGAACATTTAATTACGAAAACAGTGCTGAGACATTCTGTAAACATATTGTAAAATTGTGTGTCCCTGCTGCTCATTAGTAACAGCGATACTGACCTGTCCAGCCGGGGTAACAGCGACAGTAGCCACCCACCGGGTCACAACCATCAGCATGGCTGCAGTCACAGCGCTCGCGACAATCCAGCCCGTAAGTGCCGTCCTGACAACGATAAAACACTTTAAAGGTGCACACAGGTCACGATGGGACAAAACCCGCCGCAGGGTTAAAAAAGACTCAGACTTACTGGACAGGACTCGTCGCAGTGCTCCGCCCTCCACCCGGGGGAACACGTGCAGACGCCGTCCATGGGGTCACATGCAGCTCCGTTGGCACATGAGCATGTGTGATTACAGCCCGGACCCCACGTACCGCTGGAGCAGAGGATGGAGCAGTCCGTACCCTGCCAGCCTGGAGGTCGAGGAAGCACAGGAGAATATGAAGCGAGTGTTGTAGATACAGCCACGTTGCATTTCAGCTACACAACTCCAACGCTACTTAATGTTAAATAAATAACATACAGTGGCTCCCAACCTGGTATTCACAGCTTCAAGATGCATTGGCGGGATTGGTTTAAGGATATCATGCAGGTGTATGTGTTGCCGTGCACGGCTATAGGGATGCCAATGTTTCATACATAAGCTGAAATATCCCCGAAAGGTTATGGTGAAATGTTTTGCAGACAAAAGACAGAGAGAGGATGATCCCATCATTTGTCCTGCACCATCCCGCGCAGCTCAACGTTTCTACTGAAATAGCTCTACGTGAGGGATGGCACCAAATGTTTCCTAAAAAATACTTTCATTAAGAATTGCTTAAATTATTTTTGTATTCATTAAACAGAAAACCAAAGCAGAGAATGAATGAAAGGCAGCGGACATCTGGCGTTTGTGTGAACGACTGTTCGTCTGTGGAAACAACCAAAGTCTGTGTGTGTGCACCCTCCTGTCTCTGCACATACAGTGCACTCGCTGTAGCATATCTCATAAAGCTCGGGAGTTGCTTTGAACCTTTAACCCGTGAGTCAACTGTTCTGTACCTTCCCTGCAGATGCAGGAGCCTTCGACGGGAGAGCAAGCTGCGTGATTATGGCAGGAGCAGGTGGACATGCAGCTCGGTCCGTAGAGGCCGGGAGGACACACTGTAGCACAGTCCTCACCCTGATGTAGGAATAACGCAAAGTCATGGGAGAAAGAGTCAGCATGGCAATAAACGCTGACTGTGGCAGAGCAAAAATATGAATAATATAGTCTGAATAGATTCACTTCACACCTCCAACTGTTTATGTATAGTCATACTGTGTACAGTGTGAGGAGCAAGGCAACTGTGAAACTGAATTATTTCATGATAGTAACTACAGTTCAAAATGAGGACCCCCCCAGCTTCCAGTTATGCATTCTGTATATTCTGACAGCACCTACTCCCCACCATGCTTCCCTTCCCTCTCCCTTCTCTATCTTTAGGTTGGTCCAATGAAGGTCCATTTCCTTCCAAACCACTGGATGGAGAACAACTGACTGTTTAAGAACCTCGTTCACTGATGGTTTTCTCCCACCCGGTTGGTTGATGCGCCTTCACAGAGGGGCTTAGAATCAGAGAAGAATATCGTGAAGCTCCTCCTGTGCTGAAGCAGCTGGCTACGCCATGTGTATCTGAGGAAGCACATGCGTCTGCACCAGCCTCAGGCAAACAGTGGGACTTATTGGAGCGGGGCAGTATTTGAAATGACAAACGGGAGGAGGAAAAAAAGCAAAACAAATAAGCCTGATGGTCAACTGGGTTGCGGTAAGATCCCGGTGACTCTCAATCTGCTATCAATAAGCGCAGCCACCTGTGGTCGGCAGCCATGCTGGCGCAGCCTTTAGGCCCCTTCCCATCGTATAAGAATGAACTATTGGGCAAAGGACACTGTGTATTCCTTCCCCGTCCTCTGCAGCCTGCTGTCATTAGATTTTCTCTGCTTTGAAGGCCAAGCACAGCTCAACTCCACCAGTCGTGTCCTTCTCCAGGCTGGAGATCACAGCAAGCCTATGGATTCCCGCACCCTCCTTTGCGCACGCTGCCTTGAGTGACAGGTGACACAATGATTTAGAGTTCCAATTAGTGGCCCAGAGGAGTCCTGAGTGGCTCCCGCTTCTCTCACCAGAGCACTGGGGGACTGCTTGCTGCTCACCGCTCTCATTATCATTTTGAACTCAGTTTAAACAGGAGGCAGGAAGAGATGTGCCACTGGACGCCAGGGGCAGAGCACACATCTTAAAACACCTCCCCACGCACCACATAAAAGCGCCTGTCTGAGAAGTTTTTATCAATCGGTTGCAATAACCTTTGTTCTGTTGAACTAGAAAGCTTCAAGTCCGCCAACAATAGCAGTTCAGTTACAGTTGTTAAGTGTGACCAGTCAGCGAGGGCTGGTAAGGTTGTTTGGGGGCTGGGGGGGTCAGCCCGTCTTTAGAGAACAGGCAATTTACTGGTGGCTGGACTCATGGATAAAACGTCATGCAGCCACAAATGACCACATGGATCTTCGCCCGCATCCTTGGTTGCGTCCGATTCCACTTCGGTTTCACCCTCGTGGCGCAGAGAGCAGTGGTTGGTCTGCTCTCAAGAGGAGAAAGGCAACTCTCTCATTAGTCGACTGATTCATATTCTTTCTGAGCCGGGAAGGATAGAAGTCGGTATGTGGAGGATCATTATTAATACACGGGCTGTCAGTCCATAGCACGAGAGCAGCAGGACCTTACATAACTACACAGCCAACGAAGGCTGCAACCAGACCTGAGCTGCTGAGAGGCGGCCAGGTCGTCCTTGGCCGAGGCACTAAATTCATACCTATTAGTATCTTAATGTAATTGGAGCACCTTTTTTTTCCCAGAAAGCCTCTCGCTGACACAACATTGATCAGTGTGGTGCCCATTGAGACTAGATGCAAATGGAACCACTAATTACCAATCAGTTATACTCCTTAACAGTCCATCTAACTGCTGGACGAGCGACTGCGTTTTAAAATTCATGTAGCGAGACACAAAATCAACCCCTGAACCTTTCGATGGGACGGAAAAGCCCTGAGAGATAGAAAAAAAATATTTGTTTTCATCACCTACGAAGACTCCATTTATAACGCAATAACATTTCAGATTCAACAGTATGAGGAATCTGTAGAAACTGTACATAGGAAAGAACTGCAGATTGCGAGGGACAATGCCTGAATAGGTAACATGTAATCACTTTGTCCCAGTCAAAAAGAGCATGTCCAATTACTAGAGCTAAATCAAGCGTGCAGAAGCTCAGTCTGCTCCAATACTTTGCTTGGTTTGCCCCCTGATGGGACTCCAGAACAAAGATGCAGCAGGGTGGCTTAGTCCTATCAGCCGTCCCCCGAGGAAGCGACTTCACCAGCAATCACAGCCTCAACGCCATCAACAACTACATCTTAAAAGCCCCTTGTGTGATAATGGCCATGTGCAATGCACGTGAGAAAAGTAACACATAAAATAAAATAGGAGTAGAATGAATAGTTCTTTACTTAGTCATTCAGATGACTAATCTGTCACTTTGGTCGACTAAGGTTTCTTTACTCTACTAGTCATTTGTAATTGTTTAGTACAGAATGAGCATCTCTGGTAAACAACAAATTGGCAATTTCATGTTATTCTTTGTAGAGAAACTCACTTTACTTTACAGATGCGTCAATTAAATCAACTACTAGTCAACCATATTCAGTATTGTTCAGTTTAGGGGCGGCCTCAAATGGGACATTTTCATTCAAATCTAACAAGATATTTTATACCCTTTCTGTATGTACCATTGCCATTGCGACCATCACCATTAGTTACCATTAACTTTGAAATTGAACTAAAGCAACGCGTGGCGGGAGGCGGGGCTGAGGTTTGGCACTAATAATTGAAATAATGATAATAACATTGTGAAAGTAACACTAAATTAGTACATTCTTAAAAAATGTGATGCGTCATCAGCACCCTTTTGGAAACATTTTAGTTAAACATGTTGATTTCTCCAGATGTGACACAGCTCCTTTCATGTAAAAATGCAGTATTAAATTATGATGCAATGAGAAAACTAATGTGACTGGTTGGCTGGTTATCGAGCTCGCTAACTTTGCTGTGCTACACTGGTTACAGAAGAATGAGGCAAACAGCAGGATGGCGGCCGGGCGCCGAGCTGCCTCGGCCTGAAGGGAGAATCTTTCGGACTCCCTTGAGCTTCGTCTGCTCTCTTCCCGACGAGCTTTGACGACACGGACGTGGTTTGTCATTATAGCAACTAACACAAATTGCCACTTTTCTTCTGTAGAGTTCCGTTTTATTTCTATGGTTAAACACTCAACAAGAAAGTCAAATCTCTTATTCCCAACAGAGCGGCAACTAGCTTTTGAATAGAAAACTACCATGTGTGCTCATCCTCCCCCCCCCTCCCCCTCTCCCTCCCTCACACACACACACACACACACACACAACAACAATCCTCCAAACGAGGTGTGTCTGTTCCAAACTGACTGCCTCCTTTCCTATCCAGCTCCTGCCCTCTAGCTCTGTTTAATGGATCTGGCAGCGTTTCTCAGCAGCCGCCAAAGAGAACAGGTGGAGCAAATTAAGACACAGTCTGCGGCCCCGCTCGGTAGCTCAATCCACCACACTGGCCCGCTGTAAGACACAGGCAATTTCCACTGAAATGTAATGTTGGCAGGAATGCAGCCTCTCGCTCCCTATTGCTCTGTAACTTCAGATTACAAGACAAGAAATACAATGGGAAAACTGAGGGAAGTTACCCAACTAATTTGACAGTTGTAAGAAGGGCAATATGGCTGCACAAAAACGCAACCCCATGTAGGTCAAAGATTACATTCTTGCAGATGGGTCTAGGAATAAAGATCTTAGTTTTTCTCTTTGCTTCTCCACCTGCTGTCACAAGTTAAGGCGGATAAACCACATTTGTAAAATACACACGACTCATTATTAATGTCTGCAAAGGGCTGGACCAGATAATTCATCTTGAGCGACGCATTTCTTGTGGAAATCTATACTAAGGGAATAATAAAAGGGCTTCCTTTGCTTCTGCCTGCCCGTGTACGAAAAGCCTCCAAAGAAATACCGGGAACAGTTCCAGAACATTACGACCACATGACGCAAATATTTTACTACGGCCACAGATATAAATGAAGCAATCAACTTCTCTAATAAAGAGCTGTACAATACGGACCCTTACGTGCAACTTCTTTTATCAATATTTTAAGAAACTACACAGTTCCACAAGTAAGGAAGTTTTAGAAAAAAACATGAATGTAACCAACAATATAATTACAAGTTGTCACTCCGTAATTACAGCAGTGATTAAATAAAAGCAATTACAAAGAGAAAAGTGGCAACACAATTAATCTATTTAAACACAAAGTCATATTAACATGTCCTAATTAAGGTCGTAATGGTTTGCGTATCGATTGCTCCTCCTTTTTTATTTTTCCAATTGTGTTTAAACCCATTCTATTTCCTCCTTTCTTAGCTTGTTGCTCCTCTTCCTTCAGTGAATGTGGTCTCAAGTGTCAAATCGACATCAGATAAATCATAATAACACATGTGGCCTCTAAAATAACAATACATGTTACATGATAGCAGCTTAGTATTAATGCTGAATTACAGTTAAACAGCAGTGAGGATATAAGCCACTCACCATGTACCCGGGGGCACATGTACAGGTGCCTGTGACAGGATGGCAGTCGGCTCCGTTGGTGCAGCTACAAGGCAGCATGCATCCCTCTCCGTAGTATCCAGGAGGGCAGGTCTCATTACAGTAAAGGCCGGTCCATCCCACAGAGCAGGTGCATTCACCAGAAAGCGGGTGGCAGCTACGACACAATGAAAAAGAAAGATGGGGAAACCACAGGCGGAATGAGGAAAAGTTTCAACTCTTCCTTCATGAGCAGGGTCAAAGTTTGAGGTCTCCGCCAACATGAATTCATCCCTCTATGAGTCTACGTGCTTGTTTCGGATAGATCCCTCATCTCCCCTTTTTCTCCCTTTTCCTGTAATGACTTCTACTGTCGGTGCCCGACTCCAGCCGGAATCAGAGCATTAACATTGCATTAACTATGAATGCTGCTGAGAAATTATGAATGAAGCAAAGGTCGCGATTAAAAGATAACTGGATGACATGGCTAAAAGGTGTCCGGACTTCAGAATGAGCGCTGGCTCAATGCTAAGATGGGTGGAGTCGGAGAAGTCTTTATTCATAAGGAGCTACATGAGGCCTGGCTTCAGGGCTCGGTCCGAGTGAAGATGTGTGCGGCCTGGCACCGAGGTCTCCCTTACCTCACCGTGTTGGTGGTATTACAGGGGCAGTACTTGTCACAGATGAGGCCGTAGAGGCCTGGAGGACAGAATCTCTCTTGGCAATTAGGGCCTTTGAATCCTGTTTCACACAGACAGGCTCCGTTGATGTGGTGACACTTTGCTCCATTCTGACACTCACACCTCTGGTTACACTGCGGACCAAAGGTGCCAACAGGACAGTCATCCTGGCACCTGGAGGGGAAAAATGGTCTTTTTTAAATTGGTGCAGATAACTTTTCTTTTACCACAGAGCAGTGACATGATATTTAAATTTGAAAGCATCTCTGTACATAGAAAATATTAGAGCTGAAACAAGCATTTGATTCAACAACAATCTTGATTATACATTAATGATTGATTATACTCATTGTCTCTGTTTATCATCATCACCACCATCATCTTCATGCAGTTAACGTAATTAGATTGTAACTTCTTGGTCCAGTAAAACAAGTGATTTGTTCCTTTTCGTCACCTTGGTCTCTATGAAACTGTAACAAGCATTTTTTAGACATTCTTTACACTTAACCAAAATAAATAATTATTGTTGTTTCATCAATGAAAATCAGCAATAGAACTAATGATATTTATATTTAATATTTGTAATGGTGTTATTTTCCGTTTCATTATGCCACCAGTTCTGTTACTTCTGCACAATCGTTACTTCTGCAAAATGTGAGCACTGAATGCAATGATAAGTATTTTAAATTAGCCAATATTTTAAATATGAATAAAACAACTAATGCAATATAGAAATATTAGATATATTATTATCTCCCATATTTCATGATCTAAAGATTTTAGATTTAGGGTTAGGGGTTAGGGGTATTTTGAAACTTTTTAATGAACCCAACTTGACTGACATCAAGTTCAATGAGCACATGGAAGCCTTAACAGCCGCCAGCAGCAGTCAGTATTCAGACAGTAGTATTCAGCAGTCAGGACGGTTCTGCAGGACCAGAGATCACGAGAACTGAAGTAGATTTATTAGAAAATTTATTTTATCCTCACTTAAATACATCTATACAATCTTGTTTGAGTATCAACCTGGAGGATCTAACAAAGCTAGCAATGGCTCAATTACATTACCAAATCGGCAAATTATGTTTAAATTGCTCCTGCTTTAGATATATCAGGGGCCAATGGCATTATTAAACTTGACAGGAAAAGGCGGGCCTAACACAATCTCAGATTAGTCCTGGCAGGTTAATTCACCTGCCACTGACAAAATGAATGAGGGCAATTTTTCAAAATAATAAAAGAAAGGTCTTGTCAAGGAAGTGTTTCCATCTAACAGACAATTGCTTTAGCTGAACTAATAAACCCAGGCTGCTCTGGGCTGCTCGGGCAGGTGTGGGGAACAAAAAAGATCTGTGGATTTCAATGAGACCTTAATATAAGCCCATTACTTATAATTAATGAGCAGAATCCAAAAGGCATGTAGCCCACGATGAGATCAATGAGCAGTCTGGGAGTGGAGGAGGATGAAGGCTGAAGACATGAAACCTTGATGGCCATCATGAAGTATAAGATTAATTAAACATAAACACCCATATTAAAAGCTTCCATTCTACCTTCAAATGGGGTAATGGGCTTTTATAAATGCTTATTTCTCTTGAGCTCATTCCAGCATTTCCATTCTCTTTTCAAGGAACAGCCATGTTTTTGCCTCATTTGACCGTCGACAAAGAGAATTCCCTCAACGAGTGACGGTCAGCGAAAAAAGACATTCACCAATTCCAATACATCTCGCCAGTTGTCCGACCGGTTTTCAAAGTTTGCAGAGAATACTTCTCAAAAGGCTTTTGTCTGTGTACCTGCGTCCGCTGAAGCCAGCGGCGCACCGGCACTGTCCCGTGACGTGGTCGCACAGTCCGCCGTTGCGACAGGAACAGTCCTTGCTGCAGTTGATGCCGTACTTGCCGAGGGGGCACGGCTGGGCACAAACCGAACCCTTTGAAAAAAAATACATGTGTACCGGAGCACAAAGTTAACGCAGTTTATCTTCCTCTGTGATGTAGAACTGACTTCTATGCAATGCTAGAACATTTTAGCGTTTACACCAGCATATTAATATTTCTGTTGTACTGGTTCAGACAAGTACCACAAGGAATTGATCTAATAGTAGATAGCAATGCGACCACAGAAATTGAATGTGTAACGACTCAGATATTTTAGCATTATATCCGTCCCTATAAAAATCTCCAGTTGCTTTTGGTAATTCTGTTCTGTGTTGTACATCAATGAGCAGGAAACCAGCAAACTGGTTAAAAAAAAAAAATGTGACGAATGAATTACCTCAACTTATCGGATATTTAATTGACTAGATTAGCCCAAAGCAGACATTCACATTATGATCTCCGCCCGGAGCGCTTGTGTGTGTGTGTGTGTGAGTACATCTTTCTGTCCACTGGTAATCTTGCATTCTGAGCGTACTGCATAATATTTAGTTTGCCCAGTTACGGCTGCGTGTTCACTGAACACTGACAGCACCGTTGCAGTGACTCACATTTGGTCAAAACACCTTTAATTGCACGTTTTATTCTGCCCCCACCTGACACCCCACCGCTTTGTCTCTCTCAGAATGAAGAGAATCCCGTGTTCTCATTTATAATTGAACACACCATATTGATCCTAAGCCTCATGTTCTCAGCACGTCGGTCTGTGGTGTAACAACTGCATTAGATTTGTGTATAAAGGCTTTTTTAACAACCCCGTTTCCTCTCTCGGGGCTTTCTTCCTCACTTTCTTCCTCGTTGCACCTCTGCTCGTCTGACCTACCGTCCACCCGACGGGGCAGGAACAATCTCCAGTGATGTGGTGGCACATTCCTCCATTCTGACAGGGACAGCGGTGCTCACACTGAGACCCGTGGCTACCGGAGGGGCAGCGCTCGCCACAGCTGTTACCAACACAATTCAAGAATCAAACGTGTCAGACGCATCGCTTGCGGTCGCCTGTGGTTCTTTGTATCGACAAAGGACACTCAGACACACAACAAACGGCACATATTTTCAGGGACACCAAAGAGAAAGTTGCAACGGAATAAATACGTTTGCCGGTACTCACAAAGCTCCGGAGTAGCCCGGTGCACAGACGCACTCTCCGGTCTCGTGGTTGCAGGTGGCACCATTGAGACACTGGCAGGGTAGTTGGCACGCCTTGCCATAATAACCACGCTCACAGGGCTCCTCACATCGCCATCCCTGGTACCCGTCGGTGCAGACACACGCACCTGTGATGGGGTTACACTTAGCCCCGTTCTGGCACTGACACCGATTACTGCAATGGGGTCCCCAGTAGTCGCTCTCACAGCCTGCAAGCACACAGAGAAGTGGCAATCAGACGCGGTGGAGTAACAAAGCATCTGAAATTATACATCTTATTATCAAAGAAATAAATAAAAATCACAAATTAGTTCAATTCGATTTAATACTTCATTATGGATGTTTGTCAGCCCTCAGTGAATTACGTAATAGAGGGAAATTGCCGACGACGCTCCATGAGCTTGATATTTTTGACATTCATATCCAGCTTATGCCAAACTTTTTTTTAGCTTAAATACCATCAAAAATGTATTTGAACAATTTATTAAGATAAGTACTTTATTAATATATCGATCAGCTAATTATTCCCACTCAGACTTGACCATATGATAAAGACTGTTATTGTCAGCACATCAAGAAGCCTTGTTGACATGATACATTGTTGGTGATGCAACTGTAAACATTAATGCAGGCTCAATGTATTTAACTCAAATGGTACTTAAACTCTAAATTACCAACAAGTTAAGTTAAATGATTAAACAGGTGCAAAACACAGTTCTGTCACTCAGACAATGGAGGCATTAAATGTGATTCTGATATAGTAAATGTCATAAGTATAAAACAGAAAGCCATTAACCACCACCTGAATTAATCTGCAAAAAGGGAAGCAAATGAGCGAGCTGCTCACACCGTCTGAGACGGAAGAGCAAAATATTAAGCAGGAAGGAGGAATTTTTAAATAGAACAGTTTGCTACTTAGATGTCTTTCAACACCTTTTTTGGGTGCGACTTGTCAAAAATGGGCCTCGGGAGAAAACCGCTTAGGGTTCAGTTAATAAGACACGTCTTGTGATAATAGTGTAGAAAGCTTCCATTTGATGGGAAAACACTTAGACGAGACAGTGTTCTTCCTTTGTGTCGACTAACACAAACACTAAGTCCCTAAACTCGTCGTCCCTCAGTGACAATGAAGAGCAGACTTAGTTTTTCCACCTGTAAAACTGGCACTCAAGAAAACTGGTGAAGTTACATAACCTAGAAACTTGGCGCAGACCAATGTCAGTAGCTCCAATACGAGGTGGTCCCTTCGAGCAGCAATTCCCACATTCATCAAGGAATGTTTCCCCTTTAGGAAAAACTCAATAAGACCCATAAACAGCACATGAAGTGGGTTCTCCACAGGTTAAAGAACAAACGGCACCGAGTCGGGGTAGTAGGCAGTCTCCTCTCTCTCCGCGGTGACTGTTCTTTCGAGGATGTGGTGGAGATAGAAGTGATTGGCACGGCCGTATGCCTCCCCTCCACCGCCGGCGGCAGCGGCGGCGGTATTGCCTCACATAAAAGCCCAGCTTGAGATCCAGGCCAGCGCAGCAGCAAGGACGGGGAATATTCCACTATTGATTCTCACATCATGGCAGAATGTAAAGACACTATTCCCGCACCCCCGGTATGCTCGCTTTGCCAGAGATGTGACCAGCCACAGCGAGCGTTTAATGAACCCGGCTTCACGGTCGGCACTGAGGGTTGTTTTTTCCAGGTACACGGTCGCAAGATGATCAGCTTTTCCCCGATGCAGACAGGCCTGCCCCAAAGGGGGTCCTGAAACTCTGGGCCGGCGCAGTAATGCTTCTGTGGTCCGAGAGACGAGGGGCCACATTACAGGGCTCATATTGATTCCATCTAATCTGCTCCTGGCCTCCAGTCTGGCATGAATGAGCTCCCCGAAGGCTGAGCCGCTGCCACGCAAACGACCCTGGCACATTAAATGTGAGGTGTATGCGGGCGGCCCGGGGTAATGGATGAGCAGTTTAGCTGCAACTTGGGTTAGCAATCTATAAGCACTCATCAGAGGTGCCTCAGCTCAACAATGCTCCCTCAGCACAGTACAAAAACAGGCAGTGCTGTATAACTGAGGGCATCATCACATCCCGTTTCAGCTCCAAATCTTGACCACAGTAATAAAAAGGGGATTTAATACTCCTGTATGTACAACTCAAAATATCACGTCAGTAAAAAAATACCCAAAGGAGGCATAGAAAAAGGGAAATAAACAAAAATCTACCCAGTGCTTGATTTGCAGACTTTTCTGGTGCTTAAGAGCTCATCACGTGTTACCATTTGAAGTTTTAAACCTTCTTTAGCTCGCAGTTAGAGGCCTCAGCACATCAAGAGCAAAGCCCATTATCTCACTGTCTGTCTCCTACACCGAGGTTCTCAAACTTTACCCAGTCGTCTCTCACTTGCCCGCACTGACAGCATTTACCCGTGATTAAGGGGTCAGAGTTCATGATGAGAAGCGGGCAAAACAGAGAGAGAAACATCGGTAGAAAGTAAGCATGTGCCACGAAGGCGTCAGCTTCCAGAGTGAGGCTGGACTGTGTGAGGCGTTGAGGACCCCCCTGTGGGTTGCGGTGTGTAGGCGGTGAATCCCACACAAGTCTGGAACTAAAGAGGCTGCCCATTAGCTGGGCTTGCCTGGGTCAGTGAACCTAACGAGAGGACACATACACTCGTCATCCTGGACTCTCAGAGCTCCTAATGCATAACAGTCGGAATGCGGATCACCTCACGCGCGTGGAAAAGGTCCAGTCCCAAGGTGCCGGCTATAATCCCCTTGGCTGGAACAAAACAGATCACGTTGAAGGGTACCGGCAGATAGTAAACTTCTGAAGGTGATGTCCAAAGAACGGGCTGAGAGAGCCGTCGCGGCGGTGCGACGCTTTGAAGTCTGCATAATCAGGGGCTGGCCGCAACAGGATTAAAACCAAACAGCTTTCTGCAGCTGACTGCATCCAGAAGTTCTCCTGAACTCGGCCTCTTCAGCTAAATGTTTGTCCCTGTTCTCTGCAAGGAGAGTCTGTGCCACCGAAAGCCTCTCAGAGCTCAGGGCCCGATTCAAGCTCTTTAAACATATCTGCCCACATTCAAATGGCAGCAGAGCTTTAGACTTCATTTATTCAGATGGATGCAAGTCAAAAGCAAACTTCGATGCGAGTCAAAAGGGAAGCGGTACAAACGCTGACCACTCAAGGCGGAGGGTGCAGACAGTCGCTTGCTGCTTTGCCAACTTTAACAAGGAAAACGACATTATTGTTATTGGAATATTTGGCACAGACTTCACTCGGCACTGTCTGAGTCACTCACTGTCACATAACTCTTATTAACACTCTTATTGACACTCGGTGAATAACTCAATTCACAAAAGACATTAGGAAGAAAATGCTCTGGCTCCGGAGAGCAGTGTTACTCCCCGCTCGCTCCTCAGCAGAGCTTGTGGCAAAAGCAAAGCAGCGTGACAAACTGTCTCGACAAATTTTCTGCATCATGAGAAGCGTGCACCTTCCGGGTTTCATATTGTCTCATTCCATGTACCATCAAGCTTTGCTCCTTTTCTTTTTGTTTTTCAACCGACACATCTGAATTTTACAATCACACTTCATGACCAGAATAAGCGCCTAAGTCCCTATTTCCAAACGTTAACGGAACAATTAAACAGTTCTGCCTATAATTTAGCTGACTCAACACGCTCAATGTGTAATGTTCTGTTCTTAAGTTAATATGAGCCCATTTTAATGGGAGTTATTCAATAAAGGCCAGACTCAACATTCAGCTATTCATCCCAGCTCCGTGATTCGTTGACGCAGACGGATGGAGTGAAAAGACGAGCGGACTGGTACCGGGCTCTTCAGGGAAAGTGATGATCTGCGCTTAGTGAAAAATGTCTCTCAGCTTTGTGAAACTTAAACCGTGAAATCTGCCGATACGCTCCGAGACAAGCCCCACTGTCCCCTCCATGTTCTGCTGACACCCACCCATTATTTATTAGGCCTCAGAAAGCCCAGACACAACAAGTAAACCGTTTAGATAAATCCCTGTGAGCTTGACAAATGAATTCCTAAATATACAGAAGAAACTGACAATAGTCGTGGGGGCAGTTCTGCTGAATTGCAATAAGCGCGTTCTGCAGCTTTTGCTGTTTGGCATGTCGTTTGGCCTAATTCATCTTAGCTAAGCCCCGGTGTGTTGGCGTTCCCCTGGGATAAAAAGCAACACAGGACCAAACCCAGTTTGCAGCTTAGACCGTTTGAGACAATAATGCCCCGCCTGCTTCCTCCTGACACTACACGACGGCTCAATAAGAAGGAACAAGATCGGACTGTTGCCTATTTGAAATCACAAACTAATGAGCGAATACCTATAAGACTAAACATTACTGATCACAAGGTTCAGCCCGGTTGTTTATCCCCAAGAGGATCTGATCATTTCTCAAAGTTCGATTCAGGACGTGAACCCGGATCAATAAGAGGCGTGCAGGTGCCAGCCAGCTCCTTTGCAGCACAGCGCAAACAGGGTTAACGGGGGGCCGGCGGTTGACCGGGGGGGGGGCCAAGTGACCTCATGCTTAACGCAAAACCAGCACTTAAGGGCGGCGCTACTTAAAAGAGCAGCCTTGTCCACCTGTAACAAAACGCCCTGTGCTGAGCGGTGATGTTGTGAGGGACGCGTTTTGCCTCATTGCAGTAAACCAGTCACTTGTACAACAGAACCTGACACGGCTGAAAGCTTCTGGATCAGCAAATTGTTACACAGACCACTGCTTCTTTCAATTAATAGTTTACCCTTCACCCTGTCCAGCAGAAAGAACAAACTATCTGCTCTATTGCCACAGGACAACAACAAAAAAGCAATCAGAGCAGAGGTGGACATTTATCTACAGTACCTACGGTACAAAGTGACTGGAGTATAAAAAAAGCAGCGACTGGGCGGCATCTGTCATAACACATCACAGTGGCTTGGTCACGGGCAACGACGCAGCCGCTCCGAAACAACTACAACAACAACAACAACAACAACACGGTAAAACACACGCTTAGCATGCTTAATTTGCACACATTGATTCCTTATTCTGAATTATTAATTGTAATTAGGATGAAGTAGAATGTGCCATGGGGCAGCCGCGCTCGATGAGAAGGGAGAGCGGAGACGGATGGACGTTCACAGAATGCCAGTAGGGGCTTTTCCCATCAGCACCACGAGAAAGTCAAAGAAT